ACCATCATGCAAAAAAACCATCGTACGCAGAGAATATCATATATCATAAAAGCAATGTGAGCAATTCGTAAGTGTACGAACATAGTTATCAATTGAAAAGTAAAGTAATACCAAAAAAAGTTGAGAGCAAAAGCATGTTGAGCAGTACCTAGATGTCATTTAAGTTGAAGTTGGCTAGCAAATACAATTCAGCAAATTCAGTGAATTCAATCAATTCACAATCTCGATCTGAACAGATATTGAACTCGATATCTGAATCAGCTCCAAATTCCCCCAAGAAGGAGAAGCAATCTCACGGTCGTAAATCAGAGTTGAATGATAAAACTCAATTGGTAGCATAATAGGTGGAGAGTGTCCCTCCAGAGATAGTGGGACGTCAACATTTCAAATTTCTATATGTGATTGGGAAGGGAGGCTTTGGTAGAGTATGGAAAGTAGAAATGAAGAAAAATAAAAAGATGTACGCTCTAAAGGAAATGGCAAAGGCTAAGATCATTCAGAAACGTAGTGTAAATTCTGTACTAAATGAGAAATATTTGTTAGAACATCTTCATCATCCCTTCCTTGTTAATATGTCATATGCATTCTAAGACAGAGAGAATCTATATCTAATCATCGATCTCTTGACCGGTGGAGATTTACGTTTCCATTTAGGTAAGATGAGAAAATTCAGTGAAGCTTAAACAAGTACTTATTGATCATCTAAGTTGTTTAGAATTCTTCGTTGCCTGCATTCTCCTCTCTCTAACATATCTACATCAACACGGCATCATCCATCGAGATCTAAAGCCAGAGAATCTCGTCTTGGAAGAAGATGGCTACATGAGATTGACTGATCTTGGAATTGCACGCATAAACAAGGGCAATAATGCTGGAGATACTTCTGGTACTCCAGGATATATGGCACCTGAAGTGATGTGTAGAATGGATCACTCCATTGTGGCTGACTATTATGCATTAGGTGTCATTACATATGAATTAATGCTTGGACGTAGACCATATAATGGTAGAACCAGACAAGACATTCGTGAATAGATCTTGGCTAAATAAGTCTAAGTAAGGAGAGAAGAAATGCCTAATTATTGGAGTGAGAGTGCTATGGATTTTGTTAATACAGTATAGATTCAATCATATACAGTTAATCTAACGGAAACCGGAGAGAAGATTGGGAGCCAATGGCATTGAAGAAATTCTTCATCATCCCTGGCTCAAAGGATTTCCATGGGATGATCTCTTAAAAAAGAAATTGACAGCTCTCTATATTCCTGGAGTATGTTAATATATGTAAAGTAGGCTGTGGACAACAATTTTGATTTCCAAAACTAGATATCGGAGGAGACATAATTGAATGATGAGTAATAACTGGAGAATCAGGTTATGTTGCGTCGAGACACAGTTCAAGGTAATGTCATAGCAATATTTCAATAGCATTATTTGATGGGTATCAATATGATGTTGATCTCTCAAAACTTTAACATTAATAAACTCAAAAAAACACATAGAGAAGACTCTAACAATCACCAGACAAAAAATGAAATCTATAGATATATATATATATGATTAGTTAATATTAATCTTTATCTTTTGAATATTGTCTCATTATCCTTTTCTTGCTGAAACTGATTACTATTTGGAGACTGCATGTTCCTCAATCAAAGAGTCACCAACATATTCATTTACTCGTTTCTTGAGATATTCATTAACAGTTGCAATCTTCTCTCTGTAAATCAACAACGATTCCTCTAATAATTGATTCTCCTCGTGTCTTTTATCCTTCTCTGAGTTGTACAACTTCTTTTTATAGTTGTATTCCTCTAAAATAGTAATGAATAAATGTAATACCTTGAGTCAAACTGAGAATTCTCATGCTTTGATCTTACAACTCCTTCTTTTTGGTTAAGATATCAGATGCCAATTCTTTGTCATTCTATAAGGAATTCAAGAACTTGGCTTTAGCATCATACTCTTATTTCAAAGATTCCTATTCAGCCAAGAGATTGGTTTTGAAATCAGCGAAATCGTTGGCAGATTGGATTTCTTACTCTTCCAATCCCTTGATTGTGTCTCTCAATTTTTCAATCAATTATTAAATTACTCCTACAACATCCTTTGTCATCAATTACACTAATTATTCACCATTTCCTCTCTGTCCTATTGAATAAATGATGAGATTTACTGGTTTGTGAGAATGAAGCCTCATCATCTCCTAATTTCACAAAGTCTTAGACTGCTTGTTCTTCGAAAAGGTTGGCATACTTGCTCAATTTCTCAGCATAATCTCCAACGTGACTTTTTTCAACCAAATTAGTTTATTTGCTTTGAGCATCACTTCTAACCCAATCGAGTACTGAAAGTGCATTTTTGTACTCTCTAAGGGTGTCAATGAACAAAGCATTGGCTTCACAACGTTATCTAGAGTTTAATAAAAAAGAGATTTACTCTGCCAAGTTTTCTAATTTAAGTTCATTTGCCTTATATCTCTTATTATTCCAATTCAAGTAATCTGTAGTTTGTTGTATCTTCAAACTTAATTAAGTAAGATAAAGAATTACTCAACAGCTTCGAGGTCTTGTGAAGCAGCGGCAGCACTCTTTGAGTTGACATTCACAATCCCTGAGAATTCATTGATATCTTATAAGATGGCATTCTCGAATCTCTAGAAGGTGAGATCAGCCTTGTCTTGAGCTTCGACATTGGCACCTTATAAATCTTCCAAGAGTGTCAAAACAGATTATATGGCATCCTAGGAACTCATCACATTTGTCTTAGAACTAAGCAAATTCAAAAAATCTGTGTTGATCTTCTTTGGACTACACAAAACACTTTGACTCAATAGTAAAATCACTAGCACTCCTGTTACACTCTTCATTATTTAATTTATTATTACTACAAATACCGTTTTTATTAATATTAATTAAATCACTATTGCTATAATCGTTATTCCTTCTATTCCCCATCACTATCTTGATCACTCTCTGAATCATCATCCGATTCCACTTGATCTCCACTTTATAACTTTGCTATTGTCTCATGAAAATCATCATCTTGAGGATCTCCAAACAACAAAATCTTACTCTGGATCAATTTGTACTTAGGATATTCCTATAAATTAAATAGTATCTTAATACATTCATTATTTAATACACTAAACTCCAAGAATTAAATTCTGATTGCATCTCCTGTTGACAATTTTAACATTTCTATTGAAATTGTTACCTCTGATTACACACTTCACAAACGTCCTGAAATTACAATCTCACTTAGAATTCCTTACTAAACTTCTTGTTCTTGAAGGTTGAATCTGGATCCAAATTTTGTAAGTAAAATAACAATTGGCTAACCTAAATTTACACACTACTTAGATTCGTCTATCATGCATGTATTGAATGCCAATCTAAACATGAACTTCTATCTCAAACTACCATAATGGTAAAATTTGATTAGAATATCTCCATAAATCACAGGGTTCAACTATAATACTAATTCATTCCCTTTGTATTCGTAATTCTTCATTTATGCCTCAGATAATCCACTGTATATTCTATTCCATAAAAATAAACCAATTACTTCCTCATATCCTTCACTGTGTATATATCTACATAAGGTTTGCTTGTATTTCCAGACATCTTCGGAGAGGGTCTATATCAAATATATATCATATGGTACCCAACAAATGTGATTGCTGATAACCTTTTTAATTAAGCACAATAATCTGGTGACTTGAAGATCTGGTTAAAGTATTCTATGTATCTGATTTAAGAGGGTTAAGTCACTCCAGATTTTGCCTTGTTGAATCTCTTCTTGGAATAGTAGAGTCTTGCTTCGTCTGGATTACTAGCTCTGCCACTGTATAACATGTAACAACAAATCAATGTCCCTGTCCTCCCTTTTCCAGCTTAACAGTGGATGATTGCCACATGATTGATGTCTTCATTCAGAAACTAATCCACTTTCTTGCACACATCGAAAAGCATGTCGATTGGAGGTGAATGATGATCTTCCCATGCAAACTCAAGAATCTCAGATTAATATCACGCTACTTACTCTGTTCTCTCCAAACTTCTCATAATTGTACTTCCTATTACTCAAGTTATACAGCATATATTTGTCCCCATGATGTTCTTACAAAAATTTGACTACATCATCAATGTTGTTTCTAAAGGTGCTTTCAAATCCAGAGGCTGGAAATGACATTGCAATAACCCGATTGGTAATGTAGGTGAGATCTAAGTTATATTGTCCATTGATAAATCTAACTTTTTATCCAGAGACTAATTCTCTAAAGAAATTCATGTATAATTAATAATATAATTGATATTGAGTACATACAATATATTAAATTAAATTAAAATGTACATTAGTCTTTCCTCTCAGAATAAGACATGGTGGACTCATACTTCTTTAGTCCAATCTGAAACTCATCAGAAGGTCTCCAATGTTATTAATGGAGTGAACAGCTTCCAAAACAAAGCCTCATTGATCTCCACTTATTTAAGTTTGGAAGCAGTCAACAGGATTCCTGTGGCCAAGAAACTAGCCATTTATTTCAAGGCTGCTATAGTTGGGGCTACATTCTTTGGATCAAGGTATTGAGAGTGGGTAAATAGAGAATTGCAGCAGGATCCTTTTATGAAAGAAGCACATAATCAGAAATTGGCAAATTATTGGATGGTGCACCAATTTGGGAAAATAAGTTTGACGTACCTGAGTTGGATAAGAAATTCTTCTTCATTGACGACGATAATAATTTTGAACCCTCTTTATGGCATCACGGAATGTATGAAATTATTAATTGTAAAAAAAAGCAATTCGATCGAGAAGCCCAAGGTATTCTACAAGCATGAGTGATTTTAAACATTTAATGGATAAAATTTAAAATAAAATTAAATCTTTAAATAAATTATGGGACGTATGCAAGCTAAGGGAAAAGGAAAGGGTATCTCCGGATCTGCCCTTCCATACAAGAGAAAAGCACCAAAGTGGTTGACACTCTCATCAAAGTCCATCGTTGATTAGATTGTAAATTTGGCAAAGAAGGGTACAAGAATAATGTAAATTCAGGACTTAATGGATCATAAATCGGTGTTTACTTGAGAGATCAATAAGGAATCCCATAAACCAGATTCTTGACTGGTCAAAAGATCTTGAGAATCTTGAAGAAGAGAGGTAAGGATCAGCTATTTAATAAAGGTTGTGCACCAAAAATCCCTGAAGACTTATATGCTTTGATCAAAAAGGCTGTCCAAATCAGAAAGCATTTAGAAAAGAACAGAGGAGATATTACAAGCAAATTCAGATTGATTTTGGTTGAAAGCAGAATTCATAGACTCAGCAGATATTATAGAAGAACCCAAAAGTTGCCATCCAATTGGAAATAGTAAACATAAATCTCTAAACATATAGTGTATCAAAGACTGCATCTGCCTTAATCGGTTAATGAGCAAACAATTTAATCAATATAGTACATTATTAATAATACAAATAAATCAACCCTCATGTAAAAAGAGAGTGTTTTTTTTTCTGTTGCTGTGTTCCACTCAAAAGCGGTTCAAATTGCTTCTTGAATAGCCAAAATTAATCGGAAACATTAGCCAAGCCCTGCCATTGAGATTCCATCCGAGCTTCTTTCAATTTTATATCAATACCATCAAACGATTTAATCTGCTCTTGCAATTCGTCCCTATTCATTTTAATGGTCCCTACTTTGTTACTGAGTTAATCGATTTTATTCACTAAACTTTTTTCGATCTCCTAAACATTCAGACCTATTTAGTCTATTCTTTCATTCACCATCATCTCGCCAGTCTTCACAAGAGGGATTTATTATAAATTTTTAGATTGAAACTCAATCTAAATGGCTTCTAAATCGCATTGCAATTATTCTCGAATAGCTTCGAAACTCTGTTTTAAATATTAAAGAATGCTCCTTTTGATAATGGCTTATTTGATACAATTTTACATCAACCAACTGACTTTGCAAGTAATCCAATTTTTAATTAATCTCTTTCCAATTATGTTCGCCTTCATCTGGGATATGTAAGAACTAATGTATTCAGAATGACATAGATTACATTTCTAATTATCAGTTCTACTCTCTAGGTGAATTAGTCTGAGTGCTCGAAATCCATAATAAAAATAATTAAACAAAATTAATAATTGATTCATTTCTGTGAACTGAATTATAGGAAAAGTTATTCTTTAAATGAATCTATCAATTCAGCCTCATTTGGTACAACATAAGATTCACTTTTCATTTTTTGTTTGGTTAGTTGGGCTCTACACATTGGACATGAATCTTATTCTTTGACTGTGAACCACCCTTCGATGCAATCTTGGCAATAACTATGTCCACAAGGTAGTAGCTTGTCTATCTTTTTCTCAAAACATATTTAACAAGTTCCTTCTTCCTTTTGTGGATCAACCATTAAAATAGATGAAAAATCCTCTAATAATTGTTTGCAATAGTAGAATTTCTGCTAAGTAATTTAAAAATATTCTTTCTCCACAAATATCCCTATGCATAGGTCATCCTACTTTTTAACAAATGGGATTGAATCAAATAAATCTTATTTCCTTTTGGTCACTTCTGCAAGTAATTATTTGCCCAAGCTCGACTTTATGGTTGGGGATCTTGAATTACACATTAGAGTACTTAGCCAACAGATTAAATGTAGCCACATCTTTGATTAAGTCGTTTAAGGGTCTTTGTTCCTAACTTTGTTGTTGTCCCATAATAATATTTAATATTTATGTATTAATCTCAGAATCTGCCACCAAGGTATTGGGATGTTGCAGTTAATTTCTCAGTCAAGTGTTCCAATATTCTCTCGACGATTTCCTATTGTCTTGTTCTCTCTGAAGATTAAACACTGTAAGTGTTCTCTTGGAGGTCACACCATTCATGTTCAGCATCTAAGGTTTCTTGGGCTTACTCTAATTCCAACTAGAATTTTATAAATGATTCACTTACTTGATGAACCTCATGGAAATGAGTGGCAGTATCAATATTGGTCTTGAAAGTTTGAATTGCTTATTCCAATTGATTCTTTCTATCAACCAATCTATTGTGCTCATTGCTCAAATGAGTGGAAAATTCAACCCATCTTTAAGCTTATCTGTTTTCGGTTTCCTACAATTATGACATCTAATTACTTCTAAAACAGATCTGGCTTCTACCAATTGTTATCTGAGTTGTGAAAGCAATTAAAGAATTCTTTGGATGGCCTTTTAATCAACCTTTGTGGCTAATTCAGTCAAAGCAGTGACGATGGGTTAAAAGAGAGCACCGTGACTTTCGTTTTCGATTAATCTCTTTTATACAGCTTCGAATTTGGGTTTAAGCTCAGCAAATGTGGCACCCAAAGAAAGATGTTAGACTAATTTGGTAGCTTCATCAACAGCTGCAATGGCATCATCATGTTCTCCATTCTTTCTAACCCATGTTTCATGAGCCTTATTTCTGTTGGCTTCCTCTTAAGCATAGGTTCTTTCGTTGCTTTCTATGTCCTTTCATTATATTAGATTATTACTTAGATAGTTTATCTGACATCAGTTTCAGCTTCAGCCAAAGCCTTTTCATTATCTTCTCTCATTTGAGCATTGGCAGCTACTTAGGCTGTATGATAAGCGATAGAGTTTTCTAAATCTGTAATAATACGAGTGCAGGCTGATCTGTCAACTCTGATAACGTTGTCGTGTTTGTTTTAATCGTCAACCAATCCAGCCAAGACTTAATTAAGTAGCACTAAGATTTCTTCAGCATTTCCTTTTGATTGTAAATACATTTGGACAGTTGAGAGAATAGTGTTACCAAAGTTGTCAGCGTCTATTTCTGCTAAAATTGTTTTGGTGTCCTTTTGAACAGCAAATACAGATGAAACAATCAATGCCAAAGCGATGAGTTTGTACATTAATAATAAAAATAATGAAAACGGATCACTAATTTTATATATTTATAATAATGAAGGATTACTTGATATCCATAAGTGTATGCTAATGGAGAAGCCGGCTCTTTTGAATGATAAAAACTCTTATCAAGAATAACAAGCCATCTTTTAATAATAAAATGAAATTGTTTAATTTATTGACTAAATTGAATTGTACATTCATTTCTTAATTGTTGTTCCTAAAAGATCATCTAAATAGGTGAATGTTGATGAGTAATTTCCAGTATTCAAACTATGATGTTTCGAATGGAATTCAGAATGGGTTGTTAAAGGTAAATATTGGTACACATCCCACTCAAAATTGAACCCTGAATGATCCGATAGCGTTTTGTGAGTAGCCAATCCAACAAATACAAGGACTGTTATCATATGAGTCTAAGATCCTAACAAAATTGGACCAGAGATCACTGGAATTAAATTGCCTAGAATGTATTCTAAAGGATGAGCGAATTCTGCTGACCAAGATACTTTTCATAGAATTTAATATAAATTTACCTGTTATATTATAAATATGATGTACTTTATGCACTTTTCCATAGAAGTATGGAGTATGCAGTAATCGGTGACTGAAATAAAACAATACATCTTCTATTATACCAAACACCATTATTTGCCAACTTATTTCGAATACTGTTGGAAAGCTTTGATCGAATCGAGTGTCTAATTTGATACAACTAGCTGCATATGCCACTCCAACCATGATAAATTGATTGATGAGCACATTCTTCCAAAATAGACGTTTCATCTCTTGCCAAACCTTGGATTCTTTTCCATCCCAAGGCCATGGTTTCTAATTCTTATTGCATTTCATACTTATTCAATTTTGGCTTGGCTTATATATTTGCTCTTGCTCTAATAGCAAGCAAAGTAAAATGCATTCACAATTGTGTATGTGATCAAATGAGCTAAGTATAATGATACAACAAAGAAACATTGTTCTAATATTAATTCAATACTTACTTTCTTCAATTTTATCCGGCCAAACCCACATAAAACATTATTTACCTATAAAAAAATATACAAATAATCCTGTGATGCTGCACACCTTCATTATTGAGAATTCCATTTTAAATATATATATATATCTTATTTATAATTGTTCGCAATGTAAACGTAAGTTAATTTATTAATTCTGTATAATAAAATATAATAAAATGTACTCCTCAATGGAGGAGAGTTGGAACTTTGATGAATAAGAACCCAAATCTCCTTCTCAAGATTTATTAGACAAATATAATTACCGTCTTCAAGAAATTGAAAACTCAAAAGGCAAAATTAAGGTATGAAACTGATTCACTTTCAAGAAATTTTAGTTTGAATAACAGTTAGATCGATTAAGGAATTGGTATGAAATTAAAGGGCATCTACTTGAGATTACTAAAGAAGCTAATCTATTATAAAGTGAGAATGTAGATAGAAGACAACAACTCATTCTTCAAATTAGGAATAGAGAATCACAATTGAAGGAACTTAGAAGACTTCAAATTTAAGGGATCAAAAAATAGAAACAAATTGGGTTGTTTATTAAAGAATAGAGAACCTCTAAGAGACAAGAAATCACCATCCAAGAAATAGATGAATTATTAAATGGAATATAAGCAATGAAAGACAACCTATAATAGAAATATGGGTGGCAATTCCCTAAAAAGCAGATCTTTGATTTCTCTTCTGACGAGTTTCTCGAGGAAATAGATGTTCTTAAGACTGATCGCATTAAATTCGATTTCATTGAAAATAACATATACCATTTGGACAACAGTTAATAAATGCATTATGATATGCAAAAGTATTTAAACCCCGCATTAATAGATTCAAGAAGAAGCATCTAAACAGTGTCCTTGATTAATCTGTGAGGTCTTACCAATCTCTGTCAAGTTCATCCAAGAAGGAAATGCTGAGTTTGAGATTTGATAAAGTAACTACGAGACTTCCTCCAATACCAAAGGAAACATAATCTTAATCCCAGACCACACAATAGTAGTTAAAGAGTGGTATTGGCTTATCAAAAATGCTTAGATATCCTTTAAATTCTTAGAATCTTGCTTCGCCTAAGAGAAGATAACAATTTGGTTTCATTGAAGATATTATAGCAAACTCAGTTTCAAGCAGAGTACTGACTAGGAAATAGACTACTAATTTAACACATTAATCCGAGGGAGAGAGTTAAAGAAAGGATAGAAGAAAATAGGATCTTTCTGTTCATTCATCTTAAGATAGAATGCTAAAAATGAAAAATGTTCAGAAAATGTATTATCCAGATGTAAAATTTGACATAATCAGAGAAGTGGATGCTCCTTAAAAGCAAAAGAAATTACCAAGAAGAGGATTAAATTAACAGCAGGAAATCTAACGCATTTTAAACAATGTTAATGAGACTTTTTCACATGTTATTAATAATAAAGCCTACTCTGAACATAAATTCACTAAAATTAGAGATTTACAAAAATAATATGTAAAAGATGCAAATAGTTCTTTGTCAAAAATCAGTAAGTATCAGCTGGAAGAAAAGCTTGATGATGTTTGGTAAACTCTAGTAAAGGATCAAAAAAAGAAATAACCAAAACTTTTGGACTATTATAAAAAAAAGTTTAAAATATGAATTAATAACAATATACTTATTCTTCTCACTTATCTACAGAAATTGAGGATGGAAAAATGCATCTGCATAAAGATAAACTGGTGTAAAAGATAGTGGACCAAATTCAATTGTTGATCTCAAATCCAAATTAAGTATAAATTTCTTGTTGCCATAAAATAGCCAAACGAAGGGGATCAACAGTTCTACGATTGCTTTAAATATGGAATTGCTCAATAATACTTAAGTACTAAGAAAAGTATAAATTTAAGCTGAGATAATGCAATAAGTTTAAGCAAGTTCGAATATTGATCAACCTAGAAAGGCATTCTCGTATTCAGTTTTCACTAAGATGTCTTCTATCCTATTGAATTACTAAACTCAATAGTATACGGTTGCGATAAGAATCAATTAATAATTACACTTTTTGGCAAGAGATACCATTAGAATAATATAAGAGATTTTTGAAGCACTTTAATATGTCGATAAAGTGCAATTGTGCGGCAAGGATGCTTCCTTAAAATCGTATGATAAATATATGAGATAACTGGATTAATTGGTTTTTTTTTGGGAATAAATACACATATTAGAAAATAGACCCATATCGTTTAATAAGGAGGATATATCATCTCAAATTTCCCAGTAATTAGATCAATTGTTGGACACTTTAGTAAAGAGACTCGATTTTTAGTAGAAATCATAGAGGCTGAAACAGGCAGAATCATCAAAACCAGTTTAAGCGACTAATAGCTAACCACAAGTAGACCATAGATTAAGAATTGCCCATGAAATGTTTGCAGGACTTGGCAGAGAAAAGGACTAAATAGCAGCTGTGTAATTGTATACGAAATTGGCAGAAGAAAATGATGCTACAGGCTAAGCGATTATGGGACAAATTTATTTAGAAGGGATTGGCTGTCCAAAAGATTATGATTAAGTTAACATTTTATTAATCATCTAGGCTTTCAATTACTTTAAGAAGAGTGCTGATCAATAAAATGCCTTCAGTTTATATCATGCTTCTAAATTAGTTTTAGTATTTATTAAACTTAATATTAAGGAAGCTAAAGTCTTTGATAAATTTTATGAAAAGGATTATAATAACACAATAACCAGCAAAAATTCAAGCGAAACATATAGTAGAAATTCTGACTGCTCTTTTGCCTTGACTCTCCTAAAACGAGCTGCAGAATTAGACCATTCAGAATCCATGATATACTTGGGAGATTTGTATAGCAATGGACTCCAATTATAAGATTGTATAATTTCAATATAATTTCATTAGATACTTTAGAGAAGGATTATTCCAATGCTGAATTTTATTACAAATAAGCTTAAAATAAAAATTCAGCTAAAGCAATGCATAAATTGGCTCTTCTTTATTTAACAATGTGCATATAACCACTATATAAAGTAATGTATTTAATGATTGGCAGAATCGTAGTCGATTGATTTACCCTCTGTTGAATCAGGCCAAGAATTAAGATTATTTGCCTGCCTTTTATGATTTGGGATTACTATTATATTAGGGATTACAAGATGATATAGAATAGAACCTAGTTATGGCTGAATTAATATTTGAGCAGGGGTGCATGAAAGGTGATCTTAAATGTGCTTAGAAGTTGCTCAATTTAAGATTTCAAGCATTAAGAAAAAATGAAGTTTCTATAGAAGATTACTTTGGTTTACTCGATCAAATAGAATAAGGTAACAAGGATTGGACCATTACCTATTATATAAGAGGAAAGGTCTATGAAAAAGGTCTTTAAGTAGAGAAAAATTAAAAGAAGGCTTAAGAATAATATAGATTAGGCTATATGAAGGGATGTCAAAAATGCAGAGTTTAGTTAGATAAAAATCAAAAAGAGACTATGCCAACAGACAATAATCCAACAAATTCTTAACAATCTTCATTATATTAAAGGCAAACCATCAACGGGTTCATTGAACAAATTAGATAATCTGAATGCAGGAAACCCTTTTAAAACTAGAGATAAGTTTCTAATGGGAATGTCTAATCAATATTTAACAATGCTGAGAATGATATATAATCCACTATGTAAGCAATATTTTGATATACTCCTTAGTCAAGATGGACATACACGAATGACTATAAGTATTACTAGACCTAAAAATCAAACTGATGATAGAAAGAGAGGAGTATCTGCTTCTGACTTACCACTCTAAGATATTGGAGGAAGTATCCTGCTTTCACAGATTAAATTTCCTGAAAAAACTCATAACCATTCTGTATTTTGGTCACCTAGATAAACATCTTAGTAATCTTAAACTGGATTACAAATCACTAATTCTATTTCTAAAAAACGATTTAACCTTAATAAAATTAGGCTTCAAAGCAATATTCCTGAGAATTGAGTTATTTGGAACTAATAGCGTTATGTGATTATGAAAATTATTTTTTGTTATTCATCATATTGATATAATTATAAAAGATATTTCTAGTAGTGTATATAATCGATTAAAAATTAAAATTGATTAGAATTATAACAGTAATTTTATTAATTCAATAATTGTAATGGGTTTTCACTCTTAATCAATATTTAGGGGCTGTAAAGTAATAATAATTTGTTGGGTATAATATTGCCAACCTTCTAATATCATATTTTTAATGTGTAGTAAATATTAAAATGAATATAATTTTAGTTTTAATTACCATTCTAACTTTCTGCCTCTAATCACTGTAAAAATCACAAACTTGGATGCTATTAAATGATGATTTAAAACCTATCGTCGAAAACAAAGCAATATATGAAAACTTGATTTATAAGTTAAACAAAATTGAATACCAAACTATATACAATATCTCAACACCTAATATTGGGTATACCTAAGCAAGAATAATTATCGACATAAAAATGAAAAGTAATTCTTCTCACCTAGATGAATAAATAATAAAGCAAGTATTAGTCAATGACAATTTTTCTAATATTAATTGCTAAAATCTGCCTTAGGATACAATATATTATATTTGTTCTTTAGATCTGCTAACAACACAATAAAACTTCATTGAGATAATAATTTAACCAAGTCTTTAGTTTTTTTATAGAAATCTGCAAATTTTTGTGTTACAGTGTGCCTAAAATTGTGCACTATGTCAATAGTCAACGAACGCGTGCTTAAAATGCGAAGACTAATATTAGCTTATATAAGAAAAATGCCTAAAGGTGGATGATTAAATTCACGTTCACCATTATAGTATTAATTATTTGGGAAATTCATATGAAGGGCATAAGTAATATAAAAATAAGAAGCATTTATTGACCACCTCTATAGGAGATGCCAATAATATTATCCTAGATTACAATACAACCAATACAACTAAAGAGATTCTCATAAATAATTAGACCTAAATAGGACCATTTATATAAAATGAAGGAATAGAATACTATAACCTTAGTATTCATGATGAACCTATGAATATAAGAATAGATTACACAATCTATCTTCTTTATAGTGATTTGCCTATAGCCCTCTTTTTTTTTTAAATAAATGGATTTGAAAATAAATAGTTTTTGTCTTTCAGATAATTTGACAATTTTGAAGATTGCTACTCTTCCTAATATGCAAATTGCAAAATCCACAAATTCTCATAATTTTATTTTAATATAACACAAATAGATAATCTTAAAATAATAGGTGCATTTCCACTACAACAGAAAATTTCAGCTTGGGCTTTAGGCAATATTAAATTTACTTAATTTGAATTATTGAAATGCCAATATAAATAGTATCAATTAGGATGTTTTAAATAATGCCCATCTGGGACCAAAGAAGTTAATAATGTTTGTTTGAGTAAAATTTAAGAGAAATTTGTTTCTGTTGTTCAATTTTTGTTCTTTTAAACCCAAAATTTTGAGTTTTTCTCTAATAATCATATATATATTGATTCCAATGACACTTATTTTAAATATGATAATATTGTGTATCACAATATTAAGAAAAGTCTTCAAATAGATGTTAAAATTAAGAAAGTAATGAAACTTTATGTAAAGTTGATCATATTAGATGCAAATTTAACTGAAAACATATCAATCAACCTAGCCAATTTTAGCTTAACTTATAATATATCTGATATGGAACCTTTAAACGTGTCTTTAGGAAGTGATGAAGTACAGGATTATGCTTTAGAAATTGAGAATGTTAAGATTGAATTTGATAATCCTAAGGGAAATTCTAAACTGCAAATTATACGTAAAGGTTGTTTCTATAATCGCTGTAATATTTTAATATCAGAACTCTTAATATTATCTCCAAAATGTAATAATTTTTGTCATGAATGTAATGTGGAATCCGGATGCATTGAACCAACATCAGAAAGCTAGTATTGCCCATAAGGTTATTTTTATAATGACTTCTAGTGCAGTAACTGTCCTAAAAATTGCAGTAGATGCAGTTAATATAATTATTGTATAGAATGCTATGAAGGGTTTGTTCTTTTCTCTGGTGAGTGCTATTTAAAGGAAAAAGATAAATATTCTTCTGAAGATATGGCTTCACTTACCAATCCCGTTCTTGGTAAATTCTCAAATTAAGCTTACACTTAGTGTAAGAGTTAACATTAAGTAAGAAATGTAGAGAAATGTGCTTGTTAAGATGGATATATTTTCAATGAAGCATATGAATGCCTTCATTGCGATGAGCTATGCGAAACTTGCATTTAAACTGTAAGCCATTGTTAATCATGCAGATCTACTTAACATAGAAAATTGGAATCGGGATAGTGCCTTTGTTAGGAGGGATATTTTGAAGAACTTCAAAAATAGTTTTGCTAATAATGCTTGCCCAAATGCAAACAATGCTAATACAAAGAATTCATATGTACTGAATGTCATTTGTCTTAACATAGAGTTCTTAGTTTGAATGATTGCATATGTTAGGATGGGTATTATCATGATTTTATCTAAGATAGATGTTTAAGTAAATATTATTGTTATTGTAGAATGTAAAAACACATGTAAAAATTGTAAAGATTATGATACTTGTATTGTTTGCGATGAATTGTAATTCAGAACATTGACATTCTAAAATCAATGTATATGCAAATAAGGTTATTTCTTAAACAATTAAATTTGTGAACCTTGTCATTACTCCTGTCTTGAATGCAGAGATTCTTCAGAATTTAATAAATGTACTAAATGTACATTAGAAAGGAAAAGAAAAAGTATCCAAATGGATTATTTTGAATGTCTTTGTTAAATTGGATTCTATGATGTTGGATAATAAGAATGTTATGATTGTTAGCTCTTTGATAATCCTCCAATTGATCATTATTGTTATGCTAATTGTGGTGATGGAATCATTTAATGGAATGAAGAATGCGATAATGGAGTATAAACTCAATCTAAAGGATGTCATAAATGTAAATTATCTTAATCTAAATGTTAAAATGAGATTTGTTAGATTTGTAACTTGAAAGAATGTGTATAATGTTAAGATGGATATTATTTAAAAAGTGACTATACCTGTGATAAGTGTTCTCCTATTTGCAAGACTTGTAAAATAAATCCATATAATTGCATTATTTGTGCTGATAACAACCTTCAATGTTCTAATTGTCTGCCAGATTAAGGATACATATATCTTGAAAATTAATGTCAAAGTATTTGTGGAGATGGTTATATTACATTGGAAGAACAATGTGATGATGGTAATCTACTCGATAATGATGGATGCAATTCTAATTGTCTAATAGAACATTATTTTATATGCGGTAACACTTGTACTAATAAACCTTCTTGGCATTTTTAAATTTAATAGAACAAATTTGATAAGTATTATTCAGATCAAAGACAATATCATATCACCATTAAAAATTACGAATCCAATATAGATAAGGAACAATTATAATTATCTTATGTAAAAACGAATCAATTATATCCATCTAATTGTGGTTAGTTTAATTATACAATAAGTAAATCATCAATCTCAAAAATTGGCTATCAATAATTCATAATCAAACTTCACCTTTATCAATAATGCATTGATTAATAGCTAAGTATAATGCTATTTAATGATAGCAAAATAATCTATGAAAAATAGATTTAAATTATAAATTATTTTACCCTCTAAAATCAATTCACAACTGTATTTGATTATTTATTATAGTCATTTAATCTGTTGTTGTATTTGTATGCAATAATCTTCACTGTCAACTTCCTATTTATTCAATCACACAAATATATTGAAATCTTGTTTATATTTTAAATGATAGCATATCATAACCATTTTGAAATTTTAACTCCAAAATACTTTGAATCCTTTGTAGAACTATTTTCCCCCTATTAAATGATTATATCTTAACAGCTCGGAATTTAAAATATACAAAAAAGTTAATAAGAAACAAATTAATTCTAATTATAAGATAATATTGTCAGATAACTCATCTTCACAATTATTTTGATTGTTGCTTCTTCCTCATTGCGTTTAATAGTTTATATTCTCATTAGAATTAATTAAAATAGACGCCATAAATTTAATAAGAAATTATCTTAGAAACTTTAAAGATAATTAACCTATTAATTAGTTTACTTCCTTAATTATTTTAGTTATTAACTTTATGGATGGATAATACTCAATTAATTTAATAGTTAGATCTCAGTATATATTATTTTTATTATTTTTTGTCATATCAAAATTTATTAGTATTTTAGAAATTAATAACCAATTCGTTTTGTTGTTCTATTAAATGCTGCTTACATTTTTATTTTAATGATGATGAAAACGAATTAGATATTTTAATTGTTATTGACCTCTTTGATTGTTGGAGTATTATTGATATCATCAATAATTGAGAAAAACTGTTTTGATTTAAAATATAAGTTATTATTAGGAAATCTTTGGGGAACTCACTTCATTTATCTAATCTTTGAACTTTATACTTCAACAGTCTAGAAATATGAACGACTGAATTAAATTTTGGGAGGAGTGCTAATAATCAATTATTTTATACTACTTTTATTATAGATGTTTGATATTTTAAGAACTTCTGTTATAATCACAAGTATTATTATTGCAATTTATATATAGAAAAATACTATTCAAACTTCAAGGAAAGGAATAAACATAAAACTTATGACTAACAATATTTTGGTGCAATTACTTTCCCAAGCTTGTCTCAAATATGACATAAGTTTAAAAGCTGAATACCTTAAATACTTTAACTTGATTGAATATTATAAAAGAAAATTTAGTAAGTAAATTTGTATAATTAAATATAGACAGAATTTCATATTAATTAAAATATAAATAAATGATTATTTTCATTAGTGCAATCTTGTATGTTGTAAATTCTTTTGTTGGAGATCTTACATGTTCAAGTTAACTTACTCAAACCACTTGCGAGAATCTTGGATACTGCTTTTGGGATGGTTCACTTTGTTAAATCGAAGACTGCTATAAAATAGATGAAATAGCAGCATGTAGAGCAACCGGGATTCTACACACCCCTCCAACAGTTATATGCAATGCAATTGAAATGGATTCATATAACTATCAAATATATGCAAATGTTTGTAATGAACTGAGTGATGAACCTAATGAATTGGTTTAACATTATATTAGATACTAAGAACCCAAAAGTGGATATCCTGACAAAAGTTCTGATGGAGTCACTTTGGCTTTATGGAATACACTTTTCCCACAATTTGGATATATAGGATAAATCTACACAATTTAAATATTAAAACAAACCATGTTGTAATTGGATTAGACTCTGGACTTATACGTCAGATATAGATCTTTGTTTTTATACGATACTCAATGGACATACGATCAAGAGAAAGCCATATCTTATATGTTTTAGCAATTGAGAGTAATTTATGATTGATATTATGAAAGGATGACACAACTTTAATAAACACAAATAAAAAACCGATGATTACAAAATTATGGTCTGTTGTAGATAACTTGTTAGAAAGATTTAGAATAATTGGTAATAATTATACAGCTATTTACCCTCTGTATAGTATAAGTTAAGTGTCCTTGTCAAGACTGCAAGCGGAATTGTCGGGTCGCAAACATCTAGCCACTTTCAAATGGTCACAATATATATAGAATGGATACGTCCAGCTATTGGGTTATGACTTACATTAGTTTGGGTTTGAAGGTTAGTTGACTTAAGTTTACGAATTCAATGTGTATGATTCAGGGCACAACCCATTAGCTTTGACTTATGGAATCATCTACACCTTTTCTTTTGATGTATCTACCTTACCTACCCTATACCTCTATTCATTCAATAAAGCCACTCTTCAAGAAACTTAAATAAGAGCATTGATAATAGGAGCCTTTGATGATTGTAGTTATGATTCAATTACTTTAAAATCTACTTGCAGGATTTATCCTTTAACATCAAACACCTAATATTTCATAGGTCCATCGCTAACCGCTTGTGGGAGTATTAGTAAGAGATACCAATGTAAATAGCCTCGTTGTTTATGGACAGGCTCAATCTGCACAAATAATCCACCATGATTATTTAGATAATATAATATTTCATATCATTTTTATTTTTTATGATCTCTGTTATAAGAGGAAGGACTCCAGTTGGGAATGGTGCTGATTGAGAACTATATAATAACGCTTAAATTTGTATACCCAATACTTAATAATCAAGTCTATTGGATGAAAATAAGGACAATAATCTATGAACATATTTTGATGTTCGATGTAGTCTAAATTTGTTATTAGGATTACTTAATCCAACACTGAAGTTTGCAGCAGGTAGATAGATTAGATATAAGTCTGAGAATACTCTATTTAAATGATGAAGTGTCCTTCTAATAGAAATTAATTGAAATCAAGTAGGAATATTTGAATAATCTTCTTTATAAAAGCCGAAAAATTACTATTAATATGTAAATTCCAAAATATAGTGCTACTTTTTTCTCTTCATCAACTTTTAGAAATGGAGTGATCTTTTTAATTACAATTGTAAAATCAACTTTATATATATAACTCTTTAATAGAACAATTAATTATTATGTATATATGGTGATGATTAATAAAATTATGTTTGTTTTGATATTTATCTTCATCATAACGTTATAAGCTTCAACATACGTTGGATAAAGTCCCTGCTCAACATTAACAATAGCAAATTGTGGAGCGAATGCACATAATGGAGAAGGTTGGTGTTATTGGGATAGGTAGAACGTGAGAATAATAAATTAGCCTTCTTACTCCTCCTGCTTGCGTAACTTTACCTTGCTATCTAATTGATGAAGTAGCTGCCTGTAGAGCAGGAGGATCTTTAATAACAGGTGGTGCATTTACAGAATGTGATTCTCTGGACACAATTAGTTTAGAATATGATAATGTTTGTTGTGATAAGGGTCTTGGTAAATTGAGTCACGGTTTAGTAAGATTCCCCATGAATTTTGATGGGTATGTTGATTCAACTAATAATGATATTCCTACTCCTATTTCAGTCTTGGATATAACTATCAGCGTCAAAGAAATGTTCAAATTGTATACTATCAACCCTTGGCTGGCATATAAAGAACTAAGTGAGTCTTAATTTGAAAGCAAGCTCAAAGCTATCTTAGAAAAATACTTAGAGCAATCTACAAGAGACGTTCTACTAACAGAACCAAAATCTCATCCCTTCTACATTGAGCGAACAGTCTACTAGTGTCTATAACTACTAAGAGATTGGACTGTCATTCACAAGTCTTCTGATTCCCTTAGGTATGCTATCCTACCTAAGATTTGGAGTCTTGCTCTTATTGCTTTAACTAGAATGACTAAATTTCAACCCAATTACTATCAATCCCACCATTATATTATCAACTTTGCCATAATTCCGTATTTCAAAAACTATATCAAAATACTTGGCTAAGGACATACTTTGACTATTGATTGGAGTTCTTTCTTTTACAATAGTAATGGTTTTATGATGGTGTATTCATATCCTCCTGAGCAATTTGGAATTATCAACACTTATACTGATGTATTTTGTATTCGTCCATTCCAAGGATCAACTGTTACATATATAGAATCAGAAAATAATTATGATAGTTCCTTCTCCTAAATTAAATTTACTTACTATTGGTTAGAAGGCACATACTCAAGTATAGACGAAACAAAGGTCAAACTATTTTAAATCACTGATGATACTTCAACTATCACAGATACCTTAGTGGTTTTTACGTGCAATTAATCTCAAAGAATATGCACAAATACTGGTAATTTTCAACCTGCACCTCCGTTGGATGGTAAAGGATAAAATTATTTTCTTGCTCCCGATACTTACAATTCATTAAGTGATTTCAAAAGAGCATAATGTATATTAGCCTATAAAACCTGGACAACTGTTTGCACTTGAATTTTGTGGAGAGAATTTAAATTTATAAATAATTATATTCATTGCTTCCATTTATTATGATAATACAAATAAAGATTCAAAAATATTATATGTATATTAATTAGAACATTCTTAGAAAATATTCCTATTAAAATGATTTAAAAATGTTAATTTCTCTTACTAAAAATCAAAATTTTTTTTATGTTTTTAATTAATCGATTTGGATTCAAAAGAAGTTCTTAAAGAATTTTATTATTAAAATTTCTAAATATAAAACATATATAATTTAGATTTTAAATCTAAAAATCTTTTTTAGTTAATTAAATTACGTATCCCTAAAAGTAAAATATTTATTAACAAATATCAATTTTTTTTTTAACTTGATTTGAGTAAAATAACAAAAAAAACTTACTTACACATTTTTTCTAGTTATCAATAATTATAGATGATTAAATCACAAAAATCCTTATTATTGATAATATAAAATGCATAACATCATTAAGATACAAATTAAAAAATATATGTCCGTGAGTAAAGAGGTTCGATCATATGAAGATAATTTCGGTTGATTATTATTATAAATGTTGAAAAATTATTGGATTCATGATATAATTTAAGTATTATAAAAATTTAATAAGAAGTTATTATTTTTATATTAATGAATAAGTTCACACTGTCATTTAATGCTAAGGAGTTAGAATTAAAATACTAAGAGAATAGATACAATTTTACCATTCCTGTTTTTAAAGGAATTAGTTTGATCAGCTTTATCATTTGTGTTCTCAGAACTATACTATCATTCATCTTTGAAGAATATTTAACTCTCTATATTTTTCTAGGTTTAGGGATCTTAGTACTCATTACAACTTTTGTTATACTCTATTATAAAAAATCATGGATTGATAATTACCTCATATTTATAAATCACATACTTATGGTATACTAATACTCAGTTAATACTGGGTATGATGCTCAGGAAGCCTATCTTTTTGGATAAATGATGATGACTCTACATATAGTGATTATGCTGATATCAGATTTCAAGTGTGCCTTACTCCAATTAATCAATAACCTTATAATAAAAATTTTGATTGCAGAAATCAGCAATGGTAATATTTCACTATAAACGTATTTGTATACATTTTTTATTGCGTTTATGGCCATCTTTGTATTGTAGAGAACAAACAAGTAGTATAGATAATCGTTTCTATTTACTATCACAGATAATTCCTAAGGTAGTTTAATTATTATCATTAGAATCCAAGAAATGTTTATTCCTTTATTGCTTGATAACCCCTTCGCTTACTTTACATTCGACCAGAATCACTTATCATTTTAAGTTCGACTCTCGAATTTTTCAGAATTTCCCTAATTCAATCAATATTAGTAGAGTTAAACTAACTTAAAGGCTCTGCTAAGAAAATATGTGATATTTGGAACTACCTTAGAGGATTTCATTTTTAATAGAGTTAACACTCATAATAACAAACTACTTGTAAACAAAATCCTTGAATTGAATAATCAAAAAAAGCCTAATGAAAAATTAATTGTAAAATATTCTGAGTTCTATATTACAGAATTGATGTTTATGATAGTAATTGATTAGAAACAATAAATTATTTTATCTTAAAATCAAAAAATAAATAAGCTAGAGAAAGGAATTAAAGTTTTTATTGGCGGCATAAATAAATTTTTGTAAGCTCAACTCCATTTAATCAATAAAGCAAATTATGACAGAAACTCTTTCTATAAAATGTAAACTAAATTAATGTACATTCTAACTAAATTTTCTATCTCCAAAGATATTGCCCTCTCCTCCTGTGACATTAATTCAAAAATTAGTTACTTTATTAAATTGTACCAAAAAGCCTACAATATTTAAATTTAATATAGACATCATCATGCTGATCATGATTTTTGTATAATTACAATGAAATAAATGCTTAATTAATTACTCATCAAATTAATGACCTTTTTGTCTAAACATAATGAAGATTAAATTTCAATTGAAATTTTCTCTGAATAAAACTTTATTGATTTAATAATTTATACAAAATCTATAGCTGCATTACATGTATAACTCTAAAAAAAGACGAATTTTAGAAAAATCCTTAAAAAAATAGGACCATTTGATAAATTAATAGTTAATTAGGAAAGTAATTTTATCTTATTATTCAAGGTATAATTATTCGTTTATACAAAAATATGGGACATTTGGAAGATATGAATCCATTTGAATTATCTTGATTCATCTGATATGATTATATTTGATAAATATTGTTTTAATTTACAATTATAATTTGTATAAATAGCCTATCATTAGATGATTTAATTTCGTAGTTGGAAGAACTTAGGACTGAAGATTTACTTCAGATCTAAAAGTTTAGGTTTATATTTTTAAATTAAGGCCAAAAAAACTTAGTATGAAAATATATTTTAAATTCCAATATCTACTATTTTTTAAATCATTAATCTCCTGAGCTCTTCTACTTTTAAGTTTAATAATTGATAATCTTACTATTTTAGATAAATAGAGTCAGATAGTAGAATCAAAAAATAATCATAATTATAATAAAAATTATATAAAAAAAATAACTTTATAATTTTAACTCTATTAGAATGATTCAATTATTATTTATTAAGGAAATAATCTCAAAATTATTCTATTATGTGATTAGATATGTGCTGTAATAAAAAATATTAATTGTTCCAGAACTTATTTAATTATTTGTTTAATCTTAATTTAGATGAATAGTTAAAATTTGAGATAAAGTTTGAATTATTTGGAATATTTGAAATATTTCATATTTTTTTACATTCATCATCATTTTGAGATTCAATATTGTCATGAATACCAGCTCCAATTAGTAGTATCATTGACAAAAATAATGTAAATATTCCCATAATATATGTACCGATTACATATACAAGAGAATCTGGCGGCCAATATATCAAGTAAATAACACAGCAGATTGAATAGAACAAACATGAAATTCCTTTTATAATACAACGTTCACAACAACAGTCTTTTTTCTTTTTACATAAAGAACAGACTTTAATCATCATTGGTTGATAGTCTTCAATTGAAAGTGTTTGATTAATCATAAAAAAATTATATTATTTTTAATGAATTATTATAAACTTTGATAAATATTAACTATTAAAAGTCTCCAAACTTATCTCATAAACTAAATTTAATTAACTCTAATTGGAATGTACGTTTAGAAATTGAAGATATGGAACAAATAATATTTCTTAAATAATTTTCATTATTCTTATTATTCTTTGAATTCGATATTTAAGCCTTAGTTGTTATCCTTTCCTAATACTTTTATTGTATTCGTCCTAGCAGCTCCAATCATATATACAAGACCAGTAATTAAAAAGACTAATGCAACAAAGCTTATAACTGTTATGCTTGCCACAGTCAAATCTATAATAAATGACAGTAAAATGCATAAACCGAAGCACAACAACGATGCAAATCCTTTTATGGCACAATCTATACAACATGAATTCGAAAATTTTTCACATAATTAACAGACCTTATAATTTATAGACTAATAGTCATTCATTTAATTTTTTTATTAATTCTATAAAAATTCTATAATTCCAAAGAGATCCTAAATTTTAATGATGTTATTTTTAGAACATAAATTTTATATTCATATTTCACTGTGATATATTGATATACATCGCCTAGGCTAATCTTAAAGCTAATATAAACCATCAATTAATTATTTTGGCTAATTATAAGGATGGAGATCATGAATAAGTTATTAATCATTGAAAATTATTGTGAGAAGGTCCATATTTAGAGTATATTGATTTTTAATTTAAATTTTAGTTAAAATAATTTTTTAGGAAGCTGATGAAGATTTATGTATGTTAATAGAATTATAAATTAAGATTGATATGATATATTTTGAAAAGTTTTGATGCATTTTTTCAATCTTGAGTTTAACGTTATATAATTTAAATATAAAATATGAAAATGTAAACAATTCGGACTATTGATTTTAGCAAGGCAAATAAATAGATAAAGGATCTGTCCAATAGATTTCTGTAGAGCAAAATGCTTAGGAAGAACAAAGAGAATTGCAATCCAAATACGGGGTCTTTAGAGAGTGCAGCGAAATTACTCTTAGAGGCCTTGCAAAAACCTATCTTAAGAAATCTGAGAGATTTAATTAGGATTAAGGAATCAATGGTTTGCGAGAGAAATATTTTCGATGAAGTTTGTTCGATGGGTTACAGTGAGAATTCAGATGTGGGAGAAGGGTTCAAGATTTCTTTTGCCAACCTCAGTATCAAGTAGGAGAGCATTGTTGATTGTGAGAGCATTTAACCAACCAATGCTCCGATTCTATTGTTTATGGTGTTATAAAACATCCGAAAGAAGAAGATGATTATCTCATTTCAAGAAATCAAATATTTTATTCTTTAAAGGAACTTAAAATCAGTTAATAAGAGATTGCAGTATGCAAAGAGAGAACAATTAAGAAAGATACTAATAAATAAGAGGAAACAGGAGGAGTTATTGATGTAGGTGTACTTGAAATATTGGTCTCAGCAAACATAACTTTTGATATTTTTTGATCACTTCGGATCTAAGATTGAGAAGATTTACAAAACCAAACTCAATCAGCATTTTAATACAATGAAATGTTAAATTCAAAGGAGAGAGGGATTTATTCGATTAACAAGGTTTGTAAATATTAAATTATTTGAATATGGATAATGTTTGAATAAAGTCTATAAGAATTTGCATTTGCAAAAATGTTTATAGAAGGTATTCAAATAGTAAATTCAATTTTCATTTTAGCAAATTCAATCTGTGAAATAAGGATCTCCGATTATATTTGAGTTATTGTATTAATTTCAAAATAAGTTATAGAAATAAAGCATTAAAATATTATTATTACACTCATTGAGGTAGAAGAGGAGATTGAAGTCTTTTTCATATGGATTGTAGGATTTAGATAAGATTTTTAAGAAAATAAATTGTAGATGGGGATTTAACAAATTACAAAATAAACACCAACATAAAAGAATGATGTTACCAACAAAATATTTAGTAATGGCCCTCCAAAAACTATAGGATCGATAAAAGCATTGGGTTTTGCGCAAATTAAATTAATGAAATATTATAAATATATTTAATGTCTAAAAAGCAAAATTCTTAGTCAACTCCAGAGATTCTACAATATAAAGTCCGACCACAAAACCATTATTAAATCGAGTAGTTGGTTTTAAATGACATGAAAAAAAAAATACTAAATGATGAGATGAATTCCATCTAATTCTATGATATTATACAGCCAGATATGGTATTCCTGATTCATATTTAGAATGAAATTGTGGCCACTAATCCAAAGGATCTAACGAAAAAGCCAATCAAATTGCATAAAAAAGTAAAACGCTCAGATTTAGAATCAAATCTCAGAAACAAATTAATAAATGAACCTGGTGGTAAATTGTTACTCTAAGAAATGTAACTACTCTATTTATTCTAGTTATGAAATTTTGGATGAAGACGATATGACTCAATAAGTAAAACCTGTACTTCACAAAGAAGAGTAATTCAAGGGAAATACATAGTATAAGTAAGAAAGTGATGATTTGATGGTGGCCAATTTGGACTAATGGTGGAAGTAAGTGAAAGTGAAGAAATAGTAAGAATTTGAGAAGAAGTAATTAGAGCTTGAGAAAGAAAGTATTTAGCAATTTTCTTAATGTAGAATAGGTAATAGCCTAAATCTAAAAGGCAGTATCAATCTCATCACTGAGGAGAGGTGCTGTAGATAAAAGAACCAATACCACGATCTTGCCAGCCTTCCCCAAATTGATGTAATCTCAATCATCTGATGATAAATCTCCAAAAACTGAAAGCTAAACTCTTTTTCAGGCTAAAATCAAAGGTTCTTTGGCCAAATTATCAAATTAAAAGAAGGCTGAATTGTTACATCAAGATATTGGTTTGGTCAAATAATTAGATAAGTATCATTAATAAGGATCGACCTTAACTTAATAAGAATTAATTAATATTGAATAGGCTAGGCAGAAGTAATCACATGAAGAGAAATAGACAGATACACTGATTTTTGATTACACTGTAGAGGGGCTCAAAAATAGTTTACATACAAGAATCAAAATGAATTTAACCCATTTCCTAAATGCAAATGAGAGAGCTGTTTTTTATGAAAAATAGACCCAATCAATTTTACAATAGATAAATTCGAAATTAGATAAATAAAAAAAGATTGTGGGTAAAAATGAACGTGATCTCGAAAATTTGAGGATGGAAAATCATGAGATCTACAATAGACTTAGGTCTATTGAAAATATATAAAAACAATTAAAAGAAGAGCTGGGCAATGTTGGAAACAACAACAATAATTAAGTCTAAAAATCCAACAAATCATCAAATGTGGATTTTTATATGGCCTCAGTTGGAAAATAAAATGAAATAGACTCTTAATTAGAAACTATGAAAGATAGTTATAAGAAATACAAAATACAAATTTAACTCAATTTTAAATAAATAGAAAAATTAGAAGCTGAAAACTCTAAATTAAATAAAAATAATAAAGAATTATTAAAATCTATTTAAGGATTTCTTTAGGAATTGCTTAAAATTGGTCTCGATTGTAGAAAATAAGGATTAAGTTGGATTATTAAGGCTATTTGGGATACAAATGAAAAATTAAGGGATGAGAATTTTCCTTCTTATTTAGATTCTAAAGGAAGAGAATTCCTAATATTAAAAGCCAAAAAAATGGTTGAATTAAATGATTTATTTATTAGAGCTCATCAACTATTTGGAAGCTACCATGGAAGGTTAGAAACCTCATAAGATAATTTAAACAATTCGATATTATCCATTTTATCTAAAAATCATTTTTCGTAAATTGATTCCGAAGAAATTAAAAACAAGACATTAAGAGAAAGAAGAATGAAATCTAGTGGAGAGATCAATCTGTTACTTAAAGGATTAAATAGGGAAGAAAAGTAATGTGTCTAAGGAACTCTTACATCGATTTTTTAAAGTAAACAAACTTTAAATGACATAATTTACACTGAAGCACAAAAAAAGATTTAGAAAATGTTTAAGACTGAAACAAGCATGGCATTAGAGTAATCGTTTATAGCTGAAGATAAAGAGAGATTAATAAGAGAATATTAATAAATTTAACAAGATATTGAAGCGAAGGAGATTATGTTTAAGAAATTTGAAGATTTAGAACTGTAGAGGATTGTGAAAGAAATAGATTACAAAAAGTATTTACATAGGTAATATATATCATATAATTTGAGATTTTCTGTGGAACCCTTATAAGTATTATCTGCATTATTTGGATACGTGAAGGCAGAAAGAGAATTGATTAAATAAGGTATGATGCATATATCTAATAATTGAGTTATTAAAATTGATCATTTATTTATGGTTGTCTTCTTTTGACAAGGCATCATCTATATCTGTACATTTTTCTTTATAGAGATTTTTGATGCTTATTACTACTATTATTATTTCTGTAATTATTGTAAGGATGTATTTGTAGGATCCTCTTCTTATTATGCATTTTCTACAATTTCATTTAGCTATTTGTAAATAGGAGGTTTCTGAGTTTTATTAAATCTTTTCAAAGTGGCTGTACTGCTACTTGAACTAGTTGGTTTTGCATTACCCCCAGTTGAGGGTTTGACTTCAATGTCATCTATTTTTTTTGTATTTTTTTTATAATTAGTAATAGGATTTTATTCAACAACTCTCAGAATGCTCATAATATCTTTTTATTTTGAATCTTCAATAGTGGCTATCTCCATAAATATGGATAATGTATCACCTAACCATCTTAAGATAAAGACTCCTCCTTTATGTTTTTTTTAGATGAGATTATCAACTTTAATTCCCTTTTTGAATTCTTGTTTAAGATTTTCTATCAACATCTTTTCCTATTATATGTGTTTGGCCCTATCATTTTTGAGACTTGAAATTTTATTTTTTACTAAGAGTAGCCATCTATTTAAAAAGTGTTTTCCAAAATCATGATTCAATTATTCATAAAACTAAAGGGCATTTTCAAAATTAATTTTGGCCTAGAGTAAACTTCGTTCTTAGAGTGAAATGTAACCACTAGCAGCTTCACAACATGCCACACCTAAAGTACAACCCTTTTTAATGAACATCTCCTTGGCCTATTTAAATGCTTATTGTGATTTCTTAGGTTCCTTAAGCATATAGTACACACATGCTTTCGTTTTGATAATATTGGCAGTGAATAATAAATCTCCATAAAAATATTAATATGCCCAATTAATAAATTTAAGACATTCATTATATCTTCTTTGAAGTAATAAGATTTAACAATAATACAAGATTAGTTTCTGAATTTTATCTTTTTTATTTGGTTATTGAGCCGATGAAGTAGATTCTTCTTTGGCCTTGCCTGATTTGGCTCTGTCTCCCATTTTAGGAATGATTTATCTTTTAGATAAAGGTTGGTGTTGCTTCTCATCATCATCGTATTTTTACTTTTTCACATCTTAAGTAATAGGTTTAATTTGTTAATCTAGAAAAGTAACTCTCTGAGTTAAGGGATTGGGATTAGGAGAAGATTTAATAAATTTAGGATCGATTGCTTTCTGGACTTAAGTTTAATCACTTTGAATAGCTTAAGGTATTTGAGATTATTAAAATATTTATTGGTTTTAGGATTCTTAAGGATTGCTAGAGTCATCTATTAGATCAGGTTTAACATTGTTGGAGTTGATCTTAAAGAGTTTTGATTCAACATAATTGATGCTCATTCCATTATCCGAATAATCCTTATTAGATTATAATTCATCCTCTTCACTAATTGTAACACCAACTTTGGCAATGGAAAAAGATTTTCTTTTTGGACCATTAGTCATATAATCATCAGAGATTTAATCATATTTAAAGCTGGATATAACAGAACCAGTGAAACCAACTTTGGAACTTAGATGGGATTTTTGACTATTGTTTTCGTATTTCTTTTGCATCATTTCCAAGTTTTCTTTGGTTAAAGGGAGATTGAATGTTTCATCATCGTTTTCATCGTCTTTTTTTTCTTATTTTAAAGGTTCAATCTCAAATTAACCATTAGATATGACCTCGAATTCTCTGAAGATAGCATTCTTTATATTTTATTCAATTGCCAAGAATTCATCATTTGGTTGGTTGTTAATGTCGTGTGCTTATGTACCTATTTAATTATAATACGTATATGACTTTTTTAGTAACAATTTAACAATATTATGATGATAAATCCTTTTCCATTTTTAGTCCAATTTACTTTCTGCAAATTTAACCGTGAAATTATATAAACAATAATGAGTTTTGGTATTTTTCTTTGCTTGCAATAACAACGAGCTCTTAATCAATTGAGTTGCCAACTTTTCCCATCCTGGACCCCAAACATCGTTTAATTCATCATTATAAATTCCACAAGGTAATAATCCTAACATACCAAAAAAGATTGCTGCCTTCTCATATCTTTCCACTAAGTTAGCCCAACTTAAATTCAATGCCACTCTCAATGATCTTCTTTCCTCTTCAGTCACTCTACTTGAAATAGGTAAGTCCATCAACTATTTATATGATAATTATTAGTATAATTCTTTTAGAGTATAATTCTCCAATAGTCCTGAAGATAAGATTATACCTTGAGGATGGCCGTCTAAAATTTGAAACAAAGCATGATTGGAGAATTTCGAGATCAATAATTTATCATTCAAAGTATATTTATTTAGTAGATCATTGCAACCTAACAATTCTTCGACTTCCTAAATAGTAATTTCTCGAGAGGATGAATTAATGAATAATTAAGCACTTTCTTCTTGAGGCAATCCTTCAATCTTGATTACTCTTCCTTATTAAAGAATTTCACTTCTATTTGTGATACATAAATGACATTTACAATTTGCCAAAATTAATTCAAGAAAATCCACAAATACATCCCGATCGTTAGAATGCATAATTAGATCACAATTATCAAGGATGAGAAGGAATTCCTAATTTTTAATTGTTTAAATGATTTAAGTAACCATCAATTATTTAATTTCATAATTACTCTACAATGCTAAATTTGGCATGAAGATTTAAGCGAATCTACTAGCTACACTATCAAAACTATCACATTAATTTAGTTAGATGTAAACAACTCCATTTTTGAAAATATTCCTTTATGCTATATAAATACTAATTTCCTTAATTAAAGCACTTTTACCGATTCCTAAAACTCCTTTGATATTAATAAGTTGATTTTAAATGATTTTATCAATGACTTCTTACATCTGTTAAGATCTTCCAGTGAAATTGGATACAAGAGAAGGGAGATTATTTTAGTTCTATTGAGGAGTGAGATCCTTAAACTCCCCTTCTCTCAATAACCATGTAGAACATTGATGATGTTACTTTGTAAGCAAAAGGAATTTATTTTCCTCAGCAAAAGGGAATCTCCCTTCAACTTTGACTTAGGTTTTGGCAGCTAGAAAGGCTTAACACACGGTCTATTGTCCTTTGATTAAGCCATGATAGAATGACCTCGCAAAGACACAGCAGGCTTCATCCATTATTTGTTCCTTTGTATGTACACAAATAACATGTTCAGCTCCTGCCTAATGGAAGACTTCGCCTATGAGTTTGGAATGACAGCTGGCTACAAATACAAAGAGGATTGGAGATTTGAGTTTTTGGAGGCACAAGAGGATTTGATTTGCTGAAACTAATTGCGCTACTCCATGCAATTACTCAAATAAGAGGTAGGACTATTGATTTGATTCCATGTAGATTCCATGTCCTGCGTAATGCAATGCTTTTGGGTTCAGATCGAGGGCTTCTCCAAATCTATCCATTCTTGCTGGAGTTGACATAAATTTGATTTCTGCTTTGACATCTATAAATACTTCTTTGATTGAATTCAACTCCTTGTTTATTTCCAATTTCTACAACACTTTCTTGGTGGAATTATTGGTGATTTGTAGGAGTGGTTGGGAGTACAAAAATAAAAAATCAATCTAAGTTTGTTTTGTGGGAGAGAGGGAAGATTTCAAGGGAATCAGAGACATGAGGAAAGTTCGTAAAGGGTCACTGGATGTGGTATCTGTAATGGTAGTCATGGTGTCAGAAGAACATTCTGATGTTTTCGGTTTGAGTAATTATTCAAAATCATACTCCAATGCACTTTCGAATTCTTCCTTGAGGTTTGGACTGAATTTGTCTATCATTTAATAGGTTTTAGAGAACAACTATTTTTAAACGTTGTTGGGCTTTGTTTATGAATCGATTGTAATATTTGATACAACTTCCTGTTCAATGAATTAATCCAAATCTGGCAATGGTTCATCGAAGAACAGGTCGTTCACAAAATCATTTGGCTTCGGTGTTATGTAATCTATGTCTTATTAGCTTTTGCTGATTTGTGGAATATCAACTTTGTTGTGTGAAATCATAGTCGTATTATTTCTTTTAGGTTCTTATTGCTATATAACAAAATTTCCAATTTTAATTTCCCCCTAATCCTTCATCAAATTTTGGAGGATTTTCATCAATGCTTCTTAGTCCATTTAATAGTAAATATAAATAAAAAAAAAAAAGATTTAATTTCCATCTATGGTTCGACTAGAGAAACTCGTCTAGTGAACAATTAGTCAACATACGTGCCCTCAATAGACAAAGAATAATTGGGTCTCCCAGGAAATGGTACTCAGAACCACGAACACCTGCCATGACCCTATCTGCAATGAAATTATTCACCTAAGGATGGACTGGTCTCATCTACAAGATGGTTGAGCCCTTATTTGCTAGGTATTCAACGATCGCTTCATCTCAAAGATTCCTCTACCGATGGATGAGAAACATTGGCTTGGATCGAGGATTGGCATTAGAAGATTTAGTCCTATTTTAGGATAGAGAATTAAGAAGAGATCCCCTCTTCGAACATATCCAAAGAGAAGGATTCCATCCCTACACTTGGATTCTCTTCAATAAAAGAAGAGCAAGATTCTCAAAAGTTGAAAGAGGTGTCAGAGGATCAACAGCTCCAGAATGGTTATAAGCAGAAGCAAGAGAGCGAATATTGGCTGATAGCGTTTAAAACATATACGAATGGGATAATTATGTCTACCAAAATTACATGAGCGATATGACACCTACTGCAAGAGGAACCATCCTTTAAAAGCTATTGCCTCTTGAATGGTTCCTCTTTTTCGGTCTCCTCAGAGTCGACTCTTGGGACAGATACTTTTATAACGAAGTTATGTACAAGGGTCTTGAATACTCAAAAGAAGAATTGGCCAACATTCCAAAACCATTCAAAGCTCAATTAAGTAAGCAATCTTCCAATCCCTTTAGCTACTGAAGAAGGCAGAAGACAATTTGAAATCAATGTCAATAGATTCATCGACCTCTATCCTGGATCAATCGTTAAAGAAGGGTAATTATTAAATTCAATAGTTTTTAGTGAAAAATTTGACTTCCAACGATTCTATGCTCTTGAAGCCATCAATAATAATAGAGACTTGAGCAAATTCGATTCTTCCTTGGTTTCTCAACTCAAATCTGAACTTACACAATAAGTTGAAAAGAAATCAGCAACCAAGGTCAAGAAAGTTAAACCATCATTCCCTAATTGGTTACATTCTGAAGGGAAAGGACTCTTAGCATGATAATAATGCATTACATTAAATATATAATATATTATTATTTAACCAATTCATTTAAGTCATTATTAAATCATATGAATCAACTGATTACCATTCACATTGGAGGAGCAGGATCTAACATTGGATCAAAACTATGGTATAATTTATCGTAACATCGTTAAGAAGATCTCTCCTCAATTTTTTAAGAAAATTCTCACTAATCCTATAAACCTCGATCTATTTTTGTGAATACCATAGACGATTAAGTCCCAAAATATGATGAACCTCAATTCTCTCCTAATCAGTTCTTTTATACCAAAGAAGATACTGGAAATATATATACTGTGGGTCATTATTGTGTAGCAAAAGATTTAATTCCAAAAATATAGGACGAAATTAGAAGATAAGTAGAAAATTGCGATCATTTTTCTGGATTTCTATTTACTCATTCCATAAGTGGAGGCTTTGGCTCTGGATATACTACTCTTCTTTCAAGTTTATTAAAGAATGAATACTAAAAGTCCATGAGCTTCAGTTTTTGTTTGATGCCATCTCCAAATTATAGAAACAACGTTATTGAATCTTATAATTCCATAATGAGTTTGAATTCTATGGTTGAAGCATTTGATGGTGTAATATTATTACAAAATGAAGCTATCTATTAGATTATTGAAAACCAATTAGATATTGAGTTTCCTTCATATAATGAAGTTAATTAGGTTATTACTCAGCCAATAATTTCTTTATTAAAATTCAATTAACAGTAGTCATTGCAAATGCTTAAATTGAATTTATGGAATAAAAATAAATTAAATATTTGGTCATGTTCCTTTGGACCACTAATCAATTATGATTAAAAGCACTTCTCTAAAAAAATCACTTCAAACTCTCTAAAAGATATTATATCTCAAAATTCATACATTTGTAATAAAAGTAAGCCAAACTATAAGTAAGCTTTTCTGTATGCAGAATAAATAAATTAGACTTTATTGTCGAAAACTTTATCTGAACTAGTAGAAAATAAATAGTACTCAATTTATTAGTAAGGATAAGAAGGATAGATAAAATAATTTAAAGAACCGTTTTAGTAGATCAATAGTTAGAAAGAGAATTTGGTCTTTATACATAAAAGCACAGGAATAGCAGAACAACTAAATTAATTACATAAGAATGCTTAAATTCTCTATTAGAAAAGGGCGTTCATGCATTGGTATGTTGGGATAGGAATAGAAGATCAAAGTATTAGATGGGAGTTTTCTTCGTTTGAAGAAATGTAAAATAACTATGCAATTGATGTTAGTAATAATGAATGAAGATAAAGGGATATTGATATATTTATATATTAAATCAAGAAAACCTCTCTAGCCTTTTGATTTTAGTCTTGATTGTTTTTCTTCTCCTATTGAGTTGTTTAATAATGTTTTCATAATTGTACTACTTGAAGTATTTAGTAAAAGTTTTCATAACATCAAGATTGTACAATTTATCCCTTGAGTTTGGAGTGCAATTATTGTTATGAGGAGTATCCACTTCTTCAATTTTCTAAAGATTGATTTGCATGGCATCTTGTGTCTTCTTTCTTAAAAATCCAAGAATAGTCTATCGTTTATTGGGGGTTTGTCTTTTTTATAAGGTGACTTTTGGTTTGAATTGATTTTCATCATTATTATTAGTAATCTTTTGTTCATCCATTTAGGATTCATCAAATTACCAAGATTGGGAGGATTAGAGTTCTAAGCTTTCAGGTTCTTCTTCTGCATCATCTGAATCAAAGATGGTCTTATATTTGATTTTCATGAGATCCCTTCTATCATTGATGAATTGACAGGTTTCTATTTGCATTTCTTTGTAGTTCCTCAAGATTTATTGTTTGACAAAGAAACGCTTATGTTTCTATCTGTCTTAAACAGTTTATCTATTGGACTTAGCAATAGCAATAGCTCTATTAGGCTTATAGATAATATCTTAACAAATGAGATGACCTTCACGTCTACAAAGTGGACAAAATAGATAGAGATTTGAATAATTTTCATAAATTACTTAATCATGAATCATACAAAAGATTTCTTTATCATTGTTCTTCAAGACTTATTTGAATATCTAAGTTGGTATGAAATAGAAGATTGAGAAATCCGAGGTTTTGAGAAAATATTTTGGTTAATCTGCGTTAAATAAGTTTAGGAGTCCATAATGATCTCCTTAGAATATATTACATATGCATTTAGGATTGGTTTTGGATCCCCAGCAGACTTCTGCTTATCCTTTATACAGTAAATATACTCCATCCTAAGGGTTAATAAATTCACCAGGTTAGAAGTACACTTCCTGAATGTGCTACATCAATTCCTTAATGCATTCTATATTAAAATTGTTGACTAAGAATGGTAGTTTGAGTAACATTTGTCCCTTATCCTGCAAATTGATTTCTTATTATAGAGGCAGACTGAGTTTAGAGAATACCCTTTCTTCATTTTGTTTCTACTCACCCAAACCCCACTTCCACAGAGATTTCAAATATTATTACACTCTCCTTTACAGATCTGTATCGCAACCTTTTTTTACTAAGTAATTCTATATAATTCTGGCCTCTTAATTAAACTAGCTCTTATTCTAATCGATATCTTTGAGAACTGTGGTGATTGTGTTAAGAGTGTATGCGAAAATGGCACTGGAAAGCAGTACAATCATGATACAAGCCATCAATTCATTTTCATTAACTGGAACTATATCCCCATAACCGACAGTAGTCATTGTAAGGATGGCAAAATAAAATGCCCATAGATATTGGATATACCATTGATCTTCTTTTAAATTATTATTACTTATCCAACTGGGTTCTTTATCGCCTGCAACTATCCATAAACATGCCTATAATTTGATTATATTAGTTTACTATGATATGGGCCAATAGGAATATGGTCACAAAGAGAGTAATCAATTTGATGTGATTGTTGTATTTGTTTTATGGATCTAATTCATATCTCAAGAATTTGATGAACTTCTTGATTTCAGATATCTTGAAAAAATAGATGTATTTGATGTAGAGTATGTCCTGAAAGAGAAACAATGAAAATCCAACTATTCCCAAGGCATCCAAAAAGAATCCACTCTTCAAATATTACAATGCCAAATATTAGTGTTATTTTATCAATTATCCATTCTTGTAAATTTGAACATTAAATCTTAATACTATATCAAATAACTTGGTTAATATTTATATATACATACTAGAAATAACCATTCCATTAGAAAAATTTATTATTATTGGACTATCATTGATTCTAATTTCACACCAAAAGCATCTATTAAGGGAAATAAAATGAAGATGTGAATCATGAAAAATAATTTGAACATATTCCAAACAATAATGAAGGGGTGACTTGGTTTTATTGACCATTCTTGATTTTTGTTATGTTTCTCAAGAAATCTAAGTACTAATCCTCTGAGCTTACCCATCTGAGACTTTGATTCATAATAAATTGATTCAAACTGGGTTTCCTGCTTTTTAACTTGTTTGCTAGCAGTGCCTTTGGAATGTCCAGACCCAAAGTCATCGATGACATTCAATTGCTTTTCTGTCAAGGTGTGAAACTGTTTGACCTACCACTACTAACCAATTTTACTTGTGTCGATTATCTCATCCTATTTATACACTTCATCAGCACCTCTCTCTTCTCAGCCTTGTTTCTAATGGTCTACAACATGAATGCACTCTTCCAATCGGCATCCAATTTACGCCGTTTCTCCACCAAAGTAGCTCTTGAATTGTCAGGGGAATATATGTTTATTAAATTTTCAGAAGCATTCATAATACTCATGTGTCGACAAAATTACTTGTTTAAATAACACTTTAAAAATAATAAAGAAACACTAATTAAATTTGAAAATTGATTAAAGCAATTTCCTATTTACTAAAATCAACATATCTTTTATATTGTATAATTAATTCAATAGCTCTACTTTTATATAATATAATTATTTTATAATGAAGTATCAAATTTCATCCTTTCTAATTTTGCTCCTCATCGCCCCTTCTTATTCTTCGTGTCTAAAGGCTCTCTCCTGTTAAAATGAATAATCATATGAATATTAACAATTTGCTGTTCTTCAAATGATGAAATGCTACTATCAGATGCACAATAAATCGCTTCATCAAAATGTGGAATCCTTGAGTGATCATGATTGGTATGTCCGCAACCCCTATCTAGGATGATATTCACCATGTTTTCGAACCAATTCAGCCTGCTCTGCAACTATCATAGCATCCTCAATGATATCAATTAGATCACCAACTCCATCAATGGCATCAAATAGCAATAAGAATATGATGAGTAACTTGTCTAACAGTTGACTCATAACTTTAAAAAGATGAGTCAATACAGTATTAATTTTACTTCGGCAATTGAAGTGTTTCAGAACACACTAAAAAATGAGAAGGTATATAATTTAAACTATTATTTTTAGGTTAGATTAGATAAATACAATAATATTTCTAACCATTTATCATTTATTTAAAATCAAACACAACTTAATCAGACCACTTCATTCAGTAATCTCAATTATTTATTGCAATTAACCAACAGTCTCCAACTGATATCTGATAATCAAATGCAGGACTCTATTAAGTTTTACTTAATTTCCTCCTTTGCCCTTTACTTAATTACGAGAAGAAGCCCTTTGAAGGAGAAGCAACAGATTATCTTAGCGCAAGTAAGTATTTTACTTCTTGTTGAATGCCTCATATCTGTGGTGTTGACTCAACTCTTAGTTAAATATGTTAGGTTATTATTAAGTCTATATAGATTTGGTGCAATGCTGTTTATCCAATATTCGATAATCAAAGCATTGTTATATAGTTCATAAAGTGAAAATGAAATAAGTGTAGTCATCAATTAAATCAAGAACAAATATAGAGTGGAATGAATGGGATAATTTAAATGATTGAGAATTGAACTTCAAATAAATATTTCCATCTAGATATAGATTTACATTCTCACTAACGTCAGGAGGGAAATTATTAAAATTTTATAATATAATAAAATTTGACTGAAATTGGACTGAAAAATTAGCTCAAATCCTCGCTATATAAAAAAGTTCCAGACAACAAAAAAATTAATATATAAATGAGTAGAAAGCAACACTTTATTGAGAGAGATGATATGGAGGAATATTCAGATATTTCTTATCGAGCTTATTAATTTACACCGAAAAAGGGGTTTGAAATGGGCCTTATTTGCGGTTCATATAAAAATCTTCAATCAAGTTCTAGATAATAGAGATCAAATTTTTCAAGACAGAGTCAGTAATTTTATAACAATTCTTCAAAGTAAACGAAGGCAAACAATCAAGTTCAAGCATTTGATGAATTGCTCTAATAGAAGGATTACAGTTCTAAGAAACAAAAGCCAATGCCCTATTTCGGGTCTTTCAATTAGGTTCAACCGCAGGAGAGTTTCTGCAAGGAAGATGAGGACGAAAAAATATTCTACAATTAGTTAGGGAACATCCAACAATAGATGATTCATTTGGATTAGATAATAGAGAAGATGGAACAGAAGATGCAAGACATAAAGATTCAGTAGTTAAATTTCTTGAATAATAAGAACAACATATTGGAAGTTGAGCAGGAAGGCAGCGATAGATAACAATAAAAATGCTCAAATAATAATGGCAGTTAATGGAAGGTTTTCAGTTTGAAGAAAGAGATCCAAAATGATTAAATAGGTATCGCCTTTCATTCATTGTAGTTGAATTGGGGAAAGCTGATGATTTCGAGAAATACTAGATAGTTTACATACAACAAAACATAAATGGATTGGTGGGCAGATTGAGTCATTTGCTCTAAAACCAATCCCAAAAGAGATTGAGTTTTAGAAATTCTGAAAATGATGAAGGGGGGGAGAGTTGTTTCTCCTTCAATCGAAACTCGAATCAGTTTGTAAAGATCTATAAATGCAAATTCTGTTCTCAGAAGTTTCAAAAGGCCTGTTCTTTGGGGTATAAATTTAATCTAATTTTAGTGGCCACATTTCGAGATCTCACAAGGAAGAGTCTTAGCAAAGTAAGAAGGAGGCTTAGCCGATAAAAAAGACGAGCATCTAGAAATAAAAGAAAGCCTCTTTGTAAAAATCAATAGGAATGTAGCTCATGAGATTATGAACAAACATTAATATAATTGAATAATTCATAAAAATTGAATATATGCATATGATGTATTGATCATTCTGATAGTTTTTGGTTGATATATTCAATTAATCTATCTACGATATCGATTTCAGTTTATCTACAATAGGAATCATAAAATACCTGCTAACTTTTTGGTTGCTGTATTCTTAATCCTCTAATTCGTTGATTCTGGTGGCATCCTAGATGTTCAATTGGGTGACTTCAACAATAGCATTGGAAATATTGATTAAACCATCTAATTCGTTCAATCTTGATTGGATTTCCTTGAGTCTATTGTTGGCAGTGGCTAAAGAGACTTGAAGAGTTTGTTTTTCATTTCTCAAATCATCTCCCAATCTACTGAGATTGTCTACTTGAGTCTTGTGATTAGCTTCCAATTAATCTTGTCCTTCTTGTAAGGCAGTAATCAATCTGGCAACTAAGCTCAAGACATTATTCAAAGTTTCTGGATTCACTTTGGTGGTCATTTCAGCCAAACCTTCGATGATTGGTTGGAAGAGAGTGAGTGAACTCTTCTTGGTGTGAGCTTCAAGAATCTCCTTGATCTTTTAGAAGTTCTCCTTAGTTTGAATAAGATTGGTTTTGGTGTCTTAGCTAGATGAATAGAGATGATAAGGAATACGTCAATTGGATAAGTGATGCTCCTTCTCCTCTCAAATTAAGCAATAATCTTTAGGCTTCTTTGCATGCTAAGATGGCATCATTGTAATCAGAGAATTTGGTAGCAAAATCTGCATTTTCAGCATCAAGTCTAGATTGAGCATCAGAGCTGCCTCTGCCATTTCTGTCAAGAGCTGCTTAATCTTCTTTAACTCTGGTTTAGAGTGTAGTCAATTCATTACTAAGACTGGATTGTTCTTATCTCTAATTATCAAGATCTTATTAGGCTTATTCTAATGTGGCTTGAAGTTTGGCGAGGTCAACTTGAGATCTTCTAGTGAAAGTGGCATTTTCTGAATCTTGCAATTGTGTGAGTGCAATCAATTCATCCTTGATTTGTTGGAGAAGTTGTTTAAGCTCGTTGAGGGATCCACCAGTTTTCATGTTAACACTGACCAAGTTAATCATGGATGATCCAAAAGGATGTTCGGCATAATTTGACAATCTCTATGTGAGGTCACCAACTGTTGAAGCTGTTGCCAGAGCAATGACTAAAAGAAGCAATGCTGATTTCATAATATATTAATAAAAACAAAAAACGAATACCTTAATGGAATAATTAAATAGTGAAGAATAAGTAATTATTGAAGAGATTAATCATTCTGAACACACTGAAATACATATCATAGAATATATATGTTACCCCTTCTACCTGGCCTTGTTATGTCTCTTATGCATACTAATCAACCTCAACAAGCGTAAATTTAGAAGAAGGTAACATCTTGTCACTTATAAATTATAGATATCGAGTAGATGAGATATTCCTCTTCATTGCAGTTTATTTGTTCAATGTGTTGATTACTTGGAATTTCTTTGATTTCTTTGACAAAATAGTGAGATTCATAATAACCCTAATCATAATATTTGGCATTCAGCATTACATCGGAAGAGTGCAAATTGTAGGCGTCACAGGAGGAATTGGTTGTGGCAAATCCACAGTGGCCAAATACTTCAATGAATTCCTTAAAGTCCAAGTAATAGATTGCGATCAAATTGCCAGAGACATTGTAGAACCTGGAAAACCTGCTTATAAACTTATCGTTCAGAGATTTGGACTCTCCATTCTAGCAGGTCAGCAAGATGGACAGCCTATTGAGAGATAGAAGCTAGCAGATGTGGGTAATGAGTATTGATTAGCATTTTCAGTATTTCAAGACAACCAAAAAAGGAAATAATTACAAGCAATTACAAATAAATTCATTTTTAAAGAAATCGCTAAATCCATATGGAAAATCTGCTTCGTCCAAAAGGATCAATATGTAGTCATTGATGCTCCCCTCCTCTTCGAAAGCAAAGTCTTAGAGTATTTCTGTTTCCCCATTATCACGATTGTTGTGACTAGTCAAGAAGAAATTATCAAAAGGTGAATCTGCATTGTAATTATAGAGTCAAAGAAAGAAGTGGTTTAACTGAAGAACAAATATTGCAAAGAATTGAATCACAAATGAAGGCAGAAATCAAAATCAAAAAATCAGATATCGTTATTACGAATGATAAGTCTGAGAAATCATTGATAAGACAGGTTCAAGAGAAAGTATTTGAGTACTTAATTTGATTTTTGAAGTAATATTTTGATATTTCATGCAAACGTATAATAATGTGTAATCAACATAATTCTTACTTATTAAATATCAATCACAAGGGTGGACATGCATAATATAATATATAGAGTATCCAATTAAAAATTCTTAACGAAAACTATAATGATATAATACATAATATTATTTCTATTTAATTTACACTTTTTATTTCATTTTTACATCCTCAATAAAACTTCTTGATTTCTGTCACTTACATTTAACTACCTTATTCAATGGTAGTAATTGGACCTTTAAGTTAATTCCAATGAGAATATTATATAAATATTATAATTATTTAATTGATCAAAGAATTATGACGATTATAAATACAATCATCATATTGTATAATCCGATATTAATAATATCTGATTAACTAAATTTCCAAAAGGCCAGATAACTTTGTTTGTAGTACTCAGTCCAACCCTCCTTCTAACTCAATGAAATTTCTTTCCTCAGCATAAAAGGAACAAACATAAAAATCCATGACATAAAAACAATCAAGTAACTTAAAACATTGTTCGTAACCATTGCAAATGAAAGATATATCAATATCTCTCCAGTATAATTTGGATTCCGATTCACCTTGAATAATCCTTCCTTTATTAAACCTTTCTTATATTTTAAAGTATAATATTTTTAGCAATCGCTTGACATCATTAAAACAATGCCAATTACATACAATACAATTATTAAACTTACATAACTGGGTTTGATTTCATTCTAACCAAACCCAGTCACTTATATAATTGGCATAATCCAATAGGCTATCAAAATTAGACAACCGCCAATTGCAGATGGAATTGTTGTGTATTTCTAGAAATTTTGATCTGGAAAAGTCAAATCCTTTATTATCCAGAGTATGCCATAGCTTCCGTGTAAGGCTAACTAAAGGATTAATCAAACAATAAACTACATAAAGATAAGTTCCGAATTCTAAGTTTTATGTGTAATACATCAGCAACAGAATATAGGGCAGAGTTAGTGCTTTGAAAACATTGACTATCCATCTTATCTAAATAGGTTTCGGTCCTCCCAAAAAATCATACATACAATAATCTAAGAAATTTACATATTGTAATAAATATTTATTCATAATAATAATATCATCCTTGAGAGTCTGGATGCTCATATCCAAATTCTGGCAGTTGATCCAAGTTCTCAACAACTTTTTTGAGGGCTGGGTATTTATCCAAATTGACCAAATAAGATACATCGTCCCCTCTAAATGCTGGGTACAAGAAAGCATCGGCTATTGTCACTTAGTTTCCGAATGCGTAATCTCCGCCATGTTTTTCCACCAGAGTGTTTAATGCTATTATGTATTATACTCAATATACCTGTAAAACCTCTCTCCAAGAAAGGTTCTGAAATTTCCTATCTATTTATATCACTCACATAATTGTGAACGTATTTGTAGAATCTAGATGCATGATATGGGTGAATGCCACTATTCACGGTTTCACACATGGATCTAGAGTATTATATGGTATTACCTAACGATGGCTTTCTCTAAGGGAGACTTTGGAAGTAATTTGGTTCTTGGAAACTCTTCCTCCAGGTATTCTGCAATGGCCATACTCTCATGTAATAATTATCCATTAATTTCTAGAGTAGGAACAATCTATCAATATTTAATGACTTCAATTACTTAAAGTGGATTGATTTAAGAGTACATATTTGATAATTACTCAGCTTTGGGCAAATTTACAAAAAATGGTTGGAATTGAAGTTACTTCAATTTTAGCATGATGCTAACTCTCCAGGGAGCTGAATAGCCTCTGTAGGTATATAATCTAATAGCTAATCTTGATGTTGACATTAAAATTAAAATAATATATAAATATACTATAATCACTTATATTGATTTGAAACTAAAACACTACAATTGTCAATTGTTTATTTTTCAGCATAATCCAAGTTCAAAGTACCTGTTTGATAATTATTTATGATGATCTTACGATAAGTTTTCAGGAGAAGTATCATAATCTAAACACCAAAATTAGCTGAATATTACTGCAGAATCTTTTATTATTAAATTAATTCCCTTTCATCTTCTTTATTATAAATCTATTCAATATTTGCACACACCAATCTTGATCTCTGTTCCGAAAGATATTATTTACATTGATCCAATTTCAATATTGGCAATTTCTCAAGTTACTTCTCAAGCAACTCAAAAATCTTATAGATCTATTGTTTTTTCTTTATCAATTCAGATAACAATACACTACTGTTGTTTTCATTAGCAATCGTTTTCGTTCTCTTCGTGCTGATTGATCTTATAGGTGATGATTAAGTGCTACTGGTTCTACAATATTCTTATAAGTTCTATTAAGATTGTTGTTTATGCAATTATTATTTTTTTGTGACATAGTACAATTCTTTAGTCAGATTAATGTTAATTATCTGTTATTTCTCACTCCCCTGAACTGCTTTCATCAATTAATCCCATCCCCATCTATCCTTCTCTTCTTTACCTAAACAACCCAAAATTATTTATCTAGTTAGTAGTTCAATTTATGGCTGAAATGGAAATTTTAATGGTTCTTTGTCTAATCTGTTCAATAATTCCACTACATTAGTTGAATGCCAAGGAGTGGTTTTGTAAATCATTTCATACAAAATCAATCCAAGTGACCAAATATCTGATTTACTTGTATATGGCTATCGCTTCAAGATTTGAGGTGCCATATACAAAGGTGTTCCAACAAGGGATGACATTGTTGAATCCACTTACACTCGTTTTGCAAATCCGAAATCTGTAATTTTGAATATACCATCCTGCAGTAGAATATTTGCAGGTTTTAAATCTCTATGCACTATTCCATTCCTTAATAATTCTTACAATCCATTCAAGATTTATTTAAATATTTGAAGGGCTCTCTCCTCACTTAATGTTCTAGATCCTAAATATGTTTTCAAGTCTCCCCCATTACAATATTCTGTCACTATATATATATTGTTTGTGCTATGAAATACATCCAATAATTTCACAATATTCTAATGATTAAATGATTTCATTATCTCAACTTCTCTCTTTATTTGTTGAGATGTGTAATCGCTCTTAATTAAATTGTTGCTAATAATTTTAATTGCCACAGCTATTTTTATCAAATTTAACTACTTGAATCATTATAGATATCCCTTCCCATATACACATTCGCATAAGCACCTGAACCAATTTTAGAATCATATAGAAATTCATAGTGCTTAACTCTTTTTTTTGATTTTATTCTCTCACTTTACATATTTGAATAAATTAATAATCAAAATAATAATTGTTCTATTTCACTCATTAAAATATCAATTTCTCTAATCCGTCCAGTCTTTATTATTATGATACTCTCAGATTAAAACATCCTTTTTATTCAGGTACAACTATACCAATTATCTCTAGTCTGATATTTCCATTCATATCTATGATCGTCTCTTAAATTGATTATAAAAATAGATAAAATTGACAGTCTAGGAGATTTATGAAATTACTCTAAAATCTAAATAGATTAAGGGAAGAATTCTACCTAAAGTATATTTTTGATTTTATATCTACAAATACTTAGAAATATAATAATAAATTCTAATTACCTATTATTTGATAAATTCAAAATAATTATGAATTATTAACTACTTTACAAAGTACTCCTTATGGATTCTTTAAGTTAAGATTTATAATCTTTCTTAACAATTAATAATAAATCTAAGAAATACAGTAGAAATATGGCAAAATAGTAATCATATGTATTTCCAACTGATTGGAGGATAGTTATTTAATTTATTGATATATAATGTAAATTTAAATATCATCAACTTTGATGGGTTAATCTTGATTTTATATAGCAATTTTTCTATAATTGCTATAATTTTGTTGTTAATCTGTCAATTTCATTTATATACTATAAAGACAAGGGCTCCTAACCTCTAACTTTTGATAATAATTATTCCATTTATTAAGCTTTCTTTTGAAAAATTGCATTATCTACTTAATGTTAGTTTAAGGTTTGTTGTAAATCAGACATTTCTTCTTCACAATTTCGTAATTATGATTAAATTTAAAATACATTCTCTTAATACCTAATTAACTATTAATTTTATTCATTTAATTTCAAATTCAATTATTGCATCTAATATTATTCATCTTCATCATCGAAGTCTTTTATGTTGCTACTATTTAGTTTTTATTATTGTAATTATGAAATTTACTATTATTGAATTAAGATTGTCTTTTCAAGATTGTTTATTTTAGAATCTAATTCAGGGTCATATTGCGACCTCAAAAATAACCATTTTTCTCTTAGTTCTTTATTTTCATTAGAGGCTAATTAAATAGTTAATTATAATTATCTAATTGTTTTAATCTAATCATCCATTTTATAAAATTAATACTTATAAACTGGCTATATCAAAATTCTATAAAGACATCTGTGAAATAGATTATAAATCATTAGGATATATGAATAGAATTTTGAATACGATTTCAATGAGTAATATAGATTGAAAACCCTTTCGATTGAATAATTTATAGTAAAAAATGAATCAAAATAATGTGAGAATCAATTAATAAATTATTTGTAAATAATTTGAATATAAAATCTATGTTTATATATATAATAGAAAACAATATCAAAATTATTGTCTATTTTCTAAATTACTTCTATGAACCTCAAATAAGACATCATTTGGTATTAAGTTTCTTAGATATTTGTTTTAATTTATATCATAATTAATATTTCCTGATACCAAATTACCAATTTCAATTAGATTCTCTTAATGTTTTATATATTAGGGTACTGTATTTGCATTAATATAGGTGGCAAAAATAGCGTACTTTTAGGAACTAGTGGAAACTTCTTCTTCTTCAACAACCTAACATATGCTATTAGAGAACTTCAACCATTTTTTGAATTTAAAATACTAGACATACAGGGTTGAAGAATTACTTTGTGAGTAACCTTTTTGAATCGTAATTGAGTGAACTTAATACGTATTATTATTATTATTATATGAGGATTATAATGTTTCTTTTTACTTTTAAATGTTTTCAAGATGTTTATTCTACTATTTCTCTAAGGTATTTTATTTTGACTGTAATATTTTTATCATATCTTATTGGTTTCCTTCTTCATTTAACATTTCAATAACATAATTAAAGTTACTTATGGCCTTCTGTAGTGATTCTAAATCATCAAATTAACTAATCTAAATATCTCCTTATTATCCTTTATAATTTGGTTTCAAGAAATCAAGCTATAGAGTTTAATTAATTTCAAACGTCTTATCAAGTCCTAAATTTAGAATGGTTATATTACGAATATTATTTTTCTGATTTCTTTTAATCTAAATAGCTATAATCTATGGGAGTACGGAAACCTTTTATTTGTATTATTCGTATAAGAAACTATAAACACTACATTCTTTCATATCCGAAATATAAAAAAACTCTTTTTCCTATATCAGGTTTTTTTCAACTGTCGAATAAAACAATTCATTCATAACGATATTATCATTTCTTCCTTACTCATTGTTAACTAATTCTCGGTAGGATTGATCGATTTTTTATAAGAGATTGAAAAATATTATTACAGGCTCTTTCTCAAACTCCAAACATTCCTTCTCTTTGTCACTCCAAAGATTAGCATTTAACAATTGTCTTGTGCTGATAACACTGCAATTAGATGCTGACAATTCTGTCAGCAACAATTAAATGCGCCTTAAAAACTATCCTTATTTCTAAATCAACTTAATACATTTTACATTCTAATTATTGCTTTGAATTCTTAGGATAAACTAGTAAAGTTGAGGAATTTAATGTAGCAATTGCAACATGATGTTTACGATACTATCGTTCCCTAGATTTTAAATTCCTACAAATGTATTTTGCTCTCTTGGTGTTTTCTTGATTACTTATAATATGGTATTTGACACTCGCTTGTCAAATAAAGTTGCCTCAAAAAAGTCCAATCCCTAATTAATTAATTATACCTATTGAGGCTCTTCCTCCTCTGGCTGAAATATTAAATCTTGCATTTTATATTCATTCCCTCCTGATTACTGCCAACATTTTTGAATTCTCTCTTTTTTGATCTTCATATCTAAGTAAAAATCCATAACATCTTTCGGAACATTATTTTATTGATTCATATTTTTTTATTTTATATAATATTGATTAATCATTATTTTTTCTTTAATTTTATTTATCAGTATCCAAATCATAAGATTATACTTAATTCTTAGAATATGTAATAAGTCCAATTGATTTAGAATGTAAAATAACACAAAATACTTGGATTTTTAATTCTATTAATAAATAATAATTTCTAAGAATTTAAATGTATATTCTATGTCTATCAATCATTGTTGCTTGCTGCATTTTATGTGTTTAAAAAGACTTGGCTTTAGGCACGTTACTGTTTTAATTTGCTTCTTCTTACCAAATAGAATGAGCCAAGTAATATTGCAGATGTAGTCACGATTTTTGCTTCCTTTGATAACAATACAAATCTTTTAATTATTAATGTGAATTATGATTGGGATAATTAATTCACAGCCGTTATCATACAAGTTTCAACGTCATCCAACTCTTCTAGTCTCTAGATTTCGAACCCTATTTATCCTATTTTGAATTGATTGATCTCATTAAAATAAAATAAAAAATGTGTAGTATTTAAGGGGTATAATTTTAGCGTATTATCATCCATTCTAAAAATATAATCATAAAATGGTTTTTTCTATCGTAAGTCATATAAATAGGAATTTTTCGATATCGAATTTGATAAGATAAGGGTATTGCTATCATAATATTAAAATGTTAGTATTTCTGAGGTTCTCGGATGCCTTAGTACCTTTTGAACATCATAAGAGATAATATCAGATTTAATTATAATTGTGCTTATTACAGAAAAACTCAAGGTCAATTGTAAGACCTTAATTTCAATTTGATTATTGACAAGAACTGCCTCAAGCAATTGATTTTTGAAGTCTTCATCAAATTAATATATAGCAATACTTATGTGTGGAGAAAGAGCACTTACTATTTGGTCAAAATAAATCTTATAGGAATTCTAGATGAATAGATTGAAGCTGATTAACTCAAAAACATTGAATAAGAAATAGAATTCATCTATTTTCTTGATAATTCTTATTTCAATATATTAATTATCAGAATTTTTGATTAATAGAATATTGGATAAATCAAAATTTTTTCCAATTTCATTAATCATATTTGGAGTTACTTTTAGTAATAATTATGATGAGTTTGATTTAATTAAAATTAAGTTATTGGATTAATAAAATTAAGCATACTCCAAGTCTCCATTCTTAAACTCTTTCAATGGCATAGGTTCAAAATATTAATACAATTAAGTCTTATTAAATTATAAAATATTAGCAAACACTGTCTTCTCTATTTCATAAAAGCATAATACATAAATATTTCGAAAAATGTAAGCATTTTTTATTACGAATTCATCATTCTCCAAATTTTTATTATAATAAAATGGCAGAACCTTATATCTATTATAATACTTTAAACTGTAGAATAATGTTTATTCGTCTTTATTCCAAGGTTGTTCTAAACCCATCTTTGTAATGCAAATGTTTTGTAATTCTGTACATTCTTATATTTCTTACTACTATAGAAATGGCCCTACTAATTTTAATTTAGGATTATTCAATAACATTAGTTTATCAATTGGGCCTTAGAACATGTCAATATCTTCAATTCGTATAATCTCTTCGTCTTAAACTTAAATTGTTATTTCATTTTTTTTAGAATTCAATTTTCTACAGTAATTATTGATGCGGATCTCCAAAAATAATTAATTGGGAGAGGCTTCCTCTTCTTGATGCTTAAATAATATTGGTATTGTCTCCTACAAAACTATTTATTTTTAATTTTCAGCTAGATTCATATAAGAAATTTTAAAGTACTTGATATCGAAAATCTGATATTCTTCGTTTTTGTTGTAGTAATATACTAAATGGTTCTGTAAATGAAAATTTAATTTACTTATTTTTAAGATCTTTATCAATTTAATAGGTTATTCAATTGAAAATATAAACAGATAGTTTTAATCTTATTGATTCAATGCAATTGCTAGATTTTCCTTTGAATTTTAGAATTTAATAGGTCTGATGAAATCATAATCATCTATCTAATAATTTTCTAACAGTTTCAGAGAATCATCTAAAATGTATTATTTTATGATGTTATATTAATTGTGTATGCCTATTACACAATATTTATTAGGAATTATTTAAGAATTTGAAATTCTCTGAGATTCGCCAGAATAAATGATAGTTATATCTTTGATTTCGTAGATGCTGATTTCAAAATACTGATCAATTACCAATTATCTATTGATTTAATATATTTGAAAGTAATGAAACTGAGCAAAATAAAATTAAATCTATTTATTTTAATTTTCCTATTTCTTAAATTATTTCAACATAAATTTTACCCTTTTTGTAATCTTCTTTTATTTATTATTTGAGAGATCCAAAAAAATTATTTCTGATTCATTTTCAGTCACTAATATCACATATTATTTAAATTAAAGTATTTCTATGATTTAAGATTATATTTGAATTTAATCTTATTTATTGGACCCAATCGAATAAGAGATTACTTTTGCTGATTATTCCTTTTTCTTTATCAAAAGAAAACTATCTTAATACTGAATTACTTGGTGGTTTCTAACATCCTTTTAAATGGTGCTTTGGTTAGTGCAATATAGAACTTAGAGTGTATCATTAGATTTTAGAATAGCATAATTTTCTAGGGTTTTTGAGTGATAGAACAATAAATCAAACTCCTCTAAGTATTATTCAATATCAGGACAAACATCCTTCAAATATACATCCTCGACAATATACTTTAGAGTGTCTTCATATTCTCCCAAATTTGAAAATTCCTAATAAACAGGAAAATCGTAGTCAATTTTTTTAATAATAATTTGCTCATTTGACTAACATTCATTTTTGAATTCATAAGAGATTGTTTTAGGTTTTGATTAATCGATCTCTTGAATAATCTCATAACATTAGGGTGTATAAGTTCTTGAATAGGAGTTTGGTATTTCATGTATATAACTTTTGGTAGGCAACAAGTAGTTGACTAATTTATTAATTTAATAAAAACTAATCAATTTATTTTACTCATCTATGATATAGAATATCTTATATAAATCTATAAAAACAATACTTGTGGGATAACAAACAATTTCAAATCCTTTATTTTCAAGCAAAATAATTTCTAATTTATCATAGTGTAAAAAAAATAAATAATTAAATGCAAAATAAGACTGCAGGGTTTTTTAATCAATAGATTGTTTATCTTCTAATGAATTTATATATATTTATTTTAAATTATCTATTTTAGCTATTAATGTGTAGTATTCTATGCTGCATGATTTTGAAAATAAGACATTTAGAATAATTGATCCCAAAAAGTTTGTGGAATATAAAAAATTTAATGATTCTTCTAAAATAAATATATAAGCAGAATCATCTTTTATTAGCACTACTTATTTTCCACAAAAATAAATCGAATTAACTTATTCTAAATAGATTGCAGGGACTAAATTTGAGAGGGTGGAATTATCAGCTAATTTGGATATTTGTTTATCTTGATACTTAAGGATTTACCAATCAATACATTATACATAGGATATAAGATAGTATCCAGAATCGACTTTGTAAAATTAAAGTTAACAATTTATCCCTCCTTCTAATATATTTTCATATTACCTTTCCATCTTAAATTCATTAAGTAGATTCACAGAGTATATATTGATAAATTTCTTGGCCCTGCAAAATACTAGAAACTCTAGGTTATCCTCTAAATAAAATTGATAGCATTCTTCACTATGAGATGTTTCAATCTTAAGCCTAAAATAGTCTTCTTCATGTTTTTAATAAGTATTTCCTTCCTCATCAATATAAATGCTTACAGTGCAAGAGATGCAATATTGGTTAATAGTCTAAATTAATTAGCATAACCATTTCTCTGCATCCAAGTTATCATTTGGAGAATCAACAAACTAAGTTGATATTATCTTCTCATCTTCTTAAATAAGAATTAAAAATGACGATTAAATTTGATTCTCCAAGAAGTTGAATCTCTCTTCAGAGTCGCTTTCAATTAATGCACTATCATTATTCTTAGCAAAAAACAAATCATGGCTTGCCAGCTTCCTTTTTTCACATTCAGATTGCACTTACCTTAAATAAAGTCCAATTAGTATTGCACTTAATAAAATAAAATGCTATTCAAACATAATCAATGATAAATTTAATTAACAAAATTGTTTAGGGAGAATGAATTTACTAATCTTACCCTCAATTTTTACATTTTGATCTAAGACTTTAAAGAAATTATTAGCAATACTGTAATTCTATTTATATTCATATATAGAAATCAAATAGTATTAATTTTAACAAGCATGATGAATAATGAGCATTGTTTCAAAAGTTAATAATGAAATAATCAAAGATTATGGATATTATTATTATTATAGAAAAACAGTTGATATGCTAATCTTTTTGATGGAAATAAAAAGAATCAAAATACTTACTAAGATTTTCCAATATATTTTTTTATCCAAATAGAAAACCAATAATACATAGAATATTATATCATGATAATTTTTTGATTAAGAATTTTAGAAAATCTACATGTATAAAATAGTAAGTGGGAACAATAAAAAGAAAGGTAAAGGAAGTATAGATGCAATTCTATACATGATTTATTATTATTTACAATTTATAACACACACTTTATTTTTATATAAATCAAATAAACTTTTGGCAGTTTAATGTTTAATAAGAAGTTTGAAGAAATCGAAGATTCTCATAAGGTATTGGTTAATCCAAATCAGTTATTGATATATTATCGTCTGATTATTCAATTTTAATCTGATATATGTTTTTTAGTGATGGTTTAAAAGAGGATGATTTCAAAAGCAGTCCTTTCTTATCTAAGCTTTAACTCTTGTATCTTCTATCCCTTAAGTTTTTAGATGGTTTTTATTAAGACATTTAACTATGGTTTTCAGTGAATGAGTTTTAACTATTTTGATAAAATGATTTTAGAGTGTTTTTAGATTGCAAATGGTTAAAGCTTATGCCTACAGAGCCTTCCACAATAGATTGTGTAGAAGCCATGTTATTTGTTGGGGATAAGATTTAACAAACAGTGAGTTGATTTAAGAGATCTTACAAATTAATTCTATTCTCTGGTTATTTAGACAGCATGGCTTTTAACAGATACATAGTCTTTTGACTAACATTAGGGAATCTCAATTCTGAAAATTCAATCTGACATTCCTTATTTAACTTAAGCAAGGCATCGTAAGTATTAGATCTGAATGGAGCCTTACCTGATAACATTGAATAAAATATAACTCCTAAACTAAAAATGTCGCCTACTTCTTGGTAAGGTTATTTCATGAATACTTCTGGTGCAATGTAACCAGCCGTTCCTTGACCATTGACTAGTCTATCTCTGCATATTTTTTCTGCAAATCCAAAGTCAATTAATTTCAACTAATCTTTATCGATAAGTACATTCTCTAATTTAATGTCTCTATGAACGTATCCTAGACTTAATCAATAGGGAAGTTTGAATACTTATGAACTTATTGTAACCCTAGTGCTAATTTGAGCAAGATCTGAGTAGATTCTATTTCTGAGAGTCGTTTTCGTTCCTTCAAATACTGGTAGAGGGATCCTCCTTTGATATATTCAGTCACCAATACTAAAACGATAGAAGTGATTTGGTACTTAGGAGTTCCTCCAGTTGAATGATTTCACATAGTTTAAGCACATACGGAAAATTGATTCTTTTCAGTATATAGCACTCACTTCGGATGAAATGATAAAACTTCTTAAGGTCTTTTTTAGATAATAATTCGTTTTTATTATAAACTTTACCAGCATAATTGAAGGGCTGATTCGGTAGTCTTATATTGGGGGTGAGAGTATACACCTTCGAGAATCCGCCTTTTCCTATGACATCTTGTAATGTGTAGAGTTCATCTAAATTTTGAACAAAACAGAATTAACATAAATATTTTAGAAATTGGAAGGTATACTAGCTAAAATTAAGAATGCACTTATAAATTACTAATCGTGATTCCAAATGTAGAGGAAAATGTCTTTAGTTCTCTTGATTCGAATAACCTTAACAGCATCTGCTTTCTTGTTGGAAATCTTCAGATCGATTAATTTTAAGCTGATGTCCTCATTCAACTAAACATATCCCTTCACTTTATTGTTTTTCTTATAAAATAACACTCCTTCTTCACTTAATAAAAATTCATATTCGGTAGGCTTGTTGCTTTTCCAACTAATCCGTTTCATTAATTGCTGGTAGGAGATTGTTTATTTGACAAAATTGATGGGTTTCTTATTCCAGAATGTTTTGATCTCATCCTTCTCTGTAAAAATAGGCCAATATTATTATTGTTGTTCTGACATTAAGATAATTTTATAAATAAATCATACTTTGATAAATATATTTCAAATTCATATTCTACCTAATCCATAATATAAAAACCCAAGAGACTTCATCACCTCCCCCTGTAACAAATTCCTGCCATCAAAACAATAGGAAGGTTTGGCCATTTCCTCATAGGCCTGAGCGTAATCTATTTTTGTAAACCTATCATAAGATATTCTCATTTTTACTCTTCCCATTCAGTCAATATCACTATAGCAGATGCCCCTTTGAAAATGCCATCTAAACTCTAACATTGCTCCAACTTGTCTATTTTACCTTGGGGATCATAGATCCTTAGTATGGCCTGTTCTTCTTATAACTTTTGGATGATCATCAAAGAAGCACTCTCTCTTGTATCGTTGGTATTGGCCTTAAATGCTACTCCCAAAATAACAATAATCTTATTTCTCAGAGTGTTGAACATTGAAGTAATGATTAAGTTATAAAATCTCTGCTTTTGAAACTCATTTAGTAAATAAACTTATCTCCAATATTGTGCCACCTCATCCAACTAGAGTGACTCACATAAGTAAATTAAACAAAGCAGATCCTTTTTTAAACATGATCCCCCAAATCCCACCGAAGTCTTCAAAAATTTATTACCAATTCTACTATCGCTCCCTACGCACTAGGAAACTAATAAATTAAGAGAGTCTGATCAAATTACTTTCATTAACATCTGCACCAATTTTATCGCAAATTATCGATATACTATTAATTGAAGAAACTCTTTGAGCAAGGAAAGAATTTGCAACAATTTTGCTTAACTCAGCCGAGTATATGTTGGTGAATATGATTTTCTCTTTTGGTACCCACTACTCATACAAGGATGCCAACTACTAAGCGGATTCTATGGCCCCACCAATTATCACTCTATCTGGATTAAGAAGATCTTGTATAGCAGTGCCTTCAGCTAGGAATTCTGGATTTGATAGAACACAAATATTCTTATCTCTTAAAACAGCATTTATATAATCGCAGGTTTTAATCGGAACAGTTGATTTTTCAACCAATATTAGCCTTTTGGTTAAAGGATATTTTTTGATCTGTTGGAGACAGCTATCTATGTATGATATATCCAATGAAGATTCTGCTCCAAGTCCATACTTTTTACTTGGAGTATTGACAGCTAGAAAGGCGATGTCACAATCCTTTAAAGCTATATCAATGTCGCATGTGAATATTAAATTGGTATTCAATGTTTAATTTATATATTCGTCTAAATTTTTCTCGTATACTGGATATTGCTTGTTATTCCATTTTTCAATTTACTATTCATTAATGTCGTAAACAACGAATGTCTGTTTTGGACATTTGGAGGCCATCACAGCCATTGTTGGTCCTCCCACATAACCTGCTCCAAAACAACAGACTTTATTTATTTACATATTTTTGAAATGTATATTTACTATAAATAAAAATGCATAAAATAGATTCAATTATGTTTACGAATTGTTTTAAATTTAATTTATATTTAAATAGGATTATACATTAAAAATCCATTTTAGCTTAAACCTCCAAATATAAACAATTTATCTTCATTATAAACACTGCAATGCTCATATCTAAATGGGTATTCCAAATACCCCTACAATTACACTTTCTACCAAGTGTAATTCTTTAAAAATAACAAATGCAAATCTCCAAAACATTCCATTTCATTGGTCCCACCAAACAATAACAAGGCACTTATCTTCTCATCATAATTCATGCTATGAGATCTCCTCCCAAGAGGCCTCTAACCAATAGTCTCCACAACCTACAATACCGATGGGTACGTATCAATAATTAAATGATACAACTCACAATAAAGATTGTCCTCACTATCCTTCCCTCCAAAAATGTAGATGCCTTCCCTGGTAAACAATTAATCCACCTACTCCTCCTTTTTGGCATTCGAAGTGAAATCATAATTCATTCTCAAATAAGGATTCCCTACTAAAATTGCACTATGATAAGCTATCCCCAATTTAAAAGGATGATCATTTTGAATAACCTGTTTCTAATAAAACTTTGGATAAAATTGAGTACAATTCATGTTAGTCAAATTTATCAACTAAAAGTCACTATAAAATTTTGTATTTAATTCGCTATCATCTAATCCACCAATTATAACTAAATGATTGTGACTATAGCATCCACTGTGATTTCTACGACACCCAATTTAAGTTGGATATTATTGCCATTCTAGTCGATCATCTTCTAAGCATATACGAGTGACCATATTAGTGGTCTTTCTGCTATTTGTATTTTTCTCTCCCCCAAAAGCATATATTGTTTTGTTTTCATCAATATTCAAACTAAAATAGCACCCTAATCTCAAATTTGGGTTTAAAACCTATCTCAATTTCAATTATTCTATCTAAGATTAACAAAACTCTTGTTTCCTCTTCCATTAACCATTCAGTAATGAAATTGTATGAATTTCAATATTTTCTCTGTGAGAATGTCCTCCAAATACTAATCCAAAATGATCATATTTAACTGCTCGACTGCCTTATCTCGATACTGGAATAGTATATTATTATTCGTTTTAGACAGGAAGTATCACTTATCCCTTGATTATTGTATTATCTGTGTTGGACAAAACATGTTTAATGCAATCATAAGCTATCGTGTCTTAAATTTTTTACTGTAACGTAAAATGATTGGTTATCATCCTTTACTTGATATTTAATGCCCTGTATGGTTCCTTAAGAATTTTCAACGACAATTGTTCATATTTGGTTTTCTGCTGCAATTACATTGAGGTTGTATAATTAGTCATACGTAATTTGTTCTATGTCAATGAAGGCAACTCAGAATTTAATGTTTTTCTTTTTTGTAAATTGTCCATTGAAACATCCATACGAGTTTTCAAGATATTAATTGGATCTCTGTTTTATAATGAATATATTCTTCTTCTTTCTTTTTAATTCATTCTCGAAATTTTATATTATTATTTATATAATATATCATATTATAATTGATTTTAACCAGGAAATTAAAAACATTCAAATACAATATTTGATTACTAATGACCGTAATTACTATTATAGTGTTCATAGATGATGAAGCTTCCATTTTGAGGAAGTTGCATCCGAAAATAGAAAATTCTCGATTCCATTTTTGATAGAATCACTGTCCTTCAGAAAATGGGCTTTTTAAGAGGGATTCAGAAGAAATCATAAAAGTATATATCATTATAGACTTTATTAATAATAAAGAACTATTTATTTACATTTAATTGGATCATTTTGTTTATTGATGTTTTCTTTTGCCAGTCGTCATAACCTTACAATAAATAAGTACTATTACCTTTCTTGCACTTTCGCTGTTGTCGATTCTGACATATTTTAGATAATTGTTTAGTTTTTATTGAGTAGAAGTATCAAGCTTTTGTTTAATTAATCCAATTATTTCGGGATGTCTACAATATTAGAATGATAAATCTTACTAATATTTGAAACCCAATATGGTGTTCCTGAAAACTGTGAATTCATCATAGTTTTATAATTCACTTTTGAATTATTCAATTTGTTATTTAGCCTATAGTCTTTCCTCCTCTTCCAGAATGTCGTCGTTGTCATCGTCGTCCATCATATCATCACTACATAATTGATAAATAGTGTTTACTCAAAATCTGTTTTTTCTGGTTTCTCTTCATTCTCCTAGCTTTCCAAATTCTGAATTATTATTTAAATCAAGTCGGTAGTCAATAATTGAGGTTCTTATTAGATTAATTTACAAATGGTGAGGATGAATAATTTAATATCATAGCCTGGGTGATATTGGGTGTTCAATACCTTGTGATACACATTTTGAAAATGTTCACCCAATATTTGGCACGATTGTTAGGGAATATAGTAAAAGGCAACCAAAAAAATGGCTGTAATTCTAGAACGAATAATCCCAGTGACATTCTCTTTTGCAATTAATTAAAGCACTTATTGGAACACATAAGCCAATAAGGGTTGACTGATATCAATATTTAACACTTAAATTCCCAACTGGATTAGAAGTGCTCCTTCTGCCAGATCAATGTCTTCGAAGGCTTCCTCTTGCATCAGGGTTTGGAGAGATAAATTGAAGTAAATGTGTTGTGCCTGTTCTTGTAAGAAATAATTCCTTCCGTAATACATGTACATGTTTAGAGTTTCATACAATTAGAGTAGTCTATTAGATTGTCTAGTTATAATGTTAGAGAAGCAAGGCAAGATTTCCCTCTGAAATGGGGATACCTACTGTAGTTTTTAGATGACAGAGGAGATGAACAGCACCAATTCTTCATCAAAATTCATTCTGCTTTCATGGATTACGAGTGATTGATAGATGGGTTACATGGCTTATTCAATTTTGAGAAGGAGAGGTGAGAACTCATTGATTGTTGGCAACTACCTAATAACATTCCAGCATCTAGTAAAATGAATATATCTATTTGAGTCACTGTTGGTCTTGATCAAGTTCTCCTCTTGTATTATTCTTTAGACCAATATTTACACTAGACTAATGATGTAATTTTCGTTTTAAACAAACATCAAAGGGAACTTCTTGAGTAGATTTCCAATCATCTCAAAGTGTTTTTCATAAGTGCTGAATGCCAAACCAGAAATCAAGGCTGGGAAGACATTGGCCACTAAACCACCAGTTTTATGTTTCAACTCATCATCTTCAAATACATCTTTTAAAGCATCAATTGACTGATATAATACAACAGGCTCTTGTGGTTTGGCATATGATATCAATAATTAGATATAATTTAACATAATTTAAAATTGGGTTTCAACTTTAAACAAATTATCCAAATAGTAACCGAAAAACAAAGCAAATCTAACCTTTATTATTTGCTCAGTAGTATTAGTAAAAAATTGTAAATTCTATTATAATAATGATTCCATCAATTAAATGATATCCTATCTTTTTTATACCAAATAGCTAATAATTGTCAAGATCATCAAACTGCTTTCAATTCTATCCACAGCATTAAATTCCTAGAATAACTTCTTATTGGATATCTTTTATAAGTCTGCCAATATGATTTGCTGTTGTTGATTATTTAATTGAGATTGAGACAACTCTAGAATGGCAGAGGATATAAGAACTATTGCCATTTAAGCCAAGAAGGATGTTGACCCATCTATATGATCACATAAGGTTTCCAGCAAAGTTGTTGCTGCTGTCTTTGGTAAATCTGACTCCTGTTTGTCAACAACATCCAATGCAATATTAACGAACTCTTCAGGCTACTCTTTCATTATTTCATATTCACTCTTGGTAGTTATCAGAAAGGGGTAGATGATATCAGCGATCAAAGCATTCTTGGAATCTTGGAACTAAGGATACAATTCAGCTTATCCACCTAAATGTGCCAGCAATCTCAGCATACTACTCAAGATACTAGGCAGAAATTGTTTCCTAATTATAGTTGAGAAATTACTATAATATATCTGAGATTCTCGCTTGTCTGGTGTATGCAAAGATGGAGTACAGCAATAACTAAGTCAAATTGGATTGCTAATTATAAAATACACTATTCTTCTAGTCGTTCTTACTTTTGCTTAATAAGGAGTTGATTAATATTTGGAGACATTTCAATCCATACATTTTCACTTCATTTATTCTGTTGTCAAATTATTCATTGTTCGTGCAAGAAATTATACAACTTTGGAGAAGATTATTTTGAGGGGAGTATTTAAAAATAGCAAATAACGTTATTTGAAAGGATGTTAATTTGAACATCAAATTTTAGAGTGGGATCAAGGACTCTTTGTTGTGAGTCTTCTGTTTGAATAATTTCTCACAGTACTCCAAAACAATCTAGGCGTAATATCTAATTGTGATTATGTATTCTTCAGACAAGTCTCCTGATTGTTCATCCAATCTCTTGAATATTGGATATATCAAATCAAAGAAATCTCGGATCCAATCCAATCCCTAATTTATCACTAGATTGTATGATGACAATTCCAAAGAGTCAACCAATATTTTGAAGAAAAACAACCCTGATTGTATTTCCCACAATTAATCACTCTTCACCAATTACCTCATCTTGTTCTCTATGTCTGGTTTGATTGCTAATCATTTATTTTCACGAATGCCTTACTTTTTTTTATTTTAATCAATAAACTCATAGATTTCTACAGCAATTGCTTGCACTTCAATGAAGTCTATTGAGAGGTTATCACATCAAAAACCAATAGTGCATGTTCCAATTATATTTCAACTAAATTTATTAGTGCGAAATATCATACCCTGACTCGATAGCATCTTTAATACTGCAGAATTCAACAAACTGGCTGCCTAACTTTGCACTTTAATATTTAACTTATTGTTTTACTGCTATCCTAACTCTTAGCAATCTGAGCAATCGATTAGAAATTTTAGATATTCTCCATCACCACACTCATCAACTAAATTTCAGCATTTTGTCGTTTTGCATTTTCTGTGCTTGTGTATGCTAATACTAGCAACTTATATAGTTCTTGAGCCATTCCCAATAATTTAAATAATTTAAATAATCTAATAATTCCTAATTATGAAGACAATTATATTATTAAAATAATTTGTATTAGTGATTCCCTAAATTATATCTTGCCATAACCCAGAAAAGGTGGGGACTCCCTATAATAACTATATGGATGTAAGGAAAAACAACTATTATCCCATTATACTGTTAATAAATAAAGATGTTTTTGACCTCATCAAATAATAGAATTATATTACATTCAAATGAAGAAATCGATAAGAAAATGGTAAATTATAAAAAGATAAACTCATAAATAAATCAAACTTATTTAATTTATTTATTTAAATACGATATTTGAATGGGCTACATAAACAAATTTCTGTAGGTTTCTGAGTATCTGAAACTATAGAGTAGATGGATGGTCCATCCACAACCAATAGTAATTAAATAATTGGCCAATATGAATTTTAAGTAAATGCCAACTTAACTCCAAATTGACTGATACTATTAAGAATCATCGTAGTTATTTTCATTTAGAAGTTACCCTCAATTTAAATCGATGGCAATAATACTCTAAAGATAAATGTAATATTGAACTATATCCACCAACACACATTTGAGAAGAATATGGCAATATAACTGTGTGGACTACCTAACTCAAATTTATCAATTAAAAAATAATAATAATGTGGTAATCGCAAAAAATGTTGAAATCAATTTCATTTATAAATGTCTCCATAATATCTTGTAGGTTTTGTTGATATTGAATTGGATTAATTTCAATCTAAAAGTTGTATCTAACGTTGATAATGCAGTTCTAATCTCACTTTGTATATTTACATTTCAAAGAATATTAATAATGAATATGTGATCATGTTTCATTTAAAAGAAGGATCTTATTTTAAATCCTAAAAGGTGGTTGCGCTTTTTTGTTATCTACCTACTCAAACAGATTTAGATGTAAGATGATAGTCAATATTAAGCCTAGTATTGACAAAATCAAAAAGGAAGTTTCAAGTGAACGGTGCTGAGATGAATGCAGGGCTATAAATAGGAAACTTCCAAGAAGCGAATTTCCAATAGTAAAACCAATATTCTATATTAATGCAGCAGCACTTTCTCCATATAATTTGCACAAATCAGTTGCCAATCCATCAATTGCTATATCTTGTATTCCTAAAAACTAACATAAAATGAATCCAAAATCCATAAAATATGATAATTTGTTAAAGCGTCAATTTTGGACAGATACAGAAGTATTACTGAAAAAAAAGATTTATTGGTAAAATATAGCTACGCTTAATAAATTAAAAATTATTACCTTTTCCTTTTCCCCAGGAAAAAGTAAAAAATAATTATTGGTGCAAACAATTACTTAAAATAAACGGATAGCTGATCAATCAATACATACCTTATTATTCAAATTTATATTCCCTTTCAGCTAATAAAATTAGGATGATGATTGTAATATTGATAATATGGTACTTTAATATATATAAAGCAATATTAATAAATAATTCATTTTATTATCAATTACTCGATAACTCATCATATATACTCAATAATATTGGATAAGCAAAAGGCAAAATCAAAGGTAAATACATTCCCAAACTAATTATGTTAATCAATGACTTTACGTGTATTCAAAAGAAAAAGTATCAAGATCAGAAAAGGAATCATCAATCAAAATATTTACTGAATCTGTTCTATTTACATTCTTGCTCTATAATGTATCCTTAATGTATTTAAGCCTGTGTTCAAATTCTTTTTGACTCTTCAGACTAATTTTGTATTCCCCTTCCGATTAGATAAATTAGATATATTATAGTTCTTTTATGAAATTTAAAATATGCCTTGAAAATTCTCTCCTTTAGAAATAATCTCTAATTAATTCCAATGATGGTTTAAAATCTTGATTCTCAATCATAATTTCTTACTGTTCTTCCAATTATAAAACTTATATAAATGCATTGAATATATTTTTGAACAATGTTGATTGTTAATTTACCTAAATCATAAAATTTGAAGGTTCTGAATAGAAAAATTATACATTCTCACTGCTATCTATATCTATATTAACATCTTCATCTGTTAATATGGTAAGAATATTCATTTGGAAGTACTCCTTCCAATTCATATTATTTTGTTATTTTGATTGATCCAAAAAGTTATTAATTGTTTATTTCTACAAGTTAATTTTCTTTTAAATAATTTAAAAGTCGAAGGAGTCTAAGAACTTATAGTTTATTCTTATATTTTCTGGTGATAATCCAAAGTATTTCTATAATTTAAGTACACTCATTTCAATATCACTAGTCACATCAATGCACAGGCTATCATTCTATTTTTCTAGAAATTAGTAATAATGTTGATTACCTATAATATAGAAATCAAAAATCAAAAGTCTATTGGTATAAAACTATCTACTTTCTAATTGCAATTCTTTTTCGACAAGAGGGTAAAACTTATTTAAATATCTTCTTAAATTTTTAAATATGGAAGGGTCGTTTAAATCTTATGTCACGATGGAAATTTTATCCAATTTTTGAATAAATAAAAATGTATATTAAGCTTTCTGTATATTTATAAGCAATCTAATAGTATGATATTAGATACCCATTCTTATCTTGATTTTAATGAATATCCTTGACAATATTAAATTCAATTTCAAATTCAGAATACTTCTAATGAATTGTTTCATTAAATTTATTCATCTCTTCCTATGTAAAAATGTTCAGAACATTGAAGGTGATTTGTGGTTTGATTGCATTTTGTAATGCTGAGATGAGATCAGGCAACTCACTAACATTATACCCTCCGTGTTTCTTAGATTGTATTGTTAAATGCCAGACACCATACATAATGAATAAGAATGCAATATAGCTGTACAAACTAATATGCCTATTTTTCATTAAATTTATATATAATATATATAATTTCTAATTTCATTCCAGGATGCCAAATTAAAGAGCGTGTCTCTATTTTGAATAAAAATGAATCTTTGATGAGCATATAATTATTAGTATAATAAGGATTATTTTTAGAAAGACTATCATGAAATAAATATTGTTTTATTTTATTATCTTACTAATAAAAGCAATCATTAATTATTTGAGATATTAGATGACCCATTTAATCTAAAGAGGGCCTTTATTCTAAAATAAGTTCACCAAACAATCTAATCTCAAATCTTAAGATAAAAAAAGAAATAATTAAATTTATAAGTACTGCTTTGAAAGTATAGAAAACACTATCAACTTCTAAGAGCTAAATTTCATTTGAGTGAACTGCTTTTCATAATAAGTATGATTTTTTCACTAATACTAATTCAATTGATATAAGAAATCAAAATTTTAAAGAATTGCAAATTCAATTAAAGAAAATCTATGTTTTTGAGAGGCCATATTATGGTTTAGCTTGTCTATATTGAATTATCGAAATACATTTTAATCATTGGATCATCATAGAAGGATCAGATATTTTAAATTATCTCCTAAATAAAAAATGAGTTGCAAAATCCAATTTCATATATCTAAATTAATATTTTGATACAGAAATTGTAATTAATATCATAATGAAACATTAATTAACGTTTGAAAATGTTTATTATTTAAATATATCTAACATCATAATTAACTCCATATCATAGATTTCAAAGAATATAATAGAGCTACACTTTTAAGGAGAAATATGTTACATTCTGATCTGAATGATAAATAATAACAAGTAGAACTATTTATTATAAACTTATGCCTATATTTACTTTAACTATTTCAAATATTATAGTAAATGATTATCAAAGGGACTGATTATTTATGAAAATCTGTATTATTTCAATTGTACATGGTCGAGTAGCTCAGTTGGTTAGAGCGTTGGTCTTATGAGCCAACGGTCGCGGGTTCGATTCCCGCCCCGACCAATTTTTTTATTTTATATTAATTCTCCCTCCTTTTTATTTATACACACTCTAATTAATATAAACTACAAACCTTCATTTCAAATTTAGAACATTCCAATCAGAAAAGAAAATCTCATTTTGCTCCAAACTATGAATTCTTCAGCATTTGAATGATATTTTGCGATAATTATAACATATTAATGAAGTTTGTATTCGATCAATAGTAATAGGAACTTGAATTGAAAAATATAATATATATATATAATGCAATTAATAAGCATTTAGTCATTATATCAGATGTCTCTCAATATATAAATGTTACAGAGATTATTTGCATACATTTAAAGAAATACCATTATTAACTTTAACTATCATGTTTTTCTATAATGAAATTTTGAATGCAAAAAGCAATATTATTTAATCTATTTATAAAATATTTATATAATTTTCTAATTTCCCTTATAAATGTAAATTAAAATTAAAAGGCTCATAAATAATTAAATCTGTAGTTAAGCAATGAGATGATATGCAAACCAAATTTGGAATGTACAAATAAAGGGATTACAAAAGATTAAGTAGAGTGTTGATGCTGATATCATATTACTCCAAATTATATCGATATTAGTTTAGCCAATCGTTATAATTGAGATTTCAAGCCTTTTCACTTAGAAATAAATAAGAATCAAAGTTAAAGGAATGTAAAGATTTCTTTAGAAAATAAAAATTTATTTTCACATTTATTTATAATATTTCTACATATTTTTAATGTATTACAATAATTGTAAAATATTAAATATTATTAAATTTCCTAATAATCTACATGTTTTATAATTTTAACCCTTCTGTTTACAATCTAATTCAATTCTAAATATTGATTCAAATCAAATCTACTTATTATTTATAATTTAAATGCTTAAATAGGGTCTGATTTTGATGAAATACCATAAATTAATCATTTTCAATCATGGCGATCAGATTAAATAATGATAAAAATTTTGAAAAATTAATTTAATTAATTTTATATAGTTATCGTCTTTGTTGATAATTAATTATAGAAATTATAGTCTACAAAAATTTAAGCCATTCGATAAAAGAGTAAGAACTTGAGAATTTTAAAGTGCGAATAAAATACATGATGTTTATCGATGGTAATTGAAGGGAAATTAGGGAGATGGGTAAATTCACAAGAAAATTATTTAGAGAAGAGGGTTACAAACATTATTTGTTTTTATGACATAATATAATAAAATTATGAAATTATCATAGATAATTTATGAATACCTGCATAGAAAATATGCAAAGACAAAACAAAAGAACGATGATTCATACTCTAAGCAAGTAAATCGTACAATTTAATAAACAAGATTGAATTTGAAAATGGAGACACAGTGAATTTAAAGGGCTTCTCTTCTTCTGAATTAAAAAACAAAATCTCCACCATTCAATCATTGGGGAGTATTCTATGGAGGTATATGAAAAGACCATTCAATTACATTTTCCTTCTGATCAGTATCATATGTCTGAGCATCACTCAAAACAATTCTCAAGTTATTTTTGGATTTGTTATACCATTTCTTTTCAGCACAGTGATGTACTTGATAAAAACCTTGTATTATATGATTTTGGTGCACGATGAAGACAATCTAATTAACCAGAGACAAGTGATAGCGTTTAAGAAATTGAAGAAAATGATGTAAAACAAGAAAATCAGTTTAATGGAATATGAACAAAAGGTGAATAGGACTTAATTGATTTCCACTTAAAGAGCCGATAGGGGAATGATGCCATCATCTCCATAGGCTCTGATGGAGTTGAATGAAAGCGCTAAGATCAGTATAATAGAAACGATAAGATGGGAGGATTTGGAGATTGGAGACATAATAATATTGAAGAGGAACGAGGTTTGTCCTGCAGATTGTCTGATACTGGAGTCGAACCAAGAAAGATTCTACGTGAATAACACATGTGTGAATGGACAGACAGATGAAGGGATAAAGGGTGCAAACGAATTAACATCTTTGCCTAAGATGCACCAATTCAAAGGAAATGGATTCGAATACCGATTGTTGTTGAGTGGGACGGTGACATTCGATAAGGATTACAAATCTGAATCCTTTTACACTGGATTCATAAGATTGAAGAATGATCCTTAGCCTGTTGACATCAAGAAGGAGAACATTCTATATAGAGGATAACAATTACAGACTTGCGATTATATATACGGACTTGTTTTAAGTTGCGGTTTGAATTGCCAATATTATCATTTGACCAATTTTGAGAAGTCAACGAAATCATTCTTCGATAGTAGAGTTGATACCTTCTACAAGTTCACGTTAATACTGATAATTGTGTTATCATTTGGATCTTGGATGATTAAATCAATCAGGTTTATTAATGATGGGTGGTAAATATAGTGCTTAGCTGATTACTTCTTGCTTTATCTGAATATGTTTCCGTATTATCTGATAGGAGTATTGGATGTATTATAAATTATTTGTTCCAGTTAGAAGATGTTTAAATTCAAAAAGCAGAAAGCAGGTCAGAACAACGAGAGTTAAGAGGAGTTCAATATCTTTTAGAATCATAAGATGGAATTAAATACTGTGTACAGTAAGTTAAATGCAACCCCTATTGCTGATTTATCATTGGTAGATTCTGTCATTTTTGACAAGACTTGTACTTTGACCATTCCACAATTTAAGATAAAATTAATTTTGATTAATGAAACATTTTATGAGATTCATAATAAAACATTTAAAAATGCAACCTAATGGAAGAAGTATCAGAAAGATGTGTTGGATAACTAGGAGATGCTCTTCATTCAAGATCAATCCTTATCCCCTAATTAAATTTCATCTATTAAGGTATCACCCCATCATAGGCCTATGAGTCCCACTAAAAGGACTTCAATCCCTGCTTGGAGATTGGAGGACAACCTAGTGAATATTGAACCTAATTTAGAGTAAGATATACGTGAGACAAGTTAATAGGATGAAGCCAATTTCAATGCTGAAGAAATTGCAGACGATCATTCCAAATTGAAAGAGATTCATAGAACAAAACCACCAAAATTGTTTTAAATTGACTCTTGGGAATCAGGAACCGATCTAGGAGGAATGATTAATCAGCTGAATGAATAAAGGATGATTAAATCCCAATCTCCTATCAAAGAGACAGCAAGACGTAAGTTCAGTGAGAGAAGGCCAATATTAGAAAAGATGGAACCCAAAAAGAAATTATCAGCTGATCGATTTTACAAGACTGATGAATTCAACATTCAATATGAGAGACAGGATGATTTTATAAGTAATGAGAAAGAAATCTATAGTAAATCATTGACTCCAGAATACAGGGGAGTCATTGAAGAGGCACTGTTTATCCTCATCGTTTGTCATGATACTTAGACTAAGTACCTACAGAAATTAGATTCATTATAATAGGAATTTAACAATCAAATAGATGAACTTTAAGTTAGTTTAGCTTCGAATTACGATTACAAATTTATTGGGTCTACATTTGGTAAAAGCAAGTACATTATAGAAATTAAAGAGAATCTATTGGAAATCCCAGTAACAGTGACATAATTGGACAATACGAAATTATGTGTAACAACTTAAATTATGGATTATAATAAATTATTAGCATTTTAATTCAATGATAAATTTGAATACATACAATACATCAGAGAAGATGGTTTAGAATTGATAGAAGGGATCAATATGGATAAGGAAGATAAGGATGTTTGGAATGGGATAATCAATAAGATTATATAAAGAGGTTGTAGGCCTGTCATTTACTATAAATGCAATATGGACTAAAATGGTTATAATTTATTTGTCAAGAATCCATTGGAGGAGATTAAAAATAAAAATAATTAATTAGAAGTGATTCTAATTGTTGGGGTGTAAGAAAAGATGAAGAAGTAATTGAAAGAAATAATCAACTATTATCATAACGCAGATATATCTATATGGATAGCCAGTGGTGATACTAAAAATAAGGTATTACCAGTTGCTTATAAATCGAACATTCTGAAGGAAAACATTCAGGTTCTAACAATAGAATCCAATGACATGATCTCTTAACAGATCAAGTAACACATTTTATGGTGTTACAACAATTTGATTAAACAATTAAGGGAAGAGCAAAATGATAAGAAGAATAACGAAAAGCTTGGTAGTCCCAATAGTAATAAGAGAAAATCAGTAACTGTTGCTAGAAGAGCCAGTACAAGAGGAGTTTTAATCGGAATAAATAACAATTTATCAAAAAGTAAACCATTCTGTATAATGATTGAGGGGAAAGCTCTTGAGATCATTGAAAACGATTAAAATTTATACCATCATTTGGCATTTTTAGTATCCTTTTGCACTCACCTAATTGGATATTCTATGAATAAGTATTAGAAGGGTGTTTTGATTAAGATCCTATAGAAAAAGTAATTGTAAAGAAGAAGAATATTAGTAGTTGGTGATGAAGCCAATGATTCAATTATCATGGAAAATTCAGATTTCGCAATACAAATATAGAATGAAAGGATTAATTAAAATAGTAAAATAGAAAAGATGGAATAAATTGAGAGACTAAAAAAAGAAAATAATACAAGCTATTCTTAAGTTACAAACAAGTTATCCAAGTATAAATAGATAAATTCAAACTATTCCAAGAAACAGATGGAGAAGTTCATCTATTCCAAAGTTAGATATATGAGTACAGCAGATCTAATTATCAAGGATATGAATAATCTAGTAACATTACTATTTTATGACAGTAGAAAACATGCAGAATTTGTGGAGAACATAATGATATATGCATTTTATAGATGCTATTTGATTATGTTTTGCCTATTTTTCCAATGTATTTTGGAAATAGAAAATGAGATTCCTCCTCTTACGTATTTCTAATCCATTATGTTTATATTACCCTCTTTGTTGTTGTATAAGTAGTCAATCCTGAATACTCAAAATATAACAGATTTCAAACAACAAGTAGTATACTTTTATAACCAGAATTGGATTCAATTTAGAAAGCATAAATATGGGTTGTTCATATACAAAGTCTTATTGTTCTCAATTTTTGAGTCCTTCATAATCATATTCATTCAAAAACACATAGACTTTTTTACAAATGATGGCAGAGGTTTCGGTGATGATGCATAATCTCTGTAATTGTATACAATAATAATCTTTGTTGAATAAAGTAAATGGATCTATGATAGTATTGTCTATTGGTGGGTCCTATTTATTATACTGTATTTGTTGACTTTAATAAGTTATATTCCAATCTTTGATGAGACATATTCATAAATTATGGAACACCTGATAAGTGTTCAAAGTGTTTTTTATATCATACTTATTATTCTGATTGTTTTCACACTCTAACTTTTATTGTTTTAATTCATCCCCTATACTGTTGATAGATTGATGTTTTCAGTAAAAGACAAGATCGAAATATCTAGTTTATTGAAACCAATTGAAATTTATTATTCGAAGAAGAAGATCAATGGCTCTCTTTTACTGAATATCTAAAAATATGCATTGAAATTATTTAAAAATGAAGATGATATGGACTCATCCATTAGATCAATGTTGTCAGGTATGGCTCTCAGTGAAAAGAGCATAAAAATCAATATGTTTACATAGCAATTCAAGAATATCCAACTGGAAACAAAATATTAATTGAATGAATCAAAATCCATTTTAGAATATTATCGATTCTACTATCCGTTGAGTTGGATGCTAGTGGAAGGAGCAATATTGCTGCAGATTTGGTTTATCAATAAGGATGAAAATTATACATGGCTATTGTATTTTTCATTTGGATATAATGGCACCTAGATATTGATGGCTCTATTCATCTACACCTCAGTGTTTAAGAAGTACCATTTCAGGTTATCTAAAATCTTGATCCTATCCCGTCTGTTGTACAAGATAGTATATGACATCTACTTTTTCTAACAGAATGACAATTCATTAAGTGACATGCTTATTATGCAGTTGTTCATGCTGTAACCATTAATAGATGACAGACCCTTGACCATCATATTCTATTGTATCATAGTCAATATCAGTTTCATCATCAGATTCAGTGCCAACAACACCTCCATCAATTAGAATATCAATTAATACATCATGCTCAACTATTATCTCATAGCATTTATGCAGACAGGCTTGAGTAGTGGAATGCATTTGAGAGTGCAAAGGAATTTGAGATAGGAATTCATTGAAAATCTACAGTTGAATTAGAAAATCAATTCAATAAGTGACACTCTCTCAATTCTGATGCCAAAGTTCATCAGAAACATGATAAATCAGAGTGGAGAGTTTGACATATAGGAGAATCAAGGAGAAGTGGCAATTCTATTTTGCGATATTTGTGAATTTGATACCATAATAAAGGTGCAACAATAGAATGTGGTTCACTTACTTGACATCCTATTCAGACAATACGATTCATTGTGTAATTAATACAATCTGCAGAAGATCGAAACTGTCGGTAAGACTTACATGGCAGCTTCAGGGTTGAAGAATCTAATATCCCAAAATAATATTAACCCTGTATTTAGAGCTCTCCAAGTAGCCTTTGAAATGTAGAAATTTGCTTCATCACAGAGTTTTGGTTAGACTGAAAACATTGTAGTGAAAATTGGAGTGCATTATGGCAATGTGATTGCTGGTGTAATAGGATATCACAAGCCTCAATTTTCCTTGATTGGCGATACCGTCAATACAACCAGTAGGGTTTGTTCTACTGCTTAGGATAATCAAATCAAGATATCCGAGGAGGCATACAAGCAGGTCTCATCTTGTGTTGATTTCACTTTTACTTTGGACATTGTGGAAGCTAAAGGAAAGGGATAATTGACTACGTATTTGGTATAGGAAGTCATAAAAGAGAAGGTCTCAAGAAAGAAATTGAGGAAATTCAAAGATGATATGTAAATCTTCCTAAATCGAGAGGATTATGTAGGTAGACAAAGAAAATCTATATTTGAATTCAAGAACTCTCGAAAACCTACTATTGTTTAATCCAGTATTAAGATAGTGACACCTTAATTGGTGTTTAAATCGAGTAACAATTTGGATAATCAGAATTTGGCATTAAATAATAGTAATAACAATAACAATGTGTCTCAGCAACATTCTAGAGGGGAATCTGATTAATTGCAACCTCCAATAAAAGAGCAATAGGGTTAAACAATCACAGGGTAAAACCTAATTGAAGCCCTAGAAATTAAATTAGCCAGAGAAAACCTTGTGTTCGAAGATGCACTTGAGTTCCCATTGATTGAAGTGGATAAGGAAAAACTTAAACAAATCCATTAATCTGAAGATGAATTTAAAGAGATGGATGTGTTGATCTTGGATAAGAGCAGATTGTACCTTGATTTTCATTCAGATGTCGATGAGGATGTCATATAAGAGTTTTATGAGGAATTGAGACAATAAAATAAAATATTGGTAATTCTTTTGGAACTGGGAATGAGTATTCTGATACTTATCTAGAATACATCAACCATTTTAATAGACAACATTTTCAGAGAGATTATTGTTTGGTATATTAATGTTGTGTAGGGATACTTGATTGTCTTTGTTAAATTGATTTTCATCTGCTTATTGTTCAATGAGCAATATTGTAATCACTTTTTCAAGTAGAAGTATTTTATAGGGTTCTACATCTTTATTTTAATCTGGTGGATCATGCACATCTTTAGTGTAAAAGAAGGTATAATAGGAGAGGTTTGCATTGCTATAGGGATCTTCCTCTCTTTTTTGACTCAATTGAACCCCATAATCAAAATGAAATACAAGGTAGTGGAAAGCGTTGTTATGATCTGTATGAATATTATTGCAGCTGTGGTTAACAAATGGGATAAGTCCTTAATTTATTATGCTAGTCTACTATAACTAATATTTGTAACCAACTAAATCTACAAATTTTTGAAGAATGTAGAAGCTTACAACTAAAAATGCAAGCTAAAATACAAACATGAATAATTAGATTAGTTAGTAAAACATTAATTGCCTACTCACATGCTCGATTAATTTTTACAATTACAATAATCCAGAGCTGTCTTGAAGGATTAACATGAAGATGTTACTCTCTTGTTTGCTGACATCGCTGGATTTACAGAATATTCAAGTAAAGTAGCTCCTGAATAAGTTGTATTTATGTTGAGAAATCTATTCACTGAATTCGATAAGTGTTGTCAAGAGAAGAACGTATACAAATTATACACTATTGGGGATTGTTATGTAGTCATGGGAATGGTCGATGCTAAAGACAGGAATCCAGCTTTGGAGGCTAAAAATACAGTGGAAATGGCATTCGAAATGATTAATATCATTAGAAAGGTCAGAGACAAAATTAATAATTCAGATTTACATATGAGAATCGGTATTCATACTGGTAAAATCATTGGGGGAGTTCTTGGAACTGATATTGTGAGATATGATATCTATGGACCAGATGTGTTAATAGCCAACAAAATGGAATCCAAGAGTGAAAGAGGTTAGGTACAAGTTTCGGAAACTACAAAAAAAACATTGGAATTATGTTATCCAGAAGAATTTCAATATTAGTCGCATTGCATGGTGAAAATCCCATCAATCGATAGAAATACTGAAGGCCATTTTATTTAAATTAAGACCTTCCAAGAACCATCAATGGATTTACAGAATTTTAATTGATAAATATACTAATAATTATATTCATCTCATTTTTTGTTATGTTTCAATGCTTCTTAATAAATACCATAGAAGATGGAATCCTTTAATAATAATAATTCCTTTGTCTTGCCATACTCTTTGATTTCCCCTGCATCAACAACAATTATTCTAAAATATCAAAATTAATTATTACTTATCACAATGCAAAATAGTATTAATTCTATGAGCAATTGTAATAACAGTGCAATCCTTGAATGCATTCAAAATTGTTTCTTATATCTTATGCTCAGTTTCAACATCAATATTTGCTGTTGCCTCGTCAATGAGAACGACTTTACTTTTTTTCAAAACAGCCCTGGCAATGCAAATTAATTACTTCTCTCCTGAACTCAGATTGTCCCCTCCTTCACTAATTTAAGTATTTAATCCATTCCTCTGCTAAGTCAACTCCTTCAAACAACATTACTCCAAGACACTTACGATTTCTTCATCCGTTCTCTAATTTAAAGGGTCTATGTTCTCTCTTAAAGTACCATCAAAGATCGTTGAATCTTACATAATCATAGTGATATGCTCTCTAAGTTATTTTAAAGAGATAGTCGATATATCAACATTATCTATAACAATCTTGCCTTCAAGAGCCTCTAGAATTCTTAGGAGAGTTAGTGTCATAGTAGACTTACCTGCTCCAGTTCTACCTACAACTCCAATCTTATCTTAAGGATCGATCGTAAAATTTAGATTCTTCAAAGCAGGTTTCAATCCTTCTCGATACCTGACTGAATAATTATCATAGTCTATCCTTCCCTATTTCGGCCAATGATCTAAATAGTTCTCCTAATGAGAGGCTTCCTCTAAATGATTATCCACTAACTCTTTATATCCTGGTTCAGGTTCTATCTTAGTGAATGCCAAACATCTCTCAAATGAGACCAATCCCAATTACAATTAACTAAAGGATTGAACACATTCTGAGACATTACCATCAATTTAAGTTGCATATGTCAATAGTAATCCAGCCAAAGATGGATTTGAAAAGGAGAAGAATACACAATAAACTATTGCCATGGCATTAACAACTAAGCTTACCAATCCCAATATCAACATAAACCATGTCTATGTTCCTATTAATTCTAAAAACACTCTTCGATTTACATCCATATTGTCACAATGCTTTTCTATGAACTTACTTTCCTTTTTAAATACTCTCACATAACTCTACCCATTTATGCATTCACCAAAGAAACTCACTATAGGACTTTTAGAGATGGATTCCAATCTTTGCAATTCTCTACTTGCTGTCACATATAATAACTAAATCCACCAACATAAACTGAAGTAAAAGAACAAAGGGATTAACATGTAAGCAGTACTCGAGTAAACATAAATAGTCAAATTTGCTATCAATAAACTCACAGAGATGAAAAACCAACTCAAACCCCAATATATTTCACTATCCAATGAATTTTAATCCTTTGTTAATCTATTCAATATTCTACCCAAAGGCACTCTTTCAAAAAATGAACATTAAGGAGCATATAATAAACAACTATCATTAATAATACTCTTTACTTTATCATTTTTGTATGGATTTTGTCAGATGTTCTTGTACCAGCAGAAACTAACAACAGAGGTCTCAGAAATGCAAATACTCCCTATCCCAATGAGAAATAAAAGTAGAATTCTAAATATTTATAATTGTCGATATTTTCATCCTCCTCTGCCTTAGATGTCCAAAGAGCAATCAGAATGGAAGTACCAAAATAGCATCCTATCCAACAAATCTATACAAAAGTCAACAAAATTATATTAAAATATCCAGTTAATTTAAAATATTATTTGTAAGTATCTAATGCCAAATTCCCCCTTTCTCTATCTTCATCCAGCATCAATTCATTATTCTAATCATTCTTGGGCCTCCTCCTTAGATGATTCTTACTAAACTAATTAAAGGAAGTTCCTCGACCTTCTACTCTATGGTCTCCTCATCCTCATTTTGATGTTGATTTTTGTATAACTTTTGGAATATTGAATTAAAACTAGTTGAATTATTTAATTTCTTGGAATGTGCCCTACTCAATTACTGCTCCATTTTCCAATAAATATATGTAGTCCACATACTGTAAACTATTTAAGGCGTGGGTGATAAGAATTCTTGTTTTATTTCTCAAATATCCATTTAAACATTCATTCATAATGAAATTACCTACATGAGCATCAACTGCACTTATTGGATCATCCAATAATATTATGTCAGCATCACTGTATATAGCCCTAGCCAAACTTATTCTTGCTTTTTAACCACCAGATAGGTTTATTCCCTTTTCTCCAATCATTGTCTCATCCCCTTTTATTAATATCTTCAAATCCTACGATAAACAGGAATATTTAAGTGCATTCTAGTATTTCTATTCCTTATACTCTAATCCGAATAAGATGTTTTCTTTTACAGTTAAATTTTATATCCAATATTTCTATCCTACATATGCTAATGACCCTGTTATCGTAACCTTGGGAGGATTCTCAGGGTTATACAGCATCTCCCCTATTATCGCCTATAAAATCGAAGTCTTGCCTGCTCCCACATCTCCTATTATGCCAATCATCATCCCCTTCTTTATTTCCATATTGATATTAAATAAGACTTGTTTCTTCTCATTTTCCTTCTGACTTTATTCCTCTACTTGTAACTTTTTAGTTTTCTTTTGTTTCTTCTTCTTTTTGTTTTCTTACTCCTTCTTCTCTTACTCGTCAATCTCTTCCTTTTTTAGTGTTGACCAATAGAAGTTACCACCCCTTATTTCAACTGATCTTTCATCTCCATAATAATCAAACTAAATGCAATCAGATTATAATTCGTCAGTAAATAAAAATTTCTATATTCTTTTTAAACTTATATTTGTAGCCATGACTTCATTGATGGCTATTGGCAATTGCAACAAAGGTTATTGTAACATTTAGAATAAACTGATAATTGCAAAGGTACTACCAGCACTTAGTTGATGACCTAATAGAATGTGCATTAGGAAGGTCCCACACAATATTAATAGTGGACTTAACCATACTGAAAATATGTAAAATGCAGTTCCAAAATAACGCTTTCTGGTGATATCAATTTCAGCTTTCCTCAATTTAAAAAGTTTTTCTCTAAAGAACTCTTCAAATGCATTTATTTTAATGAACTTGATTTATGAAAATATCTAGTATTGCACAATTGGTTCTCTTGTCCTTCTCCTTCATCATCGTCTATTAGTATTTCATGAGGAACTTTCCTATCAATGTATTCCATACTGCCGTTAATATCATTATTCCGAAGCCACCGAGAAATGACAATCCAATATAAGCAAACATTAAATATACAGTAACTATTAATTAGATTGGAACCAATAGAGCAACACCTAAATAATAAGTAACAAATTATAGTTTCCCTGCATCCACTTACATCAAATTTATCACTTCACCAGTCGTGTATCTAGGATTGCTTAAGAAAGAAGTTCGTAAACTTTTACTCATTAATTCTACCGAAAGCACAGATTAGGCATCGAATCCGAAGGATCTCTTAAAATATCAATCTTAATTACAATCTCTAGTCTTGCTTAGGCATTTGCTATCATATTGATTGCTCTTGATATTATAATAACAGCGATAATTGTCGAAGCATAATAATAATCTTCTTCCTAATTTGTAATATAATCTATAATGCTTTTAATCATAATAGGGATAACTACGGAAGTACAGACTGATATTATCAACCATACAAAAGTAATTATGATTTGCTTCTGAAAAGTTTAATACAAAGCTTTAAATATTGTGTTTTCCCCTCTCTAGGTAATGATCAATTAATTTTTGAATTTTTCATATAAATATGAGGATCTCTCTGTTTTTGAAAGTGGCTGAATAGTTTCCACTTCTAATGGCTGTTTTTAAGCTAGTTTTCTAAACCTAATAAGTAATTCTTACAGCGTTGGATAAATCCAGGATACAAACAATTTGCCCAAAAATCCTGCTTTTTCTCTGGCTGTTTTTTTCTGCTCTGGGATGAGGGTCTCTACAAAACTCCCGAAATCTCCGAAGCTATCGTTTATTAATCCTTTTCTTAAATTATCGCTACTCATCTAATATGGAAAAAGAATTAATTATAAAATCACTATTTAAACTTTCAAAAATTCTTCATAAACAAAAATTTGTCAATTCTATAATCCATTTTAATTGATTACCATGGCTGTTATAAAATATTAATATTTAAATAATGAGGACAAACCAAGGCTCGAGCAATGACTTGCTATATCGCTCAAACCAAACAAGAAGGGATACAGATCCATATGCACCCAATTCTCCAAATGCTTTGAAAGAACAAACTGGTTATGTAATACGGGAAAAATATAATAAATTAAAGGATCTCAATTCGAAATTGAAGGTAAGCGTAGTCTCCCAATAGTTTAGGCAGCTCTGAGAGATTATATGCAGGAAGGCAAAGATTAAGAGAAGATATTATAGTTGAAAGATGAAATCATATAAAAATATGAGAGGGAACGATCAGATTGGCAACATAAAGGCAATGAAGATTTGAAATCCCAATTAAACCAACTTAAAATCAAGGTTCAGAAGAAGAAAACAAAAATGAGGTTATTGAAAGATCAATCTAAAGTATTTGATGCTAAGTTGGATGAATAAAAAGCTTAATTCCAAGTTGAATTGGACAGAGTACAACGACTCTATGATGCATTAACTACAGAAATGTATGAGTCTCTAATAATAATTTAGCAAGGATCAGGAGAAAAGATATATATTATTGAAAGAAGAAAATAATGTTATTAAATAAGATGCTGTAGTTAAAGAAGAACAATCTCGATATCTAGAAATTGAATTAAAAGAGGATAAATAATAGATCTAGATTTTAGAATAAAAGATAAATGAACAATTTGAAGAAAATAGAATTTTATAATTAAAAATCGATAATTTAAATAATAAGAACTAAGATTTAGAAAAATTGATAAAAGTTAATGAAGCTCATCATTAATAAGAATTAAATAAATTTTAATCTGATAAACTCTCATAACAACAAGAATTAAATTCACAAATTAATAAGAAAAAAGATAAGATCAAAGTAATGAGCAATCAAATTTAGTAATTAGAAAATACAGTTAATTAAAAATAATAGCAAGAATTCAAATTAAATAATTTAGTTTAAGAAAAACAAAAAGATTATCTAAAATTATAAGCACAACTAGAGGATTATAAAAATAAAACTGATTTAGTATCTAAGGAAGCTAATTATTACCTTTCGGATATTAAATATTTAAAGTCTGAATTGGAATAATAAAAGTCTTTAGTGAAAACGAATGAAGATAAATTAGCTTAGTATGATAAGCAACATCAAATAGATCAAGAAGAGAAAACCTAAATTTTGTAAGATTTAGAATAATTGAAATAAGACAATAGAAGAATCTAATAGTTATTGTATGAATCTGATAATGATATTTCTTATCTTAATTAATAACATTTAGAAGTAATAATTTAAGTATATCATAGAAACAAAGATCAATAGAAAAGACAGTAGAGTATTTGCAAAATCAATTAAAGTATTCATAGGAAAACTTGGCTGAATCTAAAAGACTTCTTTTGGAAATGCAAAAGTAATAAGCTACGAATGAGGAGTAGATAGAGTTCTATAAAAATAAATATCAAAAAGCAAAATAAAATCAGAAAACATTAAAGAATGAGTAAAGATGTGTAATTCTCCACCTATATAATAGTTAGAAGAAAGGATGAAAATGATTGAGTTTGAAAGAATTCAAGATGAGAGAGATGCTCTTAAGAATAAAGATCATATTATTTAATAGAAATAGGTTTAATAGAGTAAGATTAGAGTGCTGGATGACATTTAAAATATGATAAAACTACATAAAAGGACTAATTTCTGAATACTTAATTTTGTGTTCTTATAATTGATACAAATAAATAGATATTATTATTTTAAATATAGATTTAATCACTTATTGTTCAGATAGCCTTCACTTGTCCGTTTTGAACAAATATGGTTTTTCTGAGCTCAAAAGGGGTGCATCAACATCAGGAATAGGAATCTAATCTTTGGTGGTATTAGTAATCTTAGTAGTTCCTTGGTTAGTGTTTTAATTTAAGGAATGTTTATCAAATTGAATTCTTACAAATTAGACAGTTTCTTTCATAATATCCTAAGGTCTTTTTGAATTGTGAGTCCCTTCAAATTGTTTTAGTACTTTGGTTCCTCTAAATTTTTCCATGAGAATTTTGGGATGTTTTTCAACGATTAATTGATCTTATCTGGCTGACAAGAAAACAATGGAAACATCAATAGGTAGAGCTAAATGTGATAATGATGGCATATTTACTTTGAATGGCCTGTGAGATATTGAGGTCTTCAATGTTAAATTTGGCCTCTCTTCTAATTTTGGCTTTCACGAGACACCAGAAACAATTGAAGCAACAACTGGGTATGCTATAACTATTTGAGGCTAATTCTTAACAGAGATGAGTTAAATTGGAGAAAGGACTATCGCACACCAATACTTTGAAATTATAATTGAGAGTGGCTGCAAGAATGGCTGTCACTGAGCCCATGGATCTGCCCCACAATCCAATTTGTGTAATGAAAGGCTATTCAACTTATAATTATTAGGTTCACTTACTTTCTTCTATCTCAAATGTTCATAGAGGTCATTAACATCTTTGGATTCATAATAGCCTAAGGAAATGTATTCACCTTGCGATTATCCAGAACCTACGTAGAATAGTTAAGCGAGTTACCAGATAGATCAATTCCACAGACTGCTATGTTGTTAGGGAGCAAGTATTCAACAATGGTTAAGGCTTCCACTCTGCTGCTAGAGTTCCCATGTAAATAGATCATACATGGATGTGGTTTGTCTTACATTCTTATAGGTTCAAATAAGCTGTAAATAATTTAGTCAAATACCTGCATTACAAAGTCAATCCTCTGGAGTTTTAAAATTCAAAGTCAAATCGTTTAGTAACAGTATCTTATACCATGAAAATCTCATTTCCCATGTCCTTTACTCGATAATTATGTCTGGGCGGTCTTACTATTGGTTTCCAAAGCTTTTCTGTGCATCGGTAGGATGGTTATTTCATTTTAAAATAATATGTTGTCAATAATAAATAGTATTGGTTTAGTATTGAAAATAATCATATAGCACAGTTTTCCAAGAATTACTCGATTTCTTAACTAGACTCTCCACAATAGGATATAGGTTCTTTTCTCCAACATTTTCATGAAATCTCTTCTTGAATTCATTCAAATTGAAATTCTCTAGACATGCCAAGAGATTATTTCTTGGACTGAAATGCATCAATTTTACAAAGGTAAGTAATTCTGTCACATGTTCTTACAAAATGGCAAGTCCTAAATAGGATTACTATTTTAGTTACCTGAAAATATTAGAATTTAGTAATAATCAAACATATCACTATCTTTACCGTTTAATAACTCCTCATACTCATTTATTAATTTGAATGGAGCTGACTCAAATCCAATATTGCCAGGAGTCAAGGTCAATACAAATCCAAAGTCTATATGAATTATGTGACCCTCATTATCAATTAAGATGTTTCCATTGTGTCTGTCCTTCAACTGGAATAAATAACAAATCAATGAGTATCCTGCCAAACTTTCTGCAAAATTCTTTTGTGCCTCTTCGAAGTTCTCAAAGTTCTTTTTGTAAAATTATCTTAAAGTGAGATTTGGATTTTCTCTCTTGATTTTATCTAAAGAAACTGTATTCGGAATGAATTCTAATATTCCACTACTCGCCGAGGTCAGAATAATATCATAAGGCCTGAGGAAAAGCTTAGTCGACTTCTATTTAAATATATCATAGATTTTTCTCATCATTTACATTATCAATAGCTCATTTCTGAGATCATCTCCTCCTTTTATTATAATCTACCTAACCTCGTGAGATTTCAAATTCCCATATTAAGAATTCTATTTAATTTTCTCCTTTGTAATGTTCCAATCTTCTCCCCAAATAGACTTGCTTTATGATTTGGACACATAAATGTCTTTATCCTTGATCTTGTTTAAATTCTAGAAATGATGTAAGTTTTGGAAATCTATTTTCTTATTAACCAATCTAAATAAATGTTATTAACATAATATACTTCTTTAATTCCTCAATATTATATTATTGATATATCTTTATCTATGAAATGGTCCTCATTTCCTTCTCAATATCATAAAAAGGAATCAGTTCTTCCAAATCTTCTACACCCAATTGATTTACACTCTATATCAATAGTAACTCGGATGGACTAATTGTTATTTAATATATGCTTACTTTACTGTTTCGATAATAATTTTGTAAGGAACTCTTTTTGCAGTATTGAAGCAAGTAAACTCATCTTCCAACAAATTCACTATTAAGAATGAATCTAAATTGCCATAATTAAATGGAATAGTCAAACCTCTAAAATCAGGTTGGTCCTAAAATCTTAAACTCACTATCATTTGATTGATATATTATAGAAATTTTCCCATATGATCCTTTTGCTTTTCTATTTCTATTTTCTTTAAACTCAAACTTTATTCTATCAAATAAAATATAATTTGGTCTTGTTTCTCCCCATAGCCTTTGATACAATTTATCGTGAATGCATCTAAGTTATTCGTCTCCTTTTAATTTGTTCCTCCTTAAAGTGCATGTTCTTATGCATGCTTTATTTTTAATTCCTAAATATTTCAACAAGTGTACCTTCAAAAAAGCAGTAAAGCCTTTCTTAACTTTCTCAAATTTAGAATCTTCATTGAATGCCTTTAATGTCCACTCTAATCGGTAATAATTTGCAATATTGGTAAATGCATAATTATATAGAAGCTCCTTGAGCATTTGGTCATCTGTAACGTAAACTAGATAGCTAGTGGTTAATGATGTATGATTACCAAAGTTGGTATATGTATGAATTAATCTCAGGATCTGAAATATAACTATACAAATCAAGGATATTTTGCTAAATCATCTTTTCTTACTTATCTTAAAGAGAAGATAATAACGAATTCAATCTTCTATTAATAGAGGTTCCTATCATTCTAATGTGTCTAAAATAGGAATTTATTTAAAATATAGTAAAATAAATATGATTGTATATGTAAAACATTATATATGCACTCATAAATTTAATAATTGATCAGATTAAAACTTATTATAATAATTTGTTTAATAGAAATGAAAAAGTGTAAGGAACTATTGAAATGGTCATAATCATTGATAATTGTTTATAATATATTTGAAAGCGCAATTGTTATTAGTTTTAATAATATGTTATCAACTCATCATAATTTAAACTAATACTTAATATCATTAATTTTCATCGATGTATGCATTCATTTATGAGATTGACAGCTTATCAAAAAATAATATTTTAGAATCTTGTCCTAAAGTGTACTCTATGGAGGAATCATTCTTACTATCATTGAGCAAGTTTCTCATTTTCATTAAATGGTACTTTAATTTAATTGACTCATTATTAATAAACGTAGAATTATTTAATAAATTTGGTAGTTTTATGTAAAATTTGTGTACTTGTGTGAAATTCAAAGTAATTTCAGAATTTTTAATGTCCATATTTTAAATAACACTCAAAGCATCATTCAGCATGGTAATTTAGTAATCCTCCAATCGTTATTACTTTTATTTTAATATTTAATGAGATTAATTCCATTTATTATTCATCTTCCACACATTGGCATTAAATATCTTATTAATTTTATATTCAGTCTCATTCATCTGGATGTATTCTTAATTGATTGATTGTTCTATTTTCTAGAATGCCAAATTTGCAAATTTCAAAAGGATTATCCTATGAGCGTAGATATCACCAGCAAGGACTTTATCGTCTCTATACTTATCTTATAATTCACAAAGTAATTCTTCGCTTTGTATAGCAAATAAAGAGTAGCGATAAATATCATTTAGAAAGTCAAGATGGTTCTTCTTCAAACGATAACCTTTCAGCATTTCCCAATTAATCCTTTTTATTGGATCATATACGATCATTTTTTCAATTAACTATCTTAGATCAGGATTCTTAAGTTAATTGTAAATAGTAATACTCTCATTGAGTCAGGACATTTAAAGGGATTTGTTTTTAATAATTTCTGCTACTACCTGATTTCGTTCTAACCATTGATGTTAATGTATTCTTTTTTATACATCATATAATATATCAATACTCCTAGCTTTGAATAAGTAAAGTAAATTACCGAGAAAACATCACATTGGTCGTTATAGCCCGAAACATTATTCTCCAATACTTCAGGTGCAATATAAAGGAGACTACCAACATCGGTATGGGCTAAAAGTGAACCAGAAATTATCTTGGACACTCCAAAATCAATTATCTATATAAGCTAAGTCAATTACTTTGTAAATTTTATCATTGTTGTCATCAAATTTAATCATAATATTCTCTGGCTTAATATCTCTATGAACAATGCTTTTCCTTTTAAGTTATTCATAACCAGAAATTATCTGCGATAGAAAATCAATGATCTCTTAATCAGTAAATTGATTGTTTTATTCCATGAATTCCTTGATGTTCATGTCACATTTTTCTAAAAATATGTAATACCATTATGAATCCTTAATTATTTTAATTATTTTTATTATGTTCTAGTGATTTTCCCCTTCAAGATAACCACAGATTTAGACTTCTCTTAAATCTTACTCGTTATTTTATTCCTTCTTTTGAATCATCTTGCACACTAATGTATCTCTTGTTTAAATATTAAAGGCATTTACAACAAATCCTTACCGACCACGTCCAACAGAGTCTGATTACCTGAGAAAATAAGTGTTATCCAAAAGATAGCAATCTTATCTGAATTAATTATCATCTCCCTCTCTATTAAATTTATCCCAAACTAGCATTCTCTTATACTATTCTATCAACCTTTAGTGATCATTGTTGCCAGCACTTTAGTTTAATAAATTCTAACAGAATTCTCTTTACTTTTTTATCAAATCCTGATATGAATTTGCTTCGAAGGGTTTCCTCCCATCATTGCAAATGTAATATAATAGCATTCCCAACTAATTTATCAAATTTATCTTACAGTATAGATACTACACTAATTATTTAAGCTTTGCCCTTTGATCAGAGCTTCTGGTGCTGCAAAATCTGACATCCCATTGATAGAGTCTACATATCCATCTTCGGAAATCTCAGCCGATCTGAAATCTGATATCTAAAATAGTACCAGTCTATTACTTAAAGAACATACTCATTGTCTTTTATTTATTTGACTCGAATATGTTTAGGTTGTAAGTCTCTAATTATTATTTTGAGCGATTTTAAATGATTGAATCCTGCAAACAATTAACAATAGAAATTCTCCTTCATTATTGATGATAGGTTTCTTCCAGAATTTAAGAATTTCTCTAAATTCATAGGGATTTCTTCATACATAGCATAGCAATGATCCTTTTTTATAATATCAAATATTTTGATTAAATTTGTGTGAGGATGCTTGCTTAGCAACTCTAACACTGCTATCTCTTTTTCTGTTGTTCTATTAGGCTCGGATTATATTAATTAAGCACAAATATTTTAATTGGGTTATTCAGTATTTCTGCAGGAATAATAGAGATTAGCATTGCGCAGTTTTTTTGCAGATTCCTAATTTGTGTCTTAATAGAATATTTGACTTTTGACTATTTTTGGTTAAGATGAGTTTATTTGATATTTCCCTATTTGCCTTATAAAAATGATTGAAAGATCGTCCATTTATATATTAAGCAAGATATTTTAATATTATATTTGTAATCAAAAATAATCATTATAGTTATTTTAATGAAATAGGACTCTAATACTTTAGTCTATTATCAATCTCAAATATTTGTTCCGATGCCATTCTAATTTTGCTCATTAAATTTAAAGAATTAGGCTACTTTATCCCTACTGACAGATTTTGCAATTGAATTATCTCATTTTTTTCTAATTCCTCCAATATATCAGTTCCAGCAGAGCTCAAATCTTCAAACGTAATCCTGTGACTAGTAGTTTCAATCTAATTCATCAATTTTCGAGCAGTCATGCATTGAGTTCTTTCTGCTTTCTTTAAATGTCTTAAATTGGCTTTTTTAACTGAGTGATTCGATTGGATTAACAACTTTTGAGTGGCAGATTAATCGTCTCCTCTTCTAAATAGTCTTAATAAATAATCGTAATCAGGTTGTGAATCAAATTTCAATGTTCGCACATATGCAAGATATTTTGATAGTTCAGGAGGGAGGTTGATGTAGGATTCAGGTCTAAATGCTTCCTTCATTCTCTGTATTTTGTAGTACTTGGTGGTCTTGTCTTCAGCCACAATATTGTTCCATGGCAACGTACCCATGTATAAATAAATTAACAAGTAACCTACTGATTCCAAGTCATCCCTTCTTGATTATTCATTGCCTTTTAAACTATTAATGGAAGCATATCTTGCAGTTCCAATCATGCCCTTGTTCTCTCGGAATTCTATGTGTTTTCCATCCTAAATATATAATTTGGATAGTCCAAAATCAATTAAATGTATTTTTTCCTAAAAAACAACAAAGTTCTCAGGCTTAATGTCTCTATGAATTATATTAGAATGGTGCAAATCTTTTAGCAATTGCACCATCTATTATCCAGTGTTCAAAATGGAAGTAGTATCAAAATTGCCACATTTCGTTCTTATCTATTCTAAGTTCTGCCCGAGTAAGTTCATAATGAAGTAAGTGTTTCTGAGATCCTGGCCGGAAGTAATTAACTGGGTAAATCCTTGGGTTATCAGATGAAAGATTACCCTTTTTTCCTTTTAAAATTTACAAAATCTTTATTTCTCTTTAAAGGAGAGTCCTCTCTTTTTTCATAGTATTTTTTACTAATTTGCATGCAAATATCTATCCAGTGGTGATATGCTTAACTTTCCAGATATATCCGAAAGAACTTAAGCTTTTAATATCATAGGTACCCTTCGCCCAATTTATCCAGAAATTAATAAGATAATGACGCTGGTTTATCTTCTGAACATTTCATTTCAAGTGTAAGAATATTTTTATATTATTTAAATTCATTTTGTAGTTTAGACTTAAGTATTTAAGGATATTGATTGATAGGTATGCAAATTTGTCAATAGTCCAGTCCGATTGCATATTTGCTGACACCTACTTTAATCAATAAATTTATTATAATCTAATTTGTGGAGAAAATACCCAAAAATATTTTTAGCAACTAAAAACAGCAACTCAAATCAATAATTTGCATTTAAGATATTTGTAATATATTTTGAATATATAAATCATGCGCTTTAAGCAGCTGGATGTTCAGCGTTTTATCCCTTTGCAATTGTTTATTATTGCTATGGTTGATATTGTGCTTTTGATTTCCTAATTTGATTATATGAATATTTTCATTACTTTCCAGTTGTGGTGAGGAATTATCTGTAATACAAACTATTAGTTGCGTAGAGCATTTGGTAATTGTTTTGTTTTTTAAATTTATTTATTAATAATCACAAATTAATATTATCGTTTTTAATGGAAGAAGAAACCTAAGGATTAGTTGAATAGAAAATTAAATTAAATAATGCGAAGGGATACAAGAAGATAGTATCTCCCATATTAAACACCATAATGCTCATGATAGTATTCTGTTTAATCGCCTTCATGTTATCAATGATGATCCAATAATAAAAGCTAACATAGCATAATCAAGCATCTATGCTTCAGAAATAACAACTACGAAAACCCTCCATTGACACGAATACGTATGAGTACATGACCTTGGAAAATGGGCTTTCAGTATTGCTGATTTAGAATAATGATGCTATCATCTCTTAAGTGGCGTTAAGTGTATAAGCAGGATCATTCCAAGAACCATCTAATTATGGTGGGTTGGCTCATTTATTAGAACATATGCTATTTGTAGGATCTCATACATATCCAGACCCTAATTATTTCAATTCCTTGATTTACAATAATGGAGGCACTAATAATGCTTACACTGAGAATTATGAAACCAATTATTACTTCACTATCTAAAACAGTGCTTTGCAACAAGGCTTGGATGTGTTCAGTCACTTTTTCATTGATCCCATATTAGATCAGAAGATGGTAGAGAAGGAGGTGAATGCAGTGAACAATGAATATGAAATCATCACTAGCACTGATGATTGGAAAATTGAAGCCTTATTAAAGATCATTTCAGAAAAATCACATCCATTTAGTTGGTTCTCCATTGGAAACTTAAATACTTTATTAAAAGATGAAAGTAAATAATTTAAATATACTTTCAATAGTATCAGAATTGCTGAAACAATTTTTTAATGAAGCTTATTCCTCTAATTTGATGTCATTGGTTGTTGAAAGCAGTCTGTCAATTTCTGAACTTAAAACCTATATTAAGAATTTTGAAAAGATCAAAAACAACAATTTGATTGAACCTACTTGTGAGGATTTAGGCTATCCAATTTAGTACGGTCCTCAATTTATCAAATATAAATCAAATTCAGATGTCAAGAAGGTCTACATGACACATTAGTTATCTGATGTTCAACAATAATACAAAACAAAATCAATAGAATTTATTAATAATTTAATTTCGTAAAGCAAAGGAGTCAAAGAATATCTAATACAAAACAATCTAATTATAGATATGTCAAGTAGTGTTTTGTTTAATGACCATAATGGTTGTTTTAGTGTGTTAGCTCTTGAATTTTAGGTTTACGATCTCAATGATTACGATAAAATCCTCTAAAAAGTCTTTTCTTATTATTTCTACCTTATATAGACTTTGTTTGATGATAAAGGAGATATTCTAGTTGACAATGCGAAAATAAGATCATTATATAATGATTATATGTAAATAGCTACATTGAAATTTGACTATAATGAAAATATCATTGATGATATTCAAGAGATAGCACATAACTTGAATTTTTATGGATTTCATGATGTCTTATCGAGGAAATATTTGTATGAAGATTATGACCCTGAATTGATATACTTTTATCTTACTGAACTACTTGATATTGATAATTTGAATGTTTTTTTAGGGGATTCTCAATTAAATCATCCTGATGTCCAATATGACAAAGTCAACAGAATTAATTATGCTTTTGTGGACATTCCAAATTCTGTCATCTAGAAAATATAATCTTATGATGAAATTGAACAACCTAAATTTGAATTGCCTTCAATTCACAAATATTAACCAAATGATTTGAACATGAAATCATTCTGCAAACCATACTAAAGTAGTAAGGAAGATCCTTATGAGGATTTACAAAATGAGAAGATGCTTATTTAGAGAAATTCTGAGATGGTCTTTTCAAATGTTGAAGTAATTATTGTTTACAATGTAATAGGAATGTTTAAAATATGAACATTAATATGAAGAATTGTATCCACTTCCTGAATACTTATTTAAGTCATCAATTGGAAAATTGTGGTGGAAATTAGACAGATCTTATAAGACACCAGCCATTTTTATGGGAATGAAAATAGATAAAATCAACTTTTAGTTCACTTTAAGACAACAAGTATTATTAAAGGTATTCTAATCTTATACTTCCACAATGATTTCACAACATTTAGATGCAGCATTTTAAAACAATTATAACTTCAAATTTACATCATCTCCTAATCACATCATCTTTAATATTTATGGATGGAATGATAAGTTCTTTGAATTTATAGAAGATTCATTAGCATTTTTCATCAAGCAACAAATTGATCAATCGGTTTATGATTAAACACTTAAGACTTTAATGAATAACTTAAACGAAGAGTTGCAAACCCCTTTATATTAATAAATTAGAAATCGCTTTTTCTTTAATGTAATCATAATTCTTATTTTTTAGACTCTTATCTAAGGGTATTATGAACCTTAGTAACTCCTGTAAGAATTAAAGAGTATTAATATCAAAGATTACGAATAATTCCATTCCCATTTGTTCAAAGGAACAAACTTTTAACTCTATTTAACTGGCAATGTGCTCAGGGAAGAGGCCCTCTCCCTTTTCAATTCTATTGAGAAAAAGCTATTCGGTAAACAAAAACACTTAGATTATAATCCCATCTATTCCAAAATTTTGAAGCTCTCTAATAATTACATAATTCCATATGCAGCAGAGTCTGATGACATCAATGGCGCTACCTACAATTATTACATTTTTGGAAACAGGAATAGGAAACAATTTGCAATAATGAATATCTTGAAAGGAACCTTTGATAGTTATGCATTTAATTATTTGCGAACTGACTTGTAATTGGGATATTTAGTTTCAGCTAAGTTTCAGCCTTTAGAATGTCTCGATGGAGCAGCAATCTTGGTCTAAGGAAGTTCAAAAACCCCCTATTAAGTTAATTAGCATATTGAAGATTTTCTTTAACACTTTTATGAAGAGATAGAGAAGATGACTGATTTTGACATTGATGAATTAAAGAAAGCAGCTGTAATTGAATCATATTAATATAGATCCAATAACTGAGGTAAAAAGAAAAAACATTATTCGAAAAAGGACAGACATATTGGGACCATATTTCCAATAATGATTATATATTTGAAGAAAAAGAGATAACTATTGATTAAATTGATCTACTTAAAAAAGAAGATATACTTACTTTTCTTAATTCTGCCTTCAAGAAATCATCCAAAATAAGCATTCAACTTTATGGAAAGCATATGCTTAAAGGTCAGCCAGTTGAAGATTTCTTGAAAAGCCAAAGCCCAATCAACAGTTTTTCAAATATTGAAGAGAAACTATCAGATAAAGAAAAAATAAAGGTTGGAGCAATGTTATATTAATGTTCTTTTAAATTAGGATAGATATGACTTAAATAAATTTATTAATTTTATTCATTTACGATTTTGCTATTGTTATTATTATTGCTGTTCTTCCATCTCTTATTTTACTTATGAATATTTAGGCTACTTTTGCTGATTTTATTGATTCATATTCATAATCTGAAAGTACTAATCACCATATTGAGGCATCATTGGAATTTAATAATTCATAATTGGAACCTACTATTACTGTTGGTTTGTCTTCTACTACTGATTTAATTGTCCTTACACTTGCTATTATTATTAATATACTGGCTAAGAGGTGTATCTAATTATGTTAAAATACTCAATACATAATTGGAATGAATTATTATGGCATTCCTACAGCTTAGGGTGCTGCCAAAGGAAGTTATTGTAAAGGCATTTAAGCAAGCTGAGGCATGGAAGCCAATTAAGGCATCTATATTTACCCATTCTAAACAGTAGCCATTTATCCAGGCTAAACCATTTATGGAATTTATCCCTAAACTTGTTGTATCATTTGTGGTGGCAATTGAGAAATTATCTATGGCATTTATCCTGGGATCGTTGATACTACCTACGTTGGAATCTATCCAACCATTTGATTTGGAATCTAACCTACCATCTAACCCATTTATCCTGGGAGTTGACCTATCATCTATCCTGAGAGTTGGCCAACCATTTATCCTGGCATCTAACTAATAATCTACCCAGGAATTTAGCTGACCATCTAGCCTGGCATTTAACCTACCATCTAAGCTGGCATTTAACCTACCATTTATCCTGGCATTTAACTTACCATTTATCCTGGAATTTGCCCCATCATTTAACCTGGTAATATTGGAATTTGAGCTACTGGAGCCATCTACATTTAAGGATACATAAAATTTGAAGGATAGACAAGTTAATAATATTATTATTATTAAGACTATTACTATAATTATAATTGTTGTTATTGCTATTGTTGTTACTATAATTGAGAAGATTGTTACTATTGTTAAGGTTGTTATTATTACCCAGACGCTTATTATTATTATATGGGTATCACTGGAGTTGGTTGTGCAACTGGCTACATGATTGGTTAGACTAAAGGCAGTTAAACTGGGATTTGTGGTTGAGAGGGGATTGGAGTTTATTGAAAAATCTATTAAGGATTCTACTACTACGGTTGTTATGGTTAGGATTATTATTACTGAGGCTATTGTAATTTTGATTCTAATTTTGGTAGAGGAGGCGGAAGAGATTATATCTTACTTAGTGATGATTACACTTCCTTTTTCTACTCCTTTTTTTTTTTCATAAGTTCCATTACTACTTTTAGTTGTGATTTTGGAAATAAGTGCAACTTTTATGAATCTTTTCCCATTACTGCAAATTATACTTCTGATAAGTTTTCAGAATCACTTATCGGCTCTTCATCCAATTCGACTGTATGACCCTTCTAAGCTACTACTTCTTAATAGTAATCTTTCATTTTATTTATATCGAGATTTTAATCTTATTCATAATGCTATAGAACCTTTTTGATTATGTTTTTGGCATGCAATTTTTCATCTTTTTCCTCTGCTTTAGATAGTCTCTTAGAACAGGAATTCTGGATACTACCATTGTTTTTCCTCTACACCTTATTATCTGGCATAAATTCTTGTTTAGTCTTTGTGATATTTGGTTCCAATTTACTTAATTAATATAATATGAAGCTTATTTCTTATTGTCCAAATTATTCGAATTTCACATTTTCATTTAGCTACAATTTTACTAACTATTTCTCAATATCTGCTTTACTCAATATAGGAACATCCTAATTTTCAAGCTTTCTCAAAATATTGAAATATCTATTTTTTATTGAACTCTCAGTTCTAGAATTTTTCATCTCCGTAGCTATAATCATCCAATTCTTCCCATGTTTAAGTAGTTGTTTACATAATTCATATTCCTCATTCTTTTCCCAAGGCCCCCTTTGAATATTTGGATTTAATTTATTTAGCCATCTATCCCTTACAATTTTTGCCATTTTCACATTTTATTGATTTAACTTTTATGCTAATTCTTTTGCTATATCGCTCCATTTAAATGGCCTATTCTATGTTAAATAAGACAAGCAAATCTCTTTCAGGGCTTCATCCTCCTTTTTTTACCATTATTACTAGAGTAATCTTATTTTTTTCCTTGTCGTCGCATATTATAATTTGCAATCAATTTTAGTGCTTTTCATTAATTATGATATTAGGCTCCAGACATCATCAGGAACAAGATGATGACTTATCTATTAATCAATGCAATAGGTTTAAATTAACAATTTTAACTATTTGACTGATGCCTCATCCCATTTAGAGCTGGTAACCTGAAAGTCAATATTATTACTTGTTAATGTTCTAATTTCATTCTTGATTGCTTCATCTGTCTATTTCAAGAGTTCTAAAAACTAATCAAGAGTCTCCTACATTTTTATGTATTTATTAATTATATGAATATTTAATCATAATTCATTTCTCATCATTCGATAACTCATTTGTTATCTCCCCTTAACAAGTGAGATTTTTATAACCAACTTAAATATTCATTTAGCTTTAATAGCACATAATTGTATTAATATTAGAGCTGAGAGAAGTCATATTTTGATAAAACAATTAATACTACAATGAAGAGTAAATCATGGCAATTGTATGTTCGATCAGAATACAACAATAAATAGTTATTAAATTCAAATTTCACTGTTAATCTGTGGCTTTACAAATGATTAGGTAAACTTTAAGATTAAAATTGCTATAACAACCATCCTTAGAGTATGTATTTAGCAAATGCTTAGTTTTATCGAAATATGTTGTTTAGAACTTTATTACAACCATAGATCAAATTGAAATATTCATATCAAAGTTATAAGACTATGAAGGATCAGATTTTCTATTAAATTGAAAAAGTAAACATAATAAAATACTGGCTAAATAAAAGGCATAAGCTTTTAATTTATTAAATACTTTTGAATACTATTTCGAAATTTCGCTTCTTAAATAATAATGATATCATCTTGGATTGCATATTCAAATATTTTTGCAAAATTATAATCTACCAGAAAAGCTGAAAATCTGCTTAATTAATTATTTCGCATTAGGGAAGTAGATCATGATTAGTTCCTGGAGGCTTATTATTTCCTAATAAAATTGAGAAAAAAAGAAGATGGGTTTAGTAATTTAAATATTGAAGTTTGATATCTCCCCTTTAAATTATTAAGAACTAATATATTTTCTACATTCGTGGAAATAATCAAAATTGAGGTAATTATATGGCAAATCAAATGTACTTAGGTTTGCCGCTCAATCGAATTTGTACGGTTTTAGTGGCAATCTGAGAATTAATATAGTGGTTTGAATTGTTTGTGTAAAGTTTAACTCTGGATTAGTATAAAAGTTATTAATAGTGTCGAGGAAGCAAGGACTCAGTTTGACATAGGAGGTATCATATTATAATTACATTCATAACATTAATTATAAATAAATTTGATTAATGAAAAAAGACAAAAGGAGTGACAAAAAAAAAACATCTTAAGCTTCTCTTTATAGATCTTCGATCACAATTACTGACATTCCAGATAATCTAATGGAAAAGAATGATATATTGGCAGAAGAAATATAGAAAACTGTAAAAACTCTCACATACTCATAAAGAATTGCTAAAGCTGAAAGACATATCTATGATGCATATTATTTAAGAACCATACGCAATGATATAGATGAAACTAATAAGAAATTTCTAAAAATATTATGGATAATTGAAAATCAGTAATTTTGGATTTAATTCCAATTCCTATTAACCTTGATCTATTAATTGATGACTTTCTTTGAATCATCAGCAACAGATGGATTAGAAGGATTCATATTGGCATTTTTTGGATTAGACACTATAATCACTGTGATATTGTTGAAAACTAAGAAGAAAGGAGGATTAGGATTCAAGTTTAATTTAAAGAGACAACTTAAAATTTTCTTCTTCTGCATGTGTTTACTTGACTTCTTTGTGCATCTTGGCGATCCGACTATTGTCAGATTCAGTAGACTCCTGAGAGCCTTCTTGATGCCTCTATACTCTAAAGATTTAAGAAGAACCTTAAAAGGGATTTTGAAAGCAAGTCGAGATTTATTTTTATTGATTGCGTTGTACTTATTCATAATTTCAATATTTTCTTTTGTGGGCATAAACCTGATTGGAGAATTGGATAATGTTGATAAGACAACCTAAGATTATGGGAACTTCTTAAAGCTGTTCTCAATGCTCTTAATGACTGCTACTCTTGACTTTTATCCTGATATTCTAATACCTCCAATGATGTAAGGAACCTATTATGCATTATTCTTCATTATTTACTTGCTGTTGTTTATATTTCTATTTGCACCCATTCCATTGGCAGTCGTTTATGAGGGGTTTAGAAACCATAGAATGGAAATTGCTATTAGTGACATCATCAAGTAAAAGTCATCCATGATGGCCAGCTTTATCTCACTAGATTTTGATGATCAAGGATACATATCTGAAACCTAATTTAAGGATTTCATTAGAGGTTTTTATAGAAATCAATTGTCTGAAAATAAATTATTGCAATTATTTGGAGAAATTGACAAAGATTTCAAGTATAAAAACAATAATAATTAGTGATAAAGTGTAATTCGATGAATTCTACTAATTATTAAAAGTCTTGCAAGATGGAACTAGGTTCACTCTACCTTCAGCCAAACCTTTGGAGTGTTGGGAAAGATTAAGGGCTTATTTTAATAAAAGAGGACTCTAGAGATTTATCGAAGGCAGTTTTTTTGGGACCTCCATGTTGGTAGTGACAATCACCAATTGTATTCTAATTATTGCAGCCTTCTTTATTGAAGACCTTAGTGTGTTAGATATATTCAATTCTTTAGACACAATATTTTTGGTACTTTATTCAATGGAATGTCTAGTTAAAATTGTTGCCCTTGGAATTGGAGAATATTTTAATGAGGGGTGGAATGTCTTTGACATCTCACTGGTAATCCTTTAAATTATTTTTGATTATATCCTATTTAAAGTTGTAACTGGGAACATAGTACAATCAATTAAGGCAAATAGAATATTGAGATTAGCTAAGATTCAGAAGGTGTTTCGGTTGTTTAGAGCATTTAGATCCGTTAAAATCATCAGTTTTTTACTCAAAGGAGTAGAATTTTTAGATGTTGTGAGAAGACTATTATATAAAATCTTATTCTGCATTCCCATAATTTTTAGGTTAATGATGCCAGTATAAATGGTGTTTTTTATTTATGCTACCATTGGTATTTATGTATATGGAGATGTTGAAACAGTGGCAGATAATCCATATGCCAATTCAAAATGTGATCCAAATCAATTCCAATACTCATGGGGAGATTGCAAATATGCCGATTTTAAATCATTCGCTGGAGCCTATCTAATGATGCTTCAATTTTTCATTGCTGCCGAATGGAATTAGGTTGTTTTTGAATTAACTTATGATACTGGTAATATGTTTTCAGCTATGGTTTTTATTGGTTCCTTTGAATTTTTATCTATATTTTTATTAGCCTTAATTAGTGGACTTGTTTGGGAAGTATTTACAATTGTGTCTTTATCAATCAAATAAGAAGATGAATAAGTAGAAAATGAAATTGAAATTTCAAATGATGCTTAATTGGATACAAAAATAAATGGGATTTCAGGGGTTACTTAGTTAAAAAAGAAAACGAGGATTTTAAATGATGACAATCCTGATGTTATTTAATTTCAATCAAACGATAAGCGAGATTTAAAAGAGGGCAATCCAGCTTTCAGAACCATTTCGGAACAATTTTAATAGGACACTTTTAATGAAAACAACTTACAAACTAGGGAAAATTCTTAAGTCAGAATCGTACAAATCGCACATTCCAAAACTCTTATTAGAATCAAGACACCTGAATACAAACCTTTTGATGTTGGTGCTTTATACAAACAACATTTCAAAGATTATCAGACTTTCTTAGAATTTAAGTAAAGTAATGATGGTTTTGATGTGCAACATGTAACAACAGAATACATGAATCATCTAAGGAATGAAATAAAGAAGGATGAAATATTCCATAAAAAATACATCAACATTTCAAATCATCATTTGCTTATTTAAAATGCTGTGCTTAGGGATGCCTCTGAAGTTTACATTAAAAAATAAGAAGATGATTTTTTTAAGACTTCATATAGAGAGAAATTTGAAAGGATCTAAGAATTGAAATTCCAAAGTAAATTTAAGATTGAAAGCAAAATATTATTCTCCTTAATGGGAATTCTGAAATTTCCAAAACCTAATATCAAATATTACTTTTAAATACTTTATCTCATTGAAAACTATTTCACATATTAATTATTACCTGAAAGCTCTTTCTTCAAATTATTACATCAAATTAATAATAAATGGTATTTAATTAGTATTGAGGACACTCAAATATGTTTTAACAGATTGCATTCAGGTCCCTGGGATCATTCGGATACCCTATTTACAACAAGCAATCTCTAAATTTGTGAAAATCTAAGAAGTTTTATAGACTAGGACACTTATGAAAGCAGAACTACAGTGGAAGACTTCAAATTAAGCTTAAGCAAACTAGCCAAGAACTTTGAGATGGATATCTCTTCAGTAGATGTCAATAGCAGTTGCATTCTCTATCAAATTACTAATGACTAATATGGATACGATACTAATTCAATTAAACTAAAAAGGAGTAAATATTTAGATTAATACTTTAGATCAAGATGAGATATCTCCAGATTAAAAATTTGTTGTCTTGGAATCCCAAAGAAACATAGGTACTAAAACTTGCTTCACGCATCGTCAAGACTCTTAAAGTTCAGATGAACATTAACATATTAACAAGACTATAATGTTTGTTTTGTCAAAAACTTAAGCTCAAGAAAAAAGAATCATTTATTAAAACTAAGTTATGTTGGCTTAATTTATTTTGGATTTGGCTGGAGTAATTCATAATTATTCGCATAACTTCTTCTAATAAATTGAGGATTTGTATACTTTAAGACTAAAATAGAAAGGTAAAGGTATAAAAAGAATGTGATTAATTTATTATTAAAATGTATATATTAATATTACTAATTGTGTAAGTATATTCATACCACACTATTTCTGAGAATTCAAAAGTCAAAACACTCAACCAAACTGAGTTTCAATAATTAAATATTGGTAATAATCATTTAAATAATTTCCTAGGTCGAGACAGCCATTCATGGTTCATTTTGTTTTACAGACCATCATGTCCTCATTGCTAAAAAGTCCTGCCTGTTTGGGAAAGTTTTGCTGAATACAATTAGACATCGAGCAAAATCGGTGCTGTCAATTGGTACTTTTCAAAATAATGTTAGTGAGGTTGAAAAAGATTTATGTAAATTATTCTCAATTGATGCTGTACCAACAATGATTCTAATTTCTGAAGGTGGAAATCTTCATCATTATAGTGGAAACAGGACAAAAGAATCTTTTATTCAGTTTCTTGATAAAAATTGGCAAAATAATGAAACTGAGACCCCTCCTAAGGACGATTCCTCAATATTTGATACAACAACTATATTCATTTTGTTATTACTAGTGTTGGTGGGTTTTCTTATCTGGATTTACTTCTAGGAGAAGTACGAGTATTCATCAATCAGCAGTTAAGCCAACTAGAGCTCGATTATAGAAATGCAAGAAATCAATAAACCAATAGAAATTTGATTTTATATTATTGTTTAATATATTTGCCGATATTTATTTTAATTGGAAATAATATAATTAGTAAAGATAAATTTAGAACTAGTTATTTTTGTGAAAATGGAGAAAATGGTATCCGAATCTTATAGGAAAATTTGATAAATAATTATTAAACAATATAAATCAATTTGTTACATATGAATTAGGCTAATTCAAGGTGTTTCTTCCTTGGTATTACTTTTTACCCTAGACTGTAAATTTTCAATAGAGATCGAATCTATTTGTGTATTTATCGAGCTTGAGTAGGTTCTTGAATATCTTAACTATTCACTTCCTTTGAAAACCTATTGAAATACCCATTTAAAACTGCTAACTTGTTCAATATGCTTATATATTTAGACATCAATTGATACATCAAGAGTTATTGCAATTCGTTTAAGTGATTTTATTTTTTACTCAGTTATAGTCAGTTTAATAGCCATCAACATGATTGTGGCTGAAGTCGTATGATCTTTAGATTCAAATACTGGAAATCCAACTGATTTCATTTGTTTTTATTCAGCCTTAGAATAGATCTGATTATCTTACCAATTTGAGAGCCTCTTGAACTACAGCATATATAGTTTGTTTCTCATCTTCTCCATCATCATTTTTCACTGCGTAATTCTTGTCCATGACGACTACAAAAATCTAGCTCTTGCGTTCTTGTTAATATTTATTAATTAAATACTTTTACTCCCGGCCACATAAACACATTTCTCGTTTATTTATTTAAAACTAGGTCTATCGCTTTACTTTATATTAGTGTATCCAGAATCAGTCGGAATCACTAAGCACTCCACATCCTCATTTTCAACTGGACCTGCCGTTAAAGCAATTTCACAGTTCTCTATTTGGTATTTTAATAACAGTTGAGGAAACTGTGAAGATCTCTCACCTGTTTGGAAGCAAAGATTATTTCCCATAATTATTTAATATAAATGTAAATGAATAATTAAAAGCTGAATTTGAAATGTTTAAAATATTCGAAGACTTGAATGTTTATAAAATCTGAGCAAAATACTGACTATTAAGATGTATACCTTTTTCCTTAGTGTGTGTGTATTTTAATTTAATGTTTTTTATACTTATCTAAATGATCTGAACTAAATTAATAAAGTGTTATAAGTTAGAAAACATATAGGAGATATTATCAACAATTTTAATTCATGTTAGGTGTTTTTAAAGTGTTGCTGAATGAGAAACAGATTCAAATTAAATAATTTTATTTTACATAATAGTTCAGAAAAAAGAATTTGAAAATATAATTTACTAAATACAATAATGGAAATAGATTTAAGAATAATTATTAGTCAGTGGAAGTGTTCAGTTCCCTTTTGTTTGGATGAGAGATCGCAATGATTTTTAGATCAATTGTTAGATTGCTTTGAGTCTTAATTAGATTGTGAATATAATATTGTTATATTTGGATTTTTTGTTTGAGAAGAGGCAAAAAGGCTTGTGAGTTTCTATTTTCTATTCTAATTTGATCATTAAAGTATTAAATTTTTATATCTTTTTTTTAAAAAAATTATATTATGGCAGACGTTCAATCATAAAGGGCTTTCCAAAAGTAAGAGGGCATTTTCTAAAACTCAAAGAAACTATTAGCAAAGAAAACATCTAAGGGAGTCAGATATTGGAAGGAAGTCGGTCTTGGTTTCAAAGTTCCAAAGGAAGCAATTGAAGGTCATTACATTGATAAGAAATGCCCATTCACTGGAAATGTGAGCGTTAGAGGAGCCATTTTGAAGTAAATGAAAGTCAATAATGAATAGAGGCATAGTAATTTCTACAAAGATGACCAGAACAATCATTATCAGGAGGGATTATTTGCACTATGTTGCCAAATATAATAGATATGAAAAGAGACACAGAAATGTACCAGTTCACATTTCACCAGCATTTGGACCAGTGAAGGAAGGAGATATTGTAGTTTGTGGACAATGCAGGTAAGAATTTAAATAATAATTTAAAGACCATTATCAAAGACAGTCAGATTCAATGTATTGAAGGTGATTCCAAATGAAATCATTGGTAATGTTAGAAAACAATTTGTTTTATTCTGATTCCAATTATATTTGCATACATATAGTACAATATATATATATTTCATGAATGATGAGAAGAATGATAATAAAAAGTCATTTTTCATTGAGGACATCCAGCAATTTTTGTAATTGAGTAAGAGGAGACTTTTGGGTGATGGTGATTATTTTATTTTTGATCTACACTTTATGGACTTTTTACAATAATGGAGCCAGTTTGTTTAGTTTCTACTTGGTAGGTGACGAATCTTTGCTCATTTTATTGAATTTGTCTTCACTCAAAGTGAAATTGAATTGTGAGGGAGTAACTCTGATATGTCTGGGATTAGCAGGTCTCAACTTTAAAGGATTCTCATCTTTGATTTAATACAGAACTTGACTCTGTTAAATTCTGGTGGAGTGTAGAGATTTCTTGCGAGGACTCCTTATTTCAGTCACCTGTCTTATATGACATAAATTGGGCAATAACTTTCGATTTTTGTTAGAAGGCATTGGGGATGAATACTCCATAGATTCAGAAAGTAGTTTAAGTTAATTAGTGTGGGAGGATTGGGAGTAGTCTTGCCACCCAGCTAGTTGTGTGAAATCATTAATCATATTAATTATCAAATATTGTCATTCTTATTATAAGTGATATTAGTAAGGTTGACGGATTCGTCTGCTTATAAAAATGAATTGTGATGTTGTCTCTGGAACCACTGACTGAGTTTCACCTATTCACAGTTCAATCTATAGATGGGATTCTTGGTGAGTAGACAATTAAGTAACATGATCAAATCAGTTGGTATCGACTTGCAATCTGTGAGTGGGTTGTGATAAATGATTTGTTTTTGCAACTCCTCCTGGGTCAAGCCTTCAAAGGGTCGATGTTAAAATACCAATTCCTATTGCCATATTACTAATTCAATACAAAAATGATAATTCCTAAGGACCAACTATCGACTTTTTCAGTATGTGGTTGCAACAATACAATCTCAGGAGGCATATAATGAGTTGTTCCACAATTCGTAGGTTCAGCTGCGTAACTAGTGATCTTGGTGGCCCAATTGAAATCTGTCAATTTGATGGTGTCATTTTCATCCAACAATATATTATCCAACTAAAATGTCGGTGTTTCTTAAATACCTTTAAGTCACGATGGACGATTCGTTGTCGATGTAAGTAGATTAGTGCCTCATTCAACTAATATATGTAGTGGTAAATCTCGTTTTCCAACAATCTTCTCTTGCAAATCTCCTATCGAAGAGTTCCTTTGCTGCAATACTCTTGCACCAAATAGATAAATTTCTCGTCTTCAAAGTATTCCACCAACTCCACTATATGTGGATGATGCAATTTCGATTAGATTCTTATCTCACTTAATATGTTATTTTCAGCATGAAACTCTTCCATCTTCTGCTTTTCAATCTAAAAATATTTTCAAATTTCCCCTACCAACTTAATTGCGTATTTCTTTTTACTCTTGACATCCTTTGCCAACTTTACTTTTCCATATGATCCCATCCCTATCTCATCCAACAACTAATAATTTCTAGTCGAACTTTGAATTGTATTTTTAATTTTGCAGCAAAACATAATAATTATTTTTTATGCAATTTTTAAGCAGATCTACAGCACCAAAATTGCCCCTAAATTTAGAGTGTGTGCTCAAACAAAGCAAATAAATCATCGAACTCTAAATCTCTGCTCTTCACCCTGGTCCTGTCGTTCAACAGCATATAGACATCTTTTTAAGTGATGTCGAGATGGTAGAAAAAGATCATAAGCGATTCAACTCCCTAGAAGCCATAGTCAAATACTCCATCGCGCATGAATACATGAGAATCTCAGGTAAGCTCCTCAATCTCAGTCTTGAAAAAACCTAAGATCTCTTAAAGTCACATCAAATATTTGATTTGTCTTGTGCTTACTTATGGATCACAGCATCAGGACCAGAAGAGAGCAAAGAGCTAATTTTCGATTCCAATTTGGATATGCAAGGCATGCCACTCATCATGTATTTAAATTGTCTAAATCAATCCGAATAAACCTGTTCTATTGAACAAATCAACAACCATTTAAAAACCACAGACGACCCTGAAGTTATCTATCTACTCCTGAGATTACTCAAGAAACATTGCAATCAAAATCAAGCTGATGTTGAAAAAGTTGTTCTAGCAAATCTCGAGAAAATGGAGACTTCATTCCAAGCCAAGTATTGCTTTTCAGAATTCATCAATGAATACTATGAAAAATACGAAGTTGGTGTATCTTTTCTAGACTTGTTATTGGCCAACAAATTGGAATAATATCTTCAATCCCCAAGTCTAATTTTCCCTTATCAATACCAAGAAGAATAAAAGTATCCCCTACTCTCAACTAGAGAGTCTAAATACATCTACAAGATTGATAACTGCGACATGCAATAGGAAATTGAACTCTTAAAATAAAATGTAGGTCTGATAAAGGAAGAGGAATTTATTGTGCAGGATGAAACTCTTTAAGAGAAACAATCTGAATCGAGTATATTTGAGTTAAAATAAAAAATAAATACTCTAAGCAGAAAATTGACAGAGGCTGAGAAAAAGGTCTCAATTTATGAAGAAAAAATAAGTAAATTAGAAGAGGATAAAGAATTCCTATTATAAGAATTAGAAGAATCAAAACGTCAAGGGTAAATTCATTTTAATGCATTTCGATCGGTAGTAAATGAAAAATTACAATCAACTTAATAATAGCCAACCCAATAGTAATAATAATAGTAAATATCTAAATAATCAATATTTTTAAGCAATAAATAAAATTTATTTAAAAATGCTAAAACATCTACTTTAAAAGCCTCAGTAAATTTTGCCAATATATAACCAAAACAATTACAATTATAATAAATTTAGGAAGAATCACAATTAAAAACTGAAGATGAATTAAAAAATGAAAACGAAGTTTCAAATTTTGATAAAAAAATTGAAGAGGTAACTTCAGAAAAATGTTTGAATTCTGAGAAATCCATTGATAGTCCTTAAACTCCCCTTGAAGCAGTAACACCTCATCAATGCAGTCAAGCCAGTCTTTATGCTAATTCACTTGCTACTCCCTCTTCTCAATCCCCTCCAAATAAAAGTGGACCACCTCCACCTCCTCCCCCTCCTCCTCCTCCCTTTGGTAAAGCAGGATTCCCACCTCCTCCACCTCCACCACCTGGAAGTGTAAAAAGTTCAAAGGATTTAAAACCAAAATTTGAGATAATACCGATAGATGTAGCAATGAAGAAAGTTCAAACATGGAATCCAATGCCTGTAAATAAGGTTGAAGGAACAATTTGGGAGACCTTTAAATACGATGAAATGAAATTTGAAGTAGGAGAATTTGTAGATATATTTGCTGCCAAAACTGCTATTGAATCCTCCGTGATGCAATCAGGTGTTTTTCAATCTGTGTATCTAAAAAGAGAACCTATTACTAAATTATCAAAAGGCAGCGGACCAAAGGATCCAAATAGAGCTCAAGCCATTTAAATGGCTTTGAAGAGAGTGAGATATCCAGTAGAAGAAATACTGTAAGCAATTCGCATAGTAGATGAGGAAAAGTTGACAGAAGACAAAGTGACACTATTGATAGATTGTTTGCCTAAGGAAAATGAAAAGAATTTGTGGAAGGAAGAAAAAACATGGGATTTTAATGAATTACAATCAAGAATATCCGATTACAGTGATGCTGATAAATTTTGCATGTTTGTAATGGAAATTAAGTGTTATGAAGAGAGATTGATTAGTTTAAGTGCAAAGTACGAATCATTGAAGAACTAAGTGGTAATAGAAGAATTATTGTTGATGTTCGATGCAGTGTTTGACTCTATAAAGAAAGATGAGGAAATATTGATTGTTATGAAATACTTATTTTATTATGGATCAATCTTAAATGGAAGCAATCAAGCTTAAGGATTGAGATTTGATTGCATTCCTAAGGTGACATGTTACTCAGATAAATAGAAGTAATTTGATATTTGGATGTATGTCATAAAGAAAATTGAAGAGTCAGGATTTGTGATTGATTTGGAGGCTGACTTAACTAAATTGGATACATTGTCGTAGGAGACGAGGAAGATGGATAATTTGTTTGTGTTTTTGAAGCAATTTGAATAAAACAAGCATCAAATTGCCTTGGCTAGAGATAGTGATTAAGGAGGTGACGATAGAGCAAAGGAAGTTTTTGGGCAACTTTATAATGAAATCGAGTTATTTGTGATTGTCCAGAAGGCAAATTTGAAGAGTTTGGAGATCAAATATAAAGAATTATGCCAAATGTTTGGAGAGTCTTCAACCAAGTCAACTGACTAATTTATTAAAACCATTTATGAAATCAAAAGAAAGGTGAGAGAAAGGAAACGAATTCTTTTGGAACAAGAAAACTAGAGAAAAAGAAGACAAGCTATGGAAGAGAAAAAAAAGACAATAATTAAGAAATGATGTAAAATTTTTCTACTTGATTTCACATATTTTTCACATATTATTCAATTAATAATAACACTATTATTAGAAATTCACCATTTCGTTTTGGTATCCCCTACTTATTCTGCTAACCCAAAAATATCTTCTTATTAACAAGTGTATATGATTTACAACAATATTATTATTAAAATGAACTTAATTACATCACGTGATTAAATTCTAAATAATTTATTTAGATAAAAGTATGTTAAGAATTTTGGTTCTTGGATTAATATAAGATATAATACTAGGCTCAAAGATATTTTATTATCATGATCCTGGCAATGATATTAGCAAACCACGAACTCATGCGAAGATCTCAAAATCTAGTATATATAATGGTGATTGATTGTAGACACAATAATTGACTTCTACTTTGAATTTAGTGAAGACTAGAAAGAAGTTACAATGATGATTGAGATTGATAAGATTAGTTACTTTTCGTTAGGTCTAGGAAAATCGATGGGCGATGCAGATCTTTGGGTATTCGAGATTAGTAACAATGTGATTATTGGATCAGATTCACATTGTTCTAAGCATTAAAGGCCACCAACTGATGTTTCTACAGGTGGAACAGATGATATAGAAATTTTGGGTTATTATTATAATCAAAATGGGAAGAGTGGAGTGAAATTTAAAAGAAAATCAATCACAGGTATAATTGAGTAATCTATATCAAAGGGGACAAATACGACAAGGAATTGGCATAAAAGAAGGGTGTTGATTTTATTTGGGCACATGGCAAAAATGATTAAAGTTTGGAAGTATCAAATCATGGTAAAACTAATTATGGCTATGTAAAAATCGATCTCATTGATAAAGGAGGGGACATTGATGTGATTATAGAAAACGATAGCAAATATTATCAATTACACAAATGGACTAACTTTAGTTGTTGGGGTGTGGCTAGTGATTTGGCCATAATCGTGGGAAGATATTTTAAGACTTGGGGATATAGAACATATTTGCATGGATTTCTGTTCATTTTGATAATTAGTAGTTCCTTAACAACAGCTATATTCATGTTGAGCAATGATTGGGAGATATTGGAATGGAAACATTTCAAAGAGGAGCCAGCCAAAAATAAATTCCATATAGTATTTTTTATTACATTGTCTGTCCTCATGATCGTTCAATGTATAGGTGGTATCATGTATAATATGATGCTAATATCTCATAAGATAAATAAATAAGTATCAATTAAACCCTCAATTCATGCTATTGCTGGAAGCATTGTATATGCAATAGGCAAGTTATAAATAATCGCTGGGTTATTCATGGATAACGACATTAGGCTTATGCTTATTCTTGGAGCAGTCTTAACTATTCGTTTCATCCTCGAAGTGATATATCAGAGAGGAACTCTGATGGTAATGACCAATGGCAATTCCAGTAGTTCTTACTTCAAAAAACACAAAGTTCTTCCTGATAAAGAACCTTTGCTACTCAATATAAATCAAAGTAATTTCGAAGAAATGGAAGTGTAATCAGATAAATTGTGGTGCATATTTCATAATCAAATTATTGACTTATCATAGATGATTCATCCTGGTGGCAATTACATCTGGAAATTAATTTAAGGCTAAGATATTACCAAGTATGTTCTCGGAGCATATCCTTTGCCTCAACTGAAACTTAAACCTTACGCTCATACTGTATATGCATTCAAGGCTTTATCAAAATATAAGACTGGTGTTTAGGTCAATCAAGACCTAGAACTATTCTATGATAAAACCACTCAAAGACCAATCAAGAAATTAAAAGCCATATGGACTTTAACTTCAGTCAATCCCTTCACAGAATTGATTGCTAAATTCGAATTCACCAATCCACAATTTCAAGTTAAAACTGTCTTCAATGGATTAGACACGTTTGGAGCATACTTCATTATCAAATCAGATGATAATAACGAAATTCATTAAAGACAATACACTATGGTACTAAGCATGACTAATCAAAGAGTAAAATACAGAAAAGATATTCTTGAGTTATACAAAAGGATTCTCAATTTACAACCTATCCAAAAAGAAATACCAAAGTTGGAAGAAATTGAAGATTAACTTCCCTTAATTATTAAGAAATATGAAGCTAAAAATGGGTTTTCTAATTTTTTACATGAGGACAATAGATAAGGTTAATATATTATTGAGGGTCCTTTTGGAAATTCTATTCAACTTGAAAACAATACCAATCTGATCTTCATCGCTGGAGGAACTGGATTGTTTCCATTCTTAGACATACTTGACTATTAATTGAGAGTTTCATACATTCACATTCTTAAAATGAAGCTTGGCCAAGAGGCAGCTAATTTAATAGATTTAGGGATCAAAGAGATAAAAAATTTTACAATCACAATGTTTCTAGCAGTCAATTCTATTGATGATTTGGTAATTATATTTATATAATATAGATTGGAAGAGACATCTATTTTGCTTTGCTTTCACTGCAGTAATATTTGGATTCTCCTAATTTTAAATTAATTGTGAAAGGCAACTTTAAATTAAAAGAATGTCCAGTCGTTGAAACTCGATTTACACAATAGACATTTATGAATCATATAACTGATATGCAAGGCTAATCAACATATTTCATTTGTGGTCCACCAAAGATGAATGTAGAAGTTGAATAGATCTTAAGAGAAATGGGAATTATGAAAATAATAGTATTGTGATATTAAAAGAAATAATTATTATAATTATTTATAATAATATTATTAAATTTAATTAATTTAGTTTAACAATTATTCAATTTACTAATGATTTTTCCAATAGAGTGACTAATAAACACACTCTTGGAATCTATTATAAATTTATATTATTTCAGAATGCTTCATGATCATTGATTATTTCACAAGAAGTTCTTCTAAATATAGCCATAGTCTTGTGATCCTGCTCCTTGATAATGAATTCTGCCTTTTAAATTTAATTAATTTCAACAGAATGATATTCACGATCATCACAAAATTGCAACACATTAAAGTCATAACTTCGTATTATAAGGTTCAAAAATAAGAACATTTTAAACCACAAAACAGCCAATTTTGAAAATAAAACTTTGCATTTTATCAAATAATAATATTCTAGTGATTTAGATAAATTGATTAACTTCTAAAATATTATTAATCATATTATATCATCAATAGTTTAATAAATTTCATAATTATGCCCTGATATTAGTTAGTTTAATTCTTTCTCTTTTTATTTGAAAAGATCAAAAGTATTTGACCTGTCCTCTGACTGTACTGACTTCTTAAATTCCTTAATGGCTTGACTAAGGGTGATTAATTTGGACCTTTTAAGATTTTGCTGAATTATATAAGTCATATATTTATACATGCCTCTAAAGCATCTTAGAAATAGGTTATTCTTTTGGTAGATTATTGTTGAATTACCTCTGGAGTTCTGATTAAATGACTTACATGAGTTCGTGATCAAAGTTTTTAGAGATTCTCCCGAAAGAAAGTTTTCCCATGGTTTTTTATTTTCTTTAGGCTTTTGGAGATTATTAGAAAAAAGGAGGAGGTGAAATATGAGGATGAGCCAGTATGGGAGGCAACTCATTCTTTTATCTTCCATGATGACTGACTAACCTTTTCGGAGGTTACACTTGAATTTCCTTCTTCTCTTCTGCTACTAAAGTAGGTTATGAAAGAATTAATTGCTCATGATGGCTTTTATTATTTATCATCTTTGAGAGACTCTAATTACATTTGCTACAATCAATAATCGATGTTGTCTGATGAGTCAGAGACCTTTAAGTATCACTCATGGGCAATTCAAAAAGAGGTTTCGGATGCTTAAATTTGGGAATTTTGGAGCTTACTTATCTTAAACCAAACACTTAAAGAGTAAATGCATTAATGATACTTTCTAATTTAGTAGGGTGTTAAATAAATAATTCTCCCAAGCGCTATTTAGTGTCTGTTCGAGCAGAAATGAATTCAGCATGCTCAAAGTTATTATCCAAAGTTAACATTCGTTTTGAAGATTTTTGTTCCATTCTTCTTAATATATAATAATTATATCTGTAATTAAGCAATCAAATCAAAATATTCACTAAAAGTAATTCAGATTCTCTATGAGTAATCCACATATCATTAATAATCATCAAATTCTTATACGTTGCTTATTACATAATCAATACTTAACTAAATCTACACCTTATAGATATTAAGAAATCAAAATATAACACATTATTGATTATATAAAACATATTTATTATAATATTTTATTTTATCAGTACATATAGTCCTTTAAATTGTATGAAATACAAATCTAATATATCAGAATTGACATTTGTAGTATTACTTCAGGAATTCTCAATCACTTATGTATTATTTGAATTTACAATGATTTTGAATTCTAGATTACAACACAATAAAATGGAATATAATTGTTTATTTTATCTATTTTCATAATAAATATATTAAAATAACCAAGAATAATTAACATTAACAGTATTTTCAAGCATAATAAAATAAAAGGTAGTAACTGAATATTCAAAACAACAAGAATAACATTGAGATTAGAGTAGATTTCCTAACTATTAAAATTTTAGATATCAATATTTTCAAATCCAAAAATTATGTACAAATTAGATAAATATATAAATACTAAATTTAATCATTGATTTATAAATTAATATTTTATTTAATGGCATCATTCATTCAGACTCTCTTAACTAAAATTCTTCATACACTATACGTGATTCCATCAACTATCTACGACATGATCATCTCAAATTTCTTAACAAAATACAGCTATGAGAGACTAGTCTTTTATATGAAACCCAAAGAAATCCTAAAAGAATCCTAGATATTGGAGTCGGAACAGGATCTCCCCTGAAGCATATATGGAACTAATTACCGTAAAATTGTGAGGTCTTAGGAGTAGATATTGATCAAGCCTATGTCTTAAAGGCAAATAACATTTTTAGAAATTACAATTTAGGTGGACGCAAATTGGAAATCAGATATCAAAATTTTTATGAAGTGACTGAAAAGAAGGAAGGTAAATTTGATGCAGTTGTCTTTTCCTCATCCTTTATGCTTATGCCTAAGAGAATCGAAGCACTTGAATTGGCCAAATCATTGCTCAATCCTGGAGGATCAATCTATTTCATATTGACTCTACAACCTGACAGCAAGAAAAACTCCACTTTCCTGTAATTTGTTGAGTACATCAAACCCAAGATCAAGTATTTCACAACTATTGATTTTGGATCAATCACTTATGAAAAAGAGTTTGAGACATTGCTAAATAAGAGTCAATTGAAAGTTGTAAACAAAGAAAAATTGAATAAAGATTTCAATATTCCGACCAAAATTTTTAGAGTGTTTGTTTATGAAACCAAAGCTTGAGTAATTATTTTATCAAATGGAAAAAATTATAAATTAATTGATAAGCATCTCTTTAAATCAATATCTGTTTTCATCCTTAGAATTTGATATTTTTTCCATTTTTTCTTTTCGGAACTGGAAAGAGATAACCTCCATCTGCAGATTAAGTAACATTTATGTCCTATTTATTTTTTAAAATGCCCTTCTTAGAAATTGACCTTTCGCTTACAGGAGGAATTTCAGGTACTCTTTTAGAGATTATTGAAAAATGGTTTCCCAGTTTCACTAATTGACTAACAAGTTTCGCCCCTTCCTACTCACAACTTGGAGTAATTACAATGGTTTGAATATTAGAAATTTGGATTCCTTCTTCCAAGGATTCCTTAAGCAATTTCACTTGCTGGAAGTCACCTATAATCGTCTAGTTGATATTTTAAATGCCCATATATTGTGTGCTTACCTAAGGGAAATATAAATCTTCAAAAGTAGTGTCTTTTTAATTAGAAATGCATGAACTTCCCATCTATATATTTAATAATATCCAGTTATCTTTTAATTATTAAATAATTATAGAATAATTTTAAAACTGAAGCAAGCCACATGAGAAAGATAATCTTAAATAAGTGTAAATTGTATAAATTGTAAATAAAAAGTAAGAGAACTAAATTAATTTATAAATAAAAGAAAAATAAATTAACTAAAAAGTCTTCCTTGAATTTATAAACATTTTTGAAATCAAAAAGATTGTTTAATGAGATAATTAAATTAATATTAAATTTTCAAGAGGAATTGTTCTACATCATCTGGGTTTCTTAATCCAGAATTAATATTACTGCATTCGTGTATAATCTAAGTATTCAAGCCGCCATTTTATACATTATGAAATGTATGACACTAATAATTTAAATTAACATGAAAAAACGCTTTCTCAAATTATAGGAACGAAGAATATACAAAGTTTGTTTCTGTATAAATTATGTAAAATAACTATTCATTAAAAAGTAATTGTTTGTAAGTATTATTATTATAGAAAGACATGCAGTAAGTAAATTTTGAGAATCAAATTTAAAAAAGTAAGGAGTGGTCTACATTGCCTTATGATCAATTCAATAAAAATAAAATTGAGAGCAATTTAGAGCATGAGGGAGTGGAATTGCCTCCACCTTAACTTATGAATATGATGTATTTATTTAATCTATTTTTAGGAGCTACTTGTCAGATAAGTTCGAGGAAGAGTTAGAATCCCCGATTAACATTAAGTTACAAACAGAGAACCATTAGAACCAATAAGAAGATGTTTAAATCGATAAAAACATTGAAGGGCCTATCATTTAAATTTAAGTTTAGCCATCGAAACCTGATGATCATTTCATTTCTACTTTAGAACAAAGAAGTAGAAGAATACGCAAATAAAACATAAATGCTAATTTGCAAAGAAACTATGAGTATAATTAGGAATCTGATCTAAATTCCCAATCTAATGAACACACTATGAATCCTTGTAATTGCTCTAAGTCTAATTGTCTTAAGTTGTACTGTCAATGTTTCCATTAAAATAAACAATGTACGGAGCTTTGCAAATGTTTGGATTGCAAGAATTGTGATTATCATACCTAAGTTAGATAGACGGCATTAGAGAAAATTAAGATGAAGTCCTAGAGATAAAAACATGATAATGATCTCTTTGACCTATCCAAAGTGTGGGGTTGCAAATGTTAAAAATCCCAATGTTAAAAAAACTATTGTGAATGTTTTAGGAGAAATCAAAAATGTAATTCAAGTTGTAGATGCAAGGATTGTGCTAATAAGAAAAAAATACCAAATTAATTTAAGAAAAAGAAGAAATTTGAAACTGCTACCAATTGAAATACTAACTTATATAACAGAAAATTAATCTGTTAAAATAAATTATTATAATATCAATATACAGCAAATTAAGCAAAAATAGATCATCTCTATAACCTGATTATTGATTACATATGTATGAGTAAATATAGCCAAACTTATTTTTATAAAGTATAGATGAATAGGTAGTTATTATAATTAATTTTTGTTAATAAATTTTTTTTTTAAAGCTGTTAAACAATAATTTAAACAATATTATGAAACCTTACTAAACACCTACATCATGCCATTCTCGTAAGGGCAGTTTAAAGGTTCAACGTCAACCTCTTTAGGTAATTAGCAATTGTCCGGAATACCAACAGTGTGCTGATTATTTACAAGATAAAGTTTAAGGATTGGAGTTGAGAGTCAAAAATCTTAATAGTTAACATGCAGATAGATCGGCTACTAAGTCGAAAGTGGATATCCCTCTATCGCCCTTTATGAATTAAAAGAAGGCTTGCTAATCTAATTAAAAAATCGATTCTCAGAGTTTTTATGAGACCATTATCAACAAGAGATTAGAGAACATCAGCAAGATCGATCACTCTCCCAAACATGTAAAGACTGATTAAGCCTTCGCCAATTAAGATAAGTATTCAACACATAGTTAGTTTTCTAATTTAAGCCATTATTAAAGTAAATTGCATAATAACAGCATTTTGAGAATACAACAATTGACTAAAAAGCTAAGAAAGTTTAAAATGATTAAGGATTAAAATTAAGATGAATGTGCACCTTCACTTGCAAAAATTAAATGCTTTTGTTAGGAACATTGTAATGATTGTTTCGATTTCTACAGATGCACAGATCTTGTCACTTTGAAATACTTCATCTATTTATTGCTATAAGAGATTAATACACTTTACAGTTAGGATGCAATCAAAATGGCAGACAACTCGTTATAGTATCAACAACAAATTGAAATGCTCAAAGAACAATTAGATCATTAGAAATCTGATTAATTGACATTTTAAAATTAGCTCAGATTGTAGAAGATGGTTGTAGATACGTAAAAATTAATTTAAGACATCATCAATGCCTTGTCATCCAAATAAAATCATAGTTTATTAATAAATTAAGTAGAAGTCTTAAACAAGCAAATGAAGGATCTCAAAGATAATATGTCTACAAATCAAACTCAAAATTATCTCTCTTAGAATACAACTTCATTTGGACAATAGCTTGCTAAATGTGGATTCGATACAAATTAACAACACTAAATTATGACCAATGAAAGTTCCTTGATAAATTAATCGAATTACAAGACTTAAACTAGAGATGATAGAAATTAGTCATAATTGAGTTCCAAATCCAAATCTCCTTATTACAGAAACTAAAAAAATCTTAATTTTGATATTGAAACATCTAATGAATAAAATAAAAGGTTATTAGATGAATAAACTATTGTAAATAGACAATTGATGGAGAACCTATTTAAATTGTAAACTGAAAAGTAATCCAGTGATTTCAAGGTCATTCAGCTATAAGATGAAATTAAATAAAAAACTAAATTAATTAAAGACCTAGAAAAGAACATGTACTCTGAAAATTCAAATACCTATAACAATCTTAATTAAAGAATAATTGATATCAGCAAAAATTTAGATTAGGTATTGATATAAAACTAGGAATTGACTTATGAGAATAATCACTTGCGTGAAAAGTAAGATGAATTCAAATAGGCTGAAGAAAAGTATTATGATTTGTAATAAGACTTCAATAAGTAGTACTAGTAATTAAATGCAGTGTTAAAGGATAATTTCAATCTACAAAAATAACATCAATAAATTGAAGTATTTATATTCATCATTAATTAGAGTGATTGCAAAAGCTATTAATAATAAATCAAAAAACTGTAAGACAAATGCTAACACCATTAAACTTATCTCGAGAATCATCATTAAATTGAGTATATGGAGTAGTAAATCAAAGAATTATAAATCCAATAATAGGAATAGAATAAAATAATAGTAAGTTTCTTATCTATTTCTTCAGACTTTGATTACAGATGAAGCATTATATCTAGGATAGATGACACTTTATGCTTGTGACATTTTATCTAGATAACCGATTGAAGGCATACCTACTACTCTTTTAATGCTTCAAAAAGATTTAAACGCAAAAAAAGGTACCATATAATAGAAGATGAACATTCTCTAGTAATTTGGAAATAACATGAAAGATCAAGAGCCTCACAACAAACACTAAATTTTGGAGAGTGTAGATTATAGGGAGAAGCTGAATAGTGAAACTTCTACTCTAAGGTAAAAGAACGCTAGTTATTATGATGAAACTTCAAGTACTGTAAATTAAAATAATTAATAAAATGAATTAATGACCATGTTATTACTTTAATGTAATATCATTGAAAAAATGATGGAATTTTGAAATGTTTAATAATTCAGATCATTGATTATGACAATCTATTTATATTTCTAGTTTTATAAGATTTAAATTGATATTCAACATTAATTAAATAATTTTTATAAAATTATGTTTGACCATACTCAACAATTTGTAGATGTAGATGGTTTTAAAATTGATCTTTCAAGTGAATTTGGCCATGGAGCCTTTTCCAGATGTTATAGATGCAAAAATCCAGATAAGAAAATGGATCTATGTGTTAAAGTAAATGCCAATATTGACCTAGATTATACAACTATCCGAAAATTCGGTTGATGTGTTTTCTAGGGAAACAGAAATTGTGGAGAGACTCTTACAAACGGATTGCGAGTATCTTGTGAGAATTGTTCATGTGAGCAAGTAGAAAAACCATTGCTTTATCTTTATGGAATACTGCATGTAAGGAGATCTATAGCAATTTCTTATTAAAATCTAATAAAATCCAAATTATTTAACAATTTAAATGATTTTATCAATCTTGGAGTAGCTTATACAAGGCTCAAGGTGCTTTACCAAAATAGAATTATTCATAGAGATATAAAACCAGCCAATATATTTTTTGGGAACAATGGAACATTTTAGGTAATATCAAAGGCTTATCTAGCTTGCGGATTATGGAGCGGGAAGAATCTTAGACAATCCCGAAGAGTTATTTATGAGAAGTGGAATTGGAACTCCAATTTATGCTGCTCCCTAGGTATATCAAGGAGAAAATTATACTAATAAATGCGATGTTTACAGTGTAATATAATAATTAAATATAGCTTGGCGTAGTTATTTATGAAATCGTCTATTCAAAAGTTCCTATTTTTGCTGCATCTTATTATCAATATTTTGAAGCTTTAAAATAAACAAAGGATAAGAAAATATAAATAACTGATTTTCCAAAAAATATATTCGGAATGCCTTAGGAGAAAGAGAAATTGTATTAATTTTTAAGTTAATCGTTAATTTACGAGGAATCCTCTCGAATAAGTTGGGAGGAATTGTTCGAAATGTTTCCAAACCAAAAATCAACTGTATCATCATAATCTCAATCAAGTTCAAAGTAAAATAAAATCTCTCAGAATAAAGATCTAATGCTACTATTATATAAAAAGTCGAATCCTAAATCTTCATTTCTAACCGAAGTACTCTGGAGAGTGATCTCCAAAGTTCTGTAAAAAGGCTTCAAGATAGTTCTTTAATGTTTAATAAATTTATCTCAGAATTAATAGAAGATCAAGAGAAGAAGGATATTTCAGTAAAGTAAATCGATCGCAATGATTCATTGATATAATCTTAGAGAACTGATAATATTTTACAAAGGCTTATAGAGTGCTATTTAGCAAAGTGCACGCTTTTTGCTGAAAGGTTGTTCATTAAAAATAACAATTTCCTTGATTTTTTAAAAAATAATGAAAATAGTGATTTTTCTAGGCCTTATGTATCTCGTCTTTACTACTACCTAATATTACTAAGTGGATATCAATTTTCAAGCATTTTCAATGTATATAATTTAGTTTTCTAAAATCAAAAATATTGGGATGAATTAGAAATCACACAGTAATTAAGTTAAATAGAAAAAAATTTGTTGAAAAATAAATAGAGTTACTTTTATAGGATAAAACTGAAGATTTGAAAGTGCAAAAGAAATTTGTTAAACAACTATACATCTAATCAAATTATCTTTTCAAGTAAATATTATTTTTCATAATTATAGAGATTAGAGAGAACGGTTTAAGATTATCAACGAAAATATAATATTAACTTTTATTTAGAAGAAATACTAAGCAATTCTTTTTCGCCAAAATAGTATTACAATTAATATAAAAAACAATTTATTGAGTTAAATTCTGATTATCTTTGAAGATGAAAGCGAATTTCTAATGGAAAATAACATGTATCACTTAGCATATTCTATTGACTTTTTTAAGTTAGAAGAAAAATATGATAGTTTTCTGTCAATTTTAGACTTTGATTACAAAAAAGTTGTTTAATTGCCAGATGATAAAGAATCCTTGTTACGAGCCATAAAAAATTACTTCAAAGATTTAAAAAACTAAAAACACTGATATAAACATATTTATATTTAAAATTAGAAATATGTGGTTAATAAATATTAATTATCTATATTTATATATTAAAATCTACCAAATCATTAAAGTTAAAACTGTATTCTCAAAATTTTTGAGGCAAATAATAGTAGTATCATCCTTTTATACTTTCTAAAATAATTATAGATATTTGTCCCTATTAGTGAGTTGTTGTTATTTATGAGATTCAGTTGGTTTTATTACTTGATTAAAATTTCATTTACATTTTATAATTGATACATTGATATTTTTATTACAATAATTAGAGATTCTCAGTTAAAGTTTTTGAAAAAGATCGCAAAATCTGAAGAGAACCTAAGCATTTATGATAAAAATTATTAAAGTATATGTTGTATACTAACTTTTATTTATCATATAAACTTCAACTTATCCTAAGTCTAAAAACTAAGAATAAATTATATTAGGTGATATAATATTATATCACATTTAGTCAATTATATAAAATTGGGTAGAAATCTAATAAAATCTAGTAACATATAAATTTGAATAAACTGTTTTCATTAGAAAATTAAGATGTTAAGTTAGGTTTGAAAAAGGTGTTCAAAATGGATTTTGATTAATTTATTTTAATTATATTAGGATTATATAAAACACATAATACTATTAGTTTATTATTGTCATGAAAATTAATTCACACCCAGAGAAAAAATTAGAAGGAATACTAAAATAAGATATCTTGTTTCAAAAGGCAAAAACAATGATTAAGGAATTGAGTAAGATAGTTGAAACTATAATTAGAGAGAGATATTTAAGGATTACCCAGTATGGATTACGAAGAAAGTTCAGCCAATTTATATAATTTCATCGTAAATCGGAAAGACGAGTATACAACCAACTACAGCTCTAAGGCTCATCCATTAAAGAAGACATAAAGAACTCTCTCTTTTGAATTGATAAAACCAAAAATATAAGAAACTTAGATTAAGCATATGCGTTTTGGAAGTAGGGAGGGAAGGAGAGTGGAAAGCAGAAACAAATAAAAAATCAGAAGAAGAAGTTGTTGTTGTTCTGATTGTGGACATGACAATACCAAGATCACTCATCTAATGTACAAAGGAGCAACATGTCATCGTTAAGTAGAACACGCATAACAAATAAGTAAAAAGAGGGATTTTGTAGAGGACTCTCTCCGCTTTTGTAAATATTCCATTAATTACTATAAGCTTAAAAATTAGCAAGAAGAATAATTCACATAAAAAACAGATTATCTTCTAAAACAATCGTATTTAGAAAGCGTTGTAACTCCTGTGATACTCGATTATCGAAGGATATTCATTTTTAACATAAATCGGTTACTATGCAGGTACCTTAGAGAAGGGATACTCATTCAAAAACACAGAAGAGACATACTGTATTTGTGAAAAGACAATAAACAATAAATGATAAATTGTTACTTATACCAATTAAAAATCTCAAAGTGGTGTAAGAATTATAATTACCGAATAAAACCCTACCTACTCTACCTAGTAATACATCATCGAAGATGTTAAAAAAGAAACATTTAAGTCGCACATTCATCCCAGTTAATCGTTCTATCTTACCCTAAGTGAGTCCGTAAAATATTATAATCAATAACTATAAATCAATAGACTGTTAATTGAAATCTTAAATCAGAAAAGAAGTGAAGGAATTACAAAAACCACTTAGTGAATCTAAAAAAAACTCAGTCGTTAGTCTTACTAATCCATATCGTAATATCTCTTAATTAGATTACTTACTGAAAGTCAGAAGAAGACAGTGTAATTATTGATACTAAATTGATTTCTAAAAATTAACAATTAATTTAATTCAATCTTTAAAATATTTCTATTATTTGCTAGACATCCCATTTTGACATAATCGATAAATATGTTTCAAAACAATTTCTGTATTAATGATCGCCTAGTCTAGTTGTATTTCTTTGAGCACGTTGATTAAATCCTTAGGAATAGAATATTGGAGTAATTCCATCCGTTTAATAGTGTAGAATATAGTTCCATAAGAAATGGAACTTTGATGGAAAATAGTGGTATCATAATATTGAGAGACAAACTTTAATAAGTTCAGACCACACTTATAAATAGCTTTGAATTTCCTACTCACCAAAGAGTTTTAAACAACATCTGAAGAGATATATTTATAATATCGGTATTCCAAATCTCTCATTATGTAATCGAAAATCTTAAAGTAATTAGGAATTTCAACTTAATGTTGAAGAGTGTTTAAAATAGTAAATTACCACTCTACCAGTCTAAGTTCATCCATTTTATCACAAGTCAATTAAATCAATTCTTGGGATGATAAACAAGGGCGATCTTTGTATTTGGAGGCAAGACTCAGACAACTAACTCCAATCACCAACATGTCCGAGTTGGATAGTTTTAAAGTGGTCTATTGGAGAAATTTATCCAAAAGTGAGATTGCCAAAAAGTATGTTTCTATTGAAGCATATTTACAATTTCCCATTACGTGATCCATCCAACATAATAGGTCATGTCTTTTTTATTCATCAATTTAGTGTTTCATTAGAGATTCAATAAACTAGGGTATTTTAACATAAAATTACATTTCCATGTTCAATCTGTTGTGGGTAGGTGATGTGAGTATGTTGGTTTTGAAACCAAGAGAACTATTCTTAAAGTGAGAATTTGTAGATGTTTGGACTCTCCTCTTTCATAACTTCCACTTCTTTTTCATCTAATCTAATCCAATCAAACTTGAAATTAGTCATATCCAAATAATTTATCTAGTGTTTCTTTTTTGGACTCTGAGGAAGCTAAACAATACTCTTAGATTTTAAATTTTAGGAGTTCTTTTCTAAATTTGTAATGTCGAAGAATTACATTAAGTTATTTAAATTAAAATTACTTCAAATTGATAATTATTAAATTATAAATGAATTATAATTGGGTTTTCAATTTATATTAAATGAAATTTAACACTTCGTAATTATTACAAAATGAGCATTTTTTTAAGTGCCTTACTAAATCTTAAGTCACATATAAATAATAAACTCTCAAAATAAATAACTAAATCAAGATTTGAAAATTGGCAAAAGGATGTGACTTTCTTAGAACACATCATCAATTTCTTCTAGTTCAGAATTGAACAAATTCTGATCAGAGACCTTTTCGATAAATTGTTCAGTCTCTTTCGACGATGAAAAATCTTCAAGAAAGCTTGAACCCTTGGTTTGGTTTTTCATTAAATTTAAGTTTTCTCTCTTTCTTTCGGCCTATTTTAATCTTTCAGCAATCGAGGCTTTTCTAATTTTTGATTTATTTTTTCTTATATAATTTCTTAGGAATCCCATCTTCTTCCCTTAGAAATCAAACAGCGAAGCAACTAACCCAACCTTGTGGAAGATTGACGTATAATCCTCCAAGGTCTTTTTAGGAACACCAACAAATTTCGCAGCCTCCTTTAAAGAGAAATACTGCTTTTCTCCTTGCTCATTGATCAAACCCTCCTAGAATATCTTCCTCCAGACCAAGACTTTGTTGTAGGCACTTTCCACTAGTCTTTCTTTAACTCTTTTAGAATCAACATCTTAGAATTCTGAAATATACATGGTTATTTAATTCTATAAAAATCGAAGTGTGTTATCTCATTTAAAAATATAGAACAATCCATAAGCATTGGACAGATCATTAGTTGGTTTACTTACTCAATTTTTATAAAAACAGATGGAATTATAATTAAATTGATAAGAATTGATTTCTTAAGAAAACAATTGGTTTATTTTAGTAAGAATTTATTCAATTATTGTAATTATTCCCCTAATGTTTTGTATTTCAATCATATTTGGCACTCTTCTGTGATTTCATTGTAAATAACGATTATAAAATGAATATAAAATGAATCAAATGATTTACAATGTAAATATCTTCACTATTTGTAATTATATTATGAATTAATTAATATCTTATATGGGTATGTACGTAGAGATTTACTTAGTTGTTGAGCAACTCTAAATTTAGTAAAATATCCATTTTTGGTATTAAGGTTATTTTGCATTGAAATTGAGGGATGGAGTACTTTAGAGATTGAGTAATTTGTGAGTATGGTGTGGAGTAGTATTTGCAATTACAATGTCTATTGGAATTAATTTAATCCATCAATAATTATAAATAATGCTAAGAAAGATTACTTATGGATGTCAGATATCGTTGTCGTTATGCAGTGAAATCGAGACCTACCTTTCAACTGACTAACTTAATGATAATTTATTGGTTCATAAGGTCACGCATCAGAATGAGATTCTGAACTTTGAAAAATGCATATTTATGATCATCCCTGTTCTAAATCATTTTTGGGTTGGCAAATTGGTAGAGCTAGTGAGAAATGACATTGACAAGGAAATCAATAAAAAGGGTAGTTTAATTGAGCATCATAGAATCCACAATTTAATCTAGACAACAGACTGTAAAGTCTTATGAAAACAATCTCGATGAGGAGATGATGGCCAATATCTCATGTTTCCAAAAACTGCAAGACACTTCATTACTGTTTGGAACCTCCACTTTTCATTTGGTTCATAAGGATTCTCTTCGATTTGTAATGATTGATCAAGAATCAGTGTAATTAGTGGAATTTCCCTCCGATTACACAGTGTTGCATTTCCAGCCAGTCTATCAATATCAGAAACAGATCTCGTGTATTTTGGACTAGGAGACTGTAACTTTGTGTGCTGCAAAATCAATTTAAAATAGAAAATGTTATTTAAGATTAATTTCCAAGGAATCCGCAGATTAAGTGTCTTCCACCTAGATAAGTCCCACCTACTTAAAAATGAATTTATACAGTAGTCTACAAGAGAATGAGGATTTGCTGTATGCAGGAGATCTCATAGCCATAAACCTAAGCGAAACAAATGTACATTCCCCCTCTCATATCATTTAAGTTATTTCTGAATGCCAAACAACCCTATGACACATTTCACGAGATAGCTGAATACTAGATCCAGAGACTTCAGAACCAATTGACTTAATTGACTCTCCCCAAGATCATCTACGAGGATCTCAAAGTGACCTTCGATGATGTGATAGAAAGAATAGGTATGAAGAGGATTCAGAAACTTCAAAGCAGTTCTTATTGGAAGATCGAAAAAACAAATGGACAAGGAGGATAGATTTAATTTTATCAATTGGTGAGACTTAAACATAATCAATCCTCTAGATATTTGGAATTGTTGAATGGTGATCCCATCTTAACAAACCAATTGAGTAAACTCTCCCTCTTCATGTTGATTCCCATTGATGAAGGATAGAAGGTCTTGAAAAAGGATTCCTACTTCAAAGTTTAACATTATCAATCTGGAATGTACTTGCAGGATCAAAACAACAAACAAGAAAATAGAAACATCAACATCTTGAGATTAAGGAAGATTGGAGATTACGAGGACACTGAAACTAAATTACTTCAATATTCTGTTAAAATCTTCATTGAAGCTATAGAATTGTTGTAAGAAATCAATGATCAAGAAATCAAGTGTTCTCTCTATGATATCAAAAATAAAGAAGGAGAAATCAGATTAAAAATTAAGTTTTACTTCATTTATCAAAAAGTCAAACAAGTCTTGGCTTATGTTAGTGATTTTCTCATGAATAAATTAATATCCAACCTATCACCTAATCAAAAGTACAATCAGATGTCATTCATCAGATAAGACGTAATCATTTCAATCTATATAAATCTAGTCATTCAGATAAGAACCTCTCTTCCCCCTTATTTGTTTATTGTTCTAAATGCTAAAACCAGAATTGGTTGAACAAATTGCTTAAAACGATAAGGATTTCTTTGAAAAGGAAGAGAAATTCTACCAGAGTACTAAAACCATCAATAGAGCGGATAGAGACGAAGGAAGGATTATCTATTATTATCGCTTACAAATCAAGATACTCTAAGTCCAATTAATCGAAACTATTAACATCGTATACAATTACTAATATATTTTCTTAGATTTGCAAAGACAATATCGAAAATCAGAATTGCTTTTTCTAGTTTTTGCCCATACTCCACAAACACATCATACTATACCCTGAATTCATCGCAGTTTTAACCAGTCTAGTCTGTAAAAATCGCTTTTTTCTAGAAGATCTCTCCAAAATTAGAAAGAGTATTGCATATATTCATATTGAATTATAGTTTCCTCCAATAAACCAAATAAAAATACATTCATTCTAGAGTGGTTGACTGAAAAGGTCTCTTTAAATTCTGTTGCTAAAACTGAAATCCCTTTGAGCCAAAAAACAGAAATTTTGTAATTCTTAGCCACATGTTGTTCATTCGGAGTTGAAGCAATATTTGCAAATTAAGAGATGATTTTTAAGACATTGATCAATAAGAAGAAGAATATTACATTAATGAAATGTGTTGTAGATGAAGAAAAGAATATTATTGTTACTTGTAATGGTAAGATGGGATAAGTGTCAATTAAATTTGAAGCCTATTTTGAACAAGCTCATAAGAATTCAAATCCACATTTTTAAGAAGAACTTAATTTTTTAAAGGCTCAATTCTTCTTATATTCATAATTATGCTTACAAAGAAACTACGATTCCATTAAGTACTTTGGAGATCAATTTAGTGATAATTCTCTGGTTCCATTATTAAATAACAACTTAATTGACCCTGAATTGAGAGCCCATTTGATTGCTCTCTGTAAAAATATCTACTTAGACAGGGATCCTTTGATTGCTCAAGTAAAACCTACCTTAATCAGAGTGAATATCAGCAATAGTCAAACATTTTTCGACAATATATTTTATGAAGATGAAGATGGGGTTTTTGATAAGGTAGAATTGGAAACCAAGTCTTTATACTACGTAATTCAGAAATTCAAAGAGATCTTGAGTTCTTATCTAAGATAAATGGTGAAGAATCTTCATGAATAGCAACCTTAGAAGGTGTACAACCTCCTCACTCTGCAAATTATGAGAATATTATTTATGCTCTTACAATTTGGATGGTTTTCTAAACAAAGTGATGAGATGAATAAACAGAGAATGGATGACTCCAAAGAAATTGAATATGCATTAGAGAAATTAATATAGCAATTGTCACTGTTGCTTGAATACGACTTCGATTATCAGAAGGCTCATTCTAAATTGAAATCTAAGAATGTAAATGAGAAATTAGCAAAAATGATTAAAATTTAATCTTTAAAGTTCTTTAGAAAAACAGAGTAAAAGAAAATCAATTAGAGCAGCATTGAGACAATTAGAGATCCACTCCTAAGGAAATTACAGAATGTTAAACGAGTATTGAACAGATTCTAGAATAAGACCTTTAGTGCTCAAACTAATACTTCAGATTATGAAATAGAAATAAAGATAGAGATATGCAAAATATTTTAATATCTATTGGATATGAGATTGGACTTTATGATCGATAATGCTATTGCTTTTTTCACCAATACATTCTTGCCTTCAGTTTCTAAAAAGTTCACGCACTCAGAAAAACAACAATTGCATGATTCCGCTGAGAACAAGTCCCATTTATAGACTCACTTAGTTTATTACAGAAAGAAATACTTGACTTCATTATAGGGATTATTGAGGGAGGATCTTCTGAAACCAGGATAGAAGAAGTTTCAATAAAGAGGAATTAAAGATCATGTATAGATCAATAGAATAAGACACTTTGATAGGATCATAGATCGTCCATTCATAGAAGTGTTATTGAAAGGATTTTACTTTGCCAATGATAATGTCCTCTAAAATCATATCGTAGAATTGATTGAGAGGTATTAAAATTAAAGATCTGAGTTTTGTAATTACTTAAAGTAAATATAAATGATAATGACGAATAATTTGTAGATTATTTATAGAACTATGTACATTTTGGTATAGAAGCTGAAAAATAATGTGCAGAATTCCTAAATTTGGTTGCGTTTAGACATTCCCATAGCATTAAATGAAAAGAATGAAGAGACGATTGAAAAAGTGTTAGAGAAACTAGTTGAAATCTATACAATAATATCAAAGAATGAAGCGAATGAGAGATCAGTTAGGAGAATATTCTTGAATTGTGGTGGTTACTAAGTGGTTTATTAATTGATAGTGAAGTGTTTATCAGTGATTGATGTAAATATGGACATTTTCGAATGCAGTTTTGAGTTAACAGAGTATGATGAATAGAAACAATACTAATAGGAATTGACTGAAAAGATTCTATAAATCTTTTAAGCTTGTCTTCGATTAATAGGGTTATCTGTTAGGAATGATTAATAAAATCAAGAGTAATTTGTATTATTATCAAAACTAGGTATGTTCTGATCAAGTTAGCAAGGCCATTGTTAAGATACAACATGGTGAATTTAGGCCAGATCGAGTTGATCAATGAGTTATTCTCTAATAATCATAACTTATTGCCTTTGGTGAACTCTAATGATTTGTATCAGTTGTTGGAATACGTCAAACTCTATGGGAAATATCAGTCATTCATAGAACTCTTTACATCCATAGTAAGAAACAAATAATGCCAATCTCTGTATAAGGATATCTATTAGGCTTTAGTACAATGTGAATCTAAAGACATCAATGTAATTTCTATGGAATATAACATTTTAGCCATTCTAGGATAATTATAACTTTTAGAAGTTCTACCCAAATTAGCCCAATATTGAAGAATTTCGTTAGAGTTTCCTCAAAATCATAGAAGTCGTCCTAATCCATGATGATAGAGCAGCCTTATCAGTCAAAATGTTGGAAGTGCTTGATTTCACTGATTTGACATCGTACTTTTTGGAAAAGACTCAGGAAATGAGAAATACAAACTTAGACCTTGAGTTATAGGATAGCATAACTAAAGTAAGTTGTATAATTAATTGTAGATCAAATTTGTAATCTGCAGAATTATACTCACTTTATCAAAGAAGAAGAAGAAGTTGTTGTTAATTCACGAGAATTACTTTCTCCAAATTATCAGTATTGAAGCATCTTGGCTTGAATAATAAGAGTTTTTATAGACTTCTGCTAAGACTTATATTGTGGAGGGATTGTTGCCATTGATAAATACATACAATGAATATGCCAATAAGAAAAATTCTTTCAAGACTGACATAGCACAAATTAGAAGTTATGCTTTGAGTGTTTTAAAGCAATATTCATAATTAACCAAGAATAGTGATACTTCAACTAAATATCAAGTGCATAGATTGGTTAAAGCTTTTGATTTGAAAGTTCCTGATGAAACGAGTGAAACAGATTCTGATTAAGAGGGATTGATGAGTGATTTGAATGGAGACACATTTAAAACTGAGAAGTTTGAGGAATACTAAGTGACTGAAGGTAGTGATGGATCGGATCAAGGGTGTAATGATTTAGAATTATGGGAATTCTTTAAGAAGTTATTTGATAACAACTAAAAAATCAAGGAATTGACAGAGACTGACCAATTAGCCTAATCCATTTGGCATGTGAGTGATATGTTCACTAGTGATTTTTGGGAGGATAAAGAGAAGAGACAATTAATTTTGACTAATAATGATATGTTGCAAAAGATCCTAGCATTCTTGTAATTTTGGAAGTCAAACAAAGCATCAAAACAAAGTGCCATTTTTGCATTAAAGTTGTTGATTCAAATAATAAAAATTGATTAGAACAGAATTAAAATACTCGATCAATTGGGAGGCACTAAGATAATTCTCACTTTAATTTGGGAGGAAAATGAAAGTGAAAATGACTACATCATTTAATTGTTGATTTTAATTAAGGAACTCATGACTTGTAAGCAAGTGTAGAAGACAACCTTAACATTTTTGAGTCTTGCTATATCCAGTGACAAATTCTTTTAAAAAATGGAAATGCTATTGACGATAGAGCAGGATTTAAAAATATGTACTTTGGTACTGTAAATAATGGAATTGATGTGTAATGACAACAATAAAGAGTTACAAAACTTGATTCGTTATCAGAAGAATAATAAAAAGTCATATGATCTTGTTCAGTAGACTATCAACTATTTATGTTCTTTGGATGTTAAGAACAATTATGAATAACTTATTTAGTGTTTAAAGACTTTGAAGTCACAAGCATATGCATGTCGACCAAATCAAACATTAGTGGCCAATTCTAAGTTTGTTGAGTTCTCTATTAGGGTGTTAAATGACTCATCTTTAAAATAGTATTTGGATGAAGTGCAAATAATTTAATTGAAACATTAGTGTCTAATAATCTTATTGGTAGTTGCTGAAATTAACACCAAGGATGATTATATTGTATAGAAATTGAAGAAAATAGTTCCCAAGACTGTGTTAGTATAACATTTTGTCAATGTTTATCATCAAATGGTGAATTTGTTTGGCGAGGACAATTATTCGAAGCTGATATTTGTGAATAAACCGAATTTCATTATGGAAAGTGGATTCAATGCTTACATTTTATATGTTATTCTTTCGGAACTAAATTATGTAGTGGAAGATTTGGAAGAATTTAAGAAGAATGATGATGAAGGATAGTTAGTCTAAGATTTCTTGAGGGATAACATTTTAAACGAACTGTCTAGATTGGGGTAATCCTTGATGAAACATGGGTTGGAGTAGTTGAATCAAATCAAGTAATAATTCAGTGGATAAGTCGAAGAGAAGATGAACATAATCAAAAAGCATGAGATGATGCACAAGGCTTTTTAATTTTACAAAATGAATACATTACAAGTTGAATTTGTAAAGGATGATGTACTTTACTTAACGTACTTCCCTAAACTCCCTTGTTTCTACTTATTGAGATAAGAAATAAAGAAGAAATTCTTGGATCAAGCAGACAGAACGAGCACCAAAACAAAGATTATCAGTTTGGTTAACTTTGTGGATTCAGCCTACAAGTTTATGTTGCATTAAGAGGCTCTGAGAGATTACTTTAAGAAACACAAGTTCTTAGAGATTCTGGCTAGAAGAGGTAAATTATGGATGTAACTTGCTTTCTACAATGGGTTCTTCATTAATTTAATTATCATTTTAAGTTATACTTAATTAGCATTTCCTCCTGGATATTAACCAAAGGATCCTGATGTAATTTAATATTATCGATTAAATGAGCCAAGGTTCTTATAAGACTATAATAACACAAATACCAAATACTATTTGATGATGTTGGCTTATCTGAATCTAGCTATCAAGTAAGATGTCTTATTTTAATGCTCTTAGTTTCATGGTTTTGTTTTTTTATCTCATTGACAAAGCTCCTGTTAAACTATAATTTGTTTGGAATGCGTGGCATGCATCTTCACTTATTGGACACTTGATTTCTGGGTTAATTAAGGTGATCATCTCAATCATAGTTCTGGTCATTGATTTCGACATCATATACTACATTCTTTAGATAGCATTTAATATTATTGGAATAACAATCCATCCATTTTTTTTGGCATTTCATTTGATCCATATTCTGTATTTGGAACCCCTCATACCCATATTAAAGGCTGTGTGGTTGGCTAAGTTTAAGTTTATTGGATTATGGTTGACAATCATACTTTTTGAATACTGGGTAGCCTTGATATCCTACGTTTATTTCTTTGAGTTTTTTATAACTGATAAGAATCAGAATCTTTGCAATCACTTATGGCAATGCGTTATTGTGACTTTTGATTGGACATTCAAAACCGATGGGTCTGTCGGAGGTAGATTCATGGAAAACATAGGAGAAAAGGCTGAGGAAATGTACCTCAACAATCTCAATAACTATTATGGCAGATTCTTCTACGACAACATCATCAACATAATCATTAAGCTGTGCATAATTAATGTTCTCCTTGCTGTGATCATTATTTCCTACTCTGAATTGAGATCGGTTCAGAAACAGAAAGAGAAGGATTAGAATCATAAATGCTTTATCTGCGGGATCGATAGACTAGTCTTTGATAGGACAAGTCAGAACACCGGATTTTGGCATCACATCAAGGTTGAACACAATATTTGGAATTACCTATTCTATATGTGCTATTTGAGAATGAAGCAATCCGATTTTAATAATGGTGTGGACAACTACATACGAGCTAAACAATAGGCTAGCGACTACTCTTGGTTCCCCATAAGAAGAGCTAAAGCACTATCTCTTAAGTTGCAGATTCTTGAAAGTGTCAGCCACAAGGTAATCTGTTATCCTATTATAAGAATACAACCTCTAAGTCGAAGTTGATCGGCCTGCTCCATTCCCTGAGAAGACTTGTTTGGATTCATAAATAATTCTGATATATTACTTAATATTTAAAAACGTATCATTATTTAATATATTTGAATAATCAAAAGTGAAATTGCAAAGATTTGTGATTATTAGAAATTTAATTGCCCAATTATTAATTTATTCAGTGTTTTTGAGTTCATAATTTATTAATTTATGTAGATTCCTCGTGATTAAATGAGGAAAGGTCTGTAAAAATACAATTCGAATTATAGAAATCAGGGGAATAGAAGACAACAAACACAGAACTTGATGCCTCCAGATGTCATACCAAAAGGAATGCTAAGTATGAACTCGGGATTGAAAACTGAGAAAAATACAAAATTAAATGAGACAGGTAATTTAATAGTATATGCTTAGAAACCACAGATGTAACTCATAATAATCTTGGTTTCAGTCAACAATTGCAATAATAAGTAAGAGTGGAACATTTAGATTTGGGATTCTTCAAAGTCTAACCTTGCAAGGTTATGGGGAATCACAATCACAAGCAATGTCCCTTCTTTCACAATCCCAAGGATCGCAAGAGGTATCGCTTGATTTCACCAAGTTTTTAGGGTCGCAGTAGAGTATTCAGCTGATTTGTGTCAATACATCGAAAATAATTCAATTTGTCCATATGGAGACAATTGCAATAGAGCTCATAATAGAGTGGAATAACTATATAGAGTAGACAATTACAAAACCAAATTCTGCTCCTATTACCCCAATAATATTCTACAATGTGATTATGGGAAATTCTGTTCGTTTGCTCATTCAGAAGGTGACATAGCAATAGAACTCATTCACAATTTAGAATATGACGACGATTTCTTCATTTTCTATTACAAAACAGTTTGGTGTCCATTCAATCTAACTTAACATGACAAGTCCCTATGTGTTTATGCACACAACTGGTAAGACTTTAGAAGGAAACCCCAAGGATACAATTACATTCCATAGTCATGCCCCAATTGGAATACCAATGAATACATTACGGAATACAGTTATGGATGTCCAGATGCTTTTAATTGTACTAAATGTCATGGGTGGAAGGAACTAGAATACCATCCCATTCTATTTAGAACTAAACAATGTGTGAATTCAAATTGCAATAAATAGGATTGTTCCTTCTATCACCATTAATAGGAAAGGAGGTATTGATTGCAATCTATTTTAGATACATTGAACAATCATCTCAATCGAGAATATTTAGGATTGTGCCTAGAAATAGGATTATATAGAATGTCTTCAAGGTTCGGGAACGAAGTTTGCAGACATCATAAAGAAATCAGAAATCCTAAGATACATGCAGCGACCAATAATAGTGGCTCAGCCATAATTTGTAGAATAGTTTTCAATATGAACCTGAATCTGATACTGTAGTTGAGTTTAAAAATAAGGGCGAACACTATTAGACCGCCCTTATTTCAATTCTCGAGCGAACAGGTATATATTAATCCGATAAAATCTAGATTCTGAAGAACTGAAGGATTTGATGAGAAAGAAATCTTTCTCTGTTGATATTATTGATGACAACGAGTAGATTAGAGGAGTCTTAAAAATGATAGACTTGGATTCGTGAAGTAAATAACAAATTTAGTAGTAATATTCTATAAGTTCTTTCATTCTTATTTTTTTGTTAAGTGTTGTGCTAAGCAAAAGAGGAAAAAGGAAATTCTGGCATTGTTATTTATATTTTATGAAATAAAAACTTTCTAGAGCCTAATTGATTGCTCACTATCGATAGAAACCTCTTGAGTAAATGCCTGAATCCTTCAAAGCATTATGCCAATATTACCCACAGGCTTTTAAGGCTCTGAGCCAGAATCCATATTAGGCTCGACCCATACGTGGTTTCAATCAAGGTTTGTTTAGTGATTAAAAATAGAAATACTGGTGTACTCGAGTAATTGTGCTACTCCTCTCAAAACAGCTGGTGTCTATTAAAGCGGAGGGGGAGATCTATTTCGTTTCGATGAATAATAAATCCTCACTCCTTAACCAAAATAATCGAATACTTTTGATTGGAGCTAGTAGCAATTGTAAAGCATCAAAAAGGAAATAGTATTCAGCAGAAGTACTCCTGGACAAGCTAATCATTTACTCTCAAAAATATGGTATTATGTGGATGATTACTTAAAGGTTTAGGGTATTATTTTTGATGTACATTAGGTCCTTTCAGCTCGATCTAAATGGACAATTGGTATCTAAAAGGTTATTTTGATGACATTTTGAGAATAGGGTTTAAGCCTGAAAACTCTGAAGGCTTCCTTAGAATTTATTAATTGAAAACCTAAAAATAATCCAAAAAGATTCTAAAGCTTCTAAGAAGAGGATCTTGTCCGCCTTCTTTAACTGCCTCACAAGAAACAACCATCTAATTAAAACCGACAGCCTAATAATAATAGCAATAATAATAGCAATAATAAAAATAAGATTTACAATAATAGATTGAAATGCAAAATACAGACAATGCTCCTACTATAAGAGTACCTACTTTAAGAAAAAAAAAGTGAATTGTAAAGTTAGTATTTAGTTTAAAATCAATAAGTTTTAAGTCATCTTTATTATATGATATACATAATTATTAATGTAATTAACTAATGTAGTATTTGAAGAACAAATGTATCAAAAGAATCATTATGCAAATTCAGGATGAAAGTGATCTATACTTTTGATTATAAGAGCTTGGGGAATATGTCAATTTTACTATAAAAGAGAATGGAAGTCTAGTTCTTATCATGAGAATGTGAGCAATATTACTTTTCAGTAAGAATCCTTTGGTAATATATTCTTATAAACAATTATTGATTATCATTTTCTACATTAAATTTCAATTGATATCAATAAGGGAGGTTTGGGTATAATTTATAATTTATTTAATATCCTCTAAAAGGAAGGATCCAAATAGTAAAATGAGTCTTTATTTATTTCGAATCTATCTTTATCTTCGATTTTATTAATCTTAAATGAAGGTTATAATATTATATATTATATTATAATTTAAATTTGATTTCATATAGGAAAAAGGAATCCTAATAGAAATTATAATTTGTTGTCACTCTAAAATTGAATTTTTTATCAAGCCTAAATATAAATGCATCTTATAATTTAAGTGAGCACAAAAAGTTGACTCTTTTGGTTTTGAGTTTAATTCAAAAAGTCATTTGATAATTATTCCATTAATAAAATTAATTCTCACGATGAATTTCAGGTAAGAATGTAGGTGCTTATTTTTAGTGCTCAATTTTGGAGTCAATTCGGTATGCTTATGAAGGAGAATGGATTTGATCGTCATTTTGAAAACCAAGACTTGTAGTTGACTACTCTGTTGGAAGATGATTTAATAATTGGTGAGTTCAGAAATCAAAATTAGAAACTTATGGAATAGTAAGATTTTGAATTATATGTAGTATGCAAAAGAAACAAGTGGCTGAGTTGGTCAGTTATTTAACTGAGATGCCAGTAGATGATTCAAATTCAAAAAGAGCATTTAGATATCCGTTTTATTCATGTGAATTGTTGGTGTGTTGTGAGAATCCTAAGATTCTAGAGTAATTTTTTGGAGAAGACAGGTATCACCATATACAATATGATTAGATCTCTATTGCATAAATTATTTTAATTTTTTGTTTCCGACGAAGAGGTGAACCCTGTTTTGGCAGGATATGTATGTAATGTGCTATTTAATCTGTTAAAAATGAGAACAGACATCTTTCTAGCCGAATTCTATTAATATTAGAATTTAGTAGATGGATTAATCAAACAATTATAATCTCGTTCAGTTACAGAACTTGTAATTCGCTTATTAACAATCGAATAAGAAACACAAGTAGATTATACACCTTAGAGACTTCAATTAATCAAAGGAGTAGTTGATAGAATTGTTGATACCTCAAATTTTGAAGTAAATCATTATAAAATCATATCAGGTATCAACCAATGTATCTCACATCATCCAGGAAATCACCTTAAAGGCCTATGTAATTTTCAAAGCATAACCACTCTTTGAATTCTTATATGGAGAATCGATAGATCAATTCTGCAAATCTATTGTTCATGAGAACAACTTCGTCTCTCTTGCTTCAGGAACTGCTTTGTATAATCTGCTCACATTGCTTTACAAAATAGCCACAAGACAAGGAGATCCAGCTGAAAGTGCTATATTCTAAGTGAATTAGCAGGAGCTATTCAATAGAATAGAGTCGCATCTAAATAAATGGTTAGAGTTCTTGTAAAACTCAGAAGCACGTATTTTTGGGTAACACAAGGTTAAAATTCTGGAAATAATTGGAGTTTGCATAAGTTTAAATTAAGAATCTTTTGTTACTAAGTTGAATGAATTGGATATCTTCAAAGTTTATAATTCATTATTTATCAAATATGAAAAGCATGATATTTTGCATCTGCAATATTATAGGTTTTTGGTGCATATAATCGAGTAGAGATTGGACAGTTTAGTTTAGAGTGTAATAAATCATCATATAATAATTAGTTATTCAATCAAAATGAGTTTATCCAATTTTTATTGAAGTGTACTTCAGAAGTGAGTAACGATAAGAATTAGAGAAAGGAGTATTTGGGATTTGTAACTAAGTTGGCTCATTTTTTGGAGGAGTTTTCATCAAAATACCCATTTTTATAATCAGAATTGGAGAAGGACACCTGGAAACAGTTTAAGGAATAATATTTTGATAAAGCTGAGAAACTGAATAATCACGAATTGGGTGGTCATACAAGAGCTGATAATAACGAAGAGGTTGATTTTAATAAGGAGGACATCCAAAATAAATATGACGATTTTTTGAAATCAAATCATGATGAGAAGATGTAGAATGAAAGCAATACTCAGAACATATAAAACATTTTTGATGCTTTCAATATAGGTAGTAATGATTAATCAAATTCAACTGATGGATAATAGTAATAATAGTAGGATTGGTCTAACTTTTCATGGGGGTAGGAGTAGAGTTAAGGAGAAGGGACATAGCAATAGGATTTCTAGTCATTTGGAGAGGGAGAGCAAAAGAAAGAGTAGGTGATGGAATTTGAACAGTAAAGCAAAGCAGCAGTAAAGCATGACTTTGCATAAGAGGAGAAGGATGATGAATATGTTCGTTTTTGGCAATTTTAGGTTCATGAGCACGATGTAAATTTTATTGAATTATCTTAGTCTAAATTACACGATGACGCTCTGTATGAGTTCGAGAAAAATTATTGATTATTTTGATCATTTTTAATAATATAATGTTTTTTAACTTTGTTCTAGTTGGAAGTGTAATGGTTTGTTTTTCAAATAATGAGAGAATGTAATTAAAGCAATATATTTAATGAAAAAAATAACTTAATCATTATTTTGGTTTTACTTTTGTTTAGATTTAGTAGAATCAGTTTAATCTTATGCGGATGTGAATCCTCTAAACTTTGTAAATGAATAATTCAAGCCGAGTACTTAAGATGAAACAAATTAAACAATAAAGGGAGCGAATCAATACATTACCAAATATACTTTGAATGCATTTACTTTGACTGAGTTGATAATCGATCTCAGACATTTGGATAAGTATACTGACGACTAGGGAATCTCATAATTTAATTACACTTAAGACGATTGGAATATCAACATTAAATTGGATGATAACACAATAGCTTTGCCTGATATTTTTGAATAAGGTGATGTGGAGAAGGTAAGTGATTTTAAATTTATAATCTTTGCATATAAGACAATAACATTTTAGATTCTGTTTCAGATCAACTCCTAAGAATTTTATGCTTAGAAATATCAATTCATGAACACTACCAAGGTTTAGAATATGGAACCATCAACAGCCTTAGTAAATACAAATAGCATTTTTGTGTTCATACAATCCAAGGCAGATTAGATAGCCTTGCCTGCCAATACCCTTCCCCTAAATTCATTTGATTATCAAGATCACATAATATCCTATTCATCTAACAATTTCTTTAAACAGAATTCCTACACTACCTACTCACCACAGTCTAAGTATTGGGGGGACAGAAACAATATAGTCATTCCCTACATTCCCTTTTTCTCCAATTGCTAAGGATTTGGCTAATATATTTACTTTTACCAATTGATCTAACACGGCAATTGCACACTTTACAATGAGAATGAAACTGAAGCAATCAACCCATTTTAATTTAGTATGAGTCCCATAAGTGATGAATGTAATGATTTAAAATTGTATTGCATTATGGATGAGAAATACAATATCAATCCACGATTACCCAGATGGTTTGAATTGAATGACAAGGACACTCTATTCTTTATATAAGCAGACCCACTGGATCCAAAAGATTTCAGCTCAAGTTATGAGGCACCGTCTAATGGAATTGTTGAAATTTAGACAGTAAACTCAATCCCGAGTGGAATGATGCCTCTAGAAGTGAACTTAGATATTCATTACTATTAAGTTACTAAGACTTAAAAGAGAATAATTACAGGATAAGTAACATTCACAAACTTTTACAAATTAAGCGAGGATCAAAAGGCTGGTAAGGCAGAAATAACTTACAATCTGATCTTCAATTTCATATCGATGACTCAAGGATAATTAGTCAATAATTTTGCACTTGAATGGCCAGTCTATTTCATTTTGTACATGATCATAGGAGCAATTTTAGCAATGGAAGTGGCCATTTTCCTCTTTTATCATTACATTACCAACAGGAAGAGGCCAAGGCCAAAGATCAATTTATTGATTTATATTCGAATATTCTGGACAAGCAGTTTGTATGGAATATGTTTGGCATTTGTTCCTGCTTTGACAGTTTATATCTTGATATCAATTATAATGGCAGGAAAACTATGGAATACTAATTTGAGTCTGAGTTGCAATATGACTCCTTATTCTGAATCTGATGATGGGTGTGCAGTAGTGTTTTTTGATTTGTTTAAGAATCAATTGAAATACACAAGTGATTCATTCAGATTGTTAAGAAATGCTAGAACCGGATTAGCCATGATAACAGTTGGATTATACATTGTATATTTTATCAGTGGCATTTATATTCCGGAGATCAATCCCGAAGAAGATTACAATGGAAATGTTAAGAATGTAAGATTATGGAAACGCAGTCGCATTATATATTGTCTCGCTTTTATCGCAACCATTATATTAATAGTGACTTAATTTTCTTATTCTGATCTGTTTGCGAACAATGCTTACATGTTCCTGATATTTCTAAAAATCTTACAGATGATTTTGGAGTACATTTTGGAAGTGTATTTTGACAACAATCTAATTTCAAGTCCCATTGGAGTTATTTGTAGTACATACATCAATGTGGCCACAATGGGTAATCCAACATTCTATGACTTCTTGTTGTCTACCATTGTGGATAAGGGTATTGAAATGGTGGAAAGAGCTTATGTGATTAAGATTCAGGATATTGTAACTGAGGAATTGGAGGGGCAGTTTGATAAGGTGTACAAGATGTTGAAACGATTATTGGATGAGGAGGAGGAGGATTTCGAATTGGAAGATGAAAAGTTGGTGGAGATGTAGAAAGTACTCAAGACTAATGAGGATGATTCTGATTCAGATATAGTGTTTTCGGATGATGGGAAGGAGAATCTGGCTTCGGATGATGAATCGTTTGTGAGTAATAAGATTTCATCAAACAATCATGAGAATTCATTCGCTAAAGATGATTATGATGAGTTTGAAAATAAATTCAGAACCTATCTCCTTGATTAGCATCATAAGACTTTTCAACAATACAATGAGGAATAGGGCACTCATTAGGAATTGGCAGCAGATAATGAAGATCAAACAGATTTGATAGATTATTTCTCCAATTTTGCCAATGATATCATAACTTTAGTATTCAATCCTTTTATTACTACGATCATGTGGTTCTTTTATGATGAATCCAATTTATTGGCTGATTATCAGATTAATAAGAGTGAATTCATCTATTATTTTTTATGGACCATAATTCTGATTCCCTTTCAAATGATGATTGATACCTTTGGATACAATCTTGTTGAGTAATACCACGAATTGGATTTTCTCACTTACATAACCAATACAAGAGAACGATTCAGAAATAGAAATCTCTTTTGGAAGGCAAGCGAATTTCAAAACGATTTGAATTGCGAGACTTGTTTCCGTTCCCTTGATTGTAACAATATATAGATTTATTATAGAATGGTGTTATTCCTCTTAATACTACTTCATAACCACATTGTAGGTTTGTGCAATCCAGATGATCATCTTTGGATCTCACATCATCTATGTGAATTAATATAACATATTTAATGATGAAGGTACCTTATTTAAATTAAACAAGCCCTCATATTTATAATATTCTTTTGGGTTGTAGTAGCATTCTTTTTGCATCATCTTTTTATTGAAATAGGAAAGAGATTAAAAATCTGGGATATTTCAAGTAGAGTAGCACCTTAAGATGAGCAAGTAATGTCCTCAATTGGTGATATTGATAAATTGTCGACCAGTCAAATTCCTTAAGGACCTAAACTTCTTATTCCCAATTGGAATCAAGCCATAGAGTTTAGGGAGTAGACTGAACGACTCTCTGAAATCAATAATAATTTCTAAGATTTTACTAATGATCATTTCAAAAAGTTGTTTATTACTTCCAATAAATAATGGTTGGCTGACAATATCTAATTAATGTATCAATATTTGTGATTATGTATCTAGATTAAGTCCGAAAACTTTGAAATCAAAAAGGAAAATCATTTTGGATAAATTTAATGCAATTTATGGTCCATTGGAAAAGAAGAACGAAGAAGATCCTGTGGCTGGATTTGATAATGCTTGGAATTTCAGGCAATTCACCAAAAATTCCTCGAGAACTGAGATGGCTCGCACTTCACCACAGAAATTCAATAAAAGAATCGATAACATGAGTGAATCCACGAAGGCCATTTTGAAATATTGGTTGTATCGCTCCAGACATATGAAGACAGCAATCAAATATATAGGTGGATTACTTGAGAAAATCACAAAACCGTTTTGTGAGTATTGTGGATTGAATTGGGGATTAGGAGTAGATACAGAAACCAGAATTGAGGACATCTATTTAAGATTCTTGAAGTAGAAGGGATTGAAGGGGATATCGTTAAATATGGGCACTGAAATTGATGATTGGCAGAACTTCTTCCCAAAACAATGCAAATTCAGAACCACCTGTTTCATCTGCAATGGTATCTTAAGATATTAAAATCTTAGTGTTTATGGTCGAGGAGATGCAGAAGGATAAAGTGAAATCTTAAGGCGAATAGAAACTAGTTGTGTAGAAGAAGAAAAACAAGTATACCTTAAAGAAAGTGGCAAACCTTATCCTGATCATGATAAAATTCATAGACATTGCCCAGAAGTTAGCATATTAGAATTAATGATGTTTATTAAAGAATTTATCACTGCCCCTTAAAATAAATTTTAAAATCTTTTTAAAAATGGGTAAGAGAATCAGAGCACAAAGAAAGGGCAAATCAAACAGTGTTTTCAAAGCACATCAAAATTAAAGAATCGGATCTCCCTAATACAGACATCTTGATTATGCTGAGAGACACGGCTATGTCAGAGGTGTGATTTCTGCTATTCGTCACGATCCAGGACGAGGAGCTCCACTTGCTGAGGTTGAATTCAACGATCCATACAAATACAAGAAGGTCACCAAACTCTTCATTGCTCCTGAAGGATCATACACTGGCTAATACATTTATTGCGGAGCAAAAGGTAACATTTAGTTTGTGAATCTTAGCTTAATTGGCCACAGGAAATGTACTTCCTATTGGATAAATCCCAGAGGGTACAGTAGTTTGCAATTTGGAGGAACACCCAGGAGACAAAGGAGCATTGGGAAGAGCAACTGGTTGTTATGCCACCATTATTGGTCATTCAGATGATGGAACAACAACAAGAGTTAGATTACCATCTGGTACCAGAAAAACACTTAGTGCTCTTTGCAGAGCCACAGTCGGTAATTTATTTGAATTTATTTTAGGATTGATTGCTGGAGGAGGTAGAACTGAAAAGCCCATTCTTAAGGCAGGAAGACAATTCCACAAATACAGAAGACTTAGAAAATGCTGGCCAAAAGTTAGAGGTGTGGCCATGAATCCAGTTGACCATCCTCATGGTGGTGGTAATTAACAACATATTGGTCATCCATCCACACTTTCAAGATATGCTCCTCCTGGTCAAAAAGTCGGTCTTGTTGCTGCAAGAAGATCAGGTCTACTCAGAGGTGGTGCCTAACTTAAACAAATGGACGAAGATTTGGCAGCACAATAAGCAAAAAAATGATATTGATTATCTATAATCGTACAATAAAATTTATGAATTATAATCTCAAAACTTTCGATACCATCAAATGGTTACGAAATCGTTACAAGTCTAGGGTTAAAGATTAATACATTCTCTATGAATCAGAACTCAAAGAATAAAATATGATGAAAGCAGTCTTTAACTCTATTGATAGAGATAAATCAAGTATAAAGTATCTCTTAAAATTCATTAGAATTTCTAGATAGATCTGAATTGTACGACATGTTCATTAAATATGGAATCAACATCAACAAATCAAAACTAAAAGAATTCTTCAAAAGCATTGATGAGGATGAAGATGGTAATAGTTAAATATCAATACTCTTTAGATAAATTAAATTGGACAGATTTTAAGCAAGCTCTCAAAAATCAAGAAGCCTTAAACAGTATCATAAATTTCACCATTTTTAGTGTTTGTTTAATTAATGAAGAAAATAAGAGAAGACTATGAAATAAATAAAATAGATCCTACTCAACTACTAACCTTTGTCCCTTTGAGTTTTCCCTAAATGATACAATACATGAATTATTGTGTCTTGAGAGAAGAGATTATTGATAAGATAGAATCTGAGAATATCAACAATTATCAAAAGCACAAATAATGTGTAAATCTTCTTACTTTAGAAGATAATTGCTACAGAAACATCAAGCAGAATATTGCAGATGATAATGACTCAGAAGATGAAATCAAGAATGTTTCGAAAATTGATCACTCATAATTATTATAAATGAAAAGGTTTCAAGAAAGAGAACTCAAATTCAAAAGATTAGTAAAAATTATATCCATGTATAGGAAAAAGTCATAGATATAAGCAAAAGAAAGTTTTATTCAAATCCAACCTAAGATTTAGGTATAACGGACAATGTAAGATTGTAAATATTATAGATTTATTTATAGGTCAAATATTACAGATATTAAAGTCAATCTCTCATAGGAAATTAATAAAACCAGAGAAAATGTTGATAAATTTTTAGCTATCCTTAATAATGAAAAATTGATATTGCAAAAATCAAGGCAAGCATCTCGAGTTTCCTCTAGATAAAGATCAAGAGAGAAGAAAAATGGGATTTTTAAGAAGAACACAATCCTGGTTGAAGCAGAGAAAGAATTATTTAATGCTTCTGCTCCATAGTAAAACAAATTTAAAATTCTAAATTCTGGATCTCTAAATAAACAAAAAGTACTTATTATGCATAAATTCTATAAAGTATCCAAGAGAAAGGATATTATCATTAAATGTAAAATATAAATGAAACCACCATATGTCATTCATCCTGATTGTTATACTAATTTACACAAAAATTATTTATATATCTCTTTTTCAAAACTTTATTGAAAGATTACTAAGATTTATTAATAATATGTTCTTCAAAATATCCGAGCTCATTTATTACATAAATTAGATGAACGACAATATATTGTATATCGAGCTAGGATATTGCCAAAAAATGGCATTGTCTAAAATCTTGATTCATATATTATATCATATTAATTATTTCAAACTTTCGATTTACTTTACATGATCATCCAATATTTAGGTGTATTCTTCGTTTTTATTACAATTTTATAATGCTTTTTTCATTTATTAAGAATATGATTAGCTCATTTTTTTAACATTTTATTCTAAGTATACTTTTAGCCAATCATCAAATTCCTTGCTCCAAAAATCTATGTTTAATATCATAAATTACTTTTTTCGAAAACTTTTGCAAAAAATTTTATAAATAATTCATTAGAACAATTAAACCCATATTTAGCTCTATCATCAAATTCCTTCTAAAGTTTTTTAATAATCTCATTCTAATTCACCTGAGTAAAATTATAGTCTAAGACCTCTAACAATTATTTATATGAACGAATTAAAGAAATGTGTTTTTAAAAAATCCTTTTAAGTTCATTGTCTCCAGAAGGATTATATTTAATATCTTCTATTAATGATTTTTCACTTCTATATCTTGTTCTATTGAATTGTCTCAATAAAACTGGGAATAGTTTTTTATTCATGAATAAAAATTTAACTATATAAAATACAATTTGGAGTTAATTTGATAATTATATTCTTAGCAGTATTTTCTTAACGATCTACGATACTTATCATTCTAATAATATAATTAATGATCAATAAATTATTTCAAAACTATTTACTATTCTTCTGATTTCTCTTCCTTTGATTCTGGCTTTTTTTTGATTAATTATAAATTATTTATAATTGTAAAATACATTATTGATTTTTGTTATTACTTTTTCACCTCTTGAGAAATGTAGTTAAGATCTGTTTACAAATTTTACTCATCTAAATGTTATATATTTAAAGCATGAACATTGACTCAAAAATATAAAATATCAAAGTTTTTTTTGATGGTATTTATGAGAATATTGTTATTAATTAAATTTCACATCTTTGTAGGACACAACAAAATTATTTTATCCTTTATTGTAATAACATTATAGTTTTCAAGAAATAAGGCCTTGTAATAATAATTTGAATTCATGACATAATTGATATTCGAAAAATTAATCAAGTAGATATATCTTCTCATAAAAATATTTCTAATTGCCTTCTTATTTGAAATTCTTGAGATTAAAATGGCATCAATATATCATTTAATTATCTAACTTCTATGATATTCTCAAGTTAATCTAAATTTAGTGTTTAGGATTAATCCCTAAGGTTATTTCATATTTTGTTTTCTGATTTTAAAAGATTAAAAAAAGAGATTTTATTGCTCTTTGAATTTTATCAATTTAAAGTAATTGATTTAGATATTTATTAGAGTACTTTGATCATATTTTTTATTTTTAATTGGATTTTTACATTGACTTGCATCTATCAGTATATCACCAAGGATTTTTGATTGAAAAAATTGTTTTAGTTTTTAATGGATGATTTTTCCCTCAATTTTTATTGAGTAAATTTTTTGATTATGAATTTGGAGTATATCTTAGATATATAAATTATTTAAGAATAATCTCAATTAATCATTAATTATTCCACATCATTAAATGTCAGGAAAAGCAATCATATAAAAAGCCGCCCCCTTCTTCAAAACAAATGCCTGGTATTATCAATAAATCTATTCATAAGGAATGCTACTAAAAATGCTATTGAATAAGTTCAATTGACTGATTTCAAAGGCAAGTATTTATTGCTTTTCTTCTACCCATTGAATTTCACTTTTGTGTGCCCCACAGAAATCATCTAATTCTCTAAGTTAGCTAAATAATTCAGAGAAAACAACTGTGAAGTCCTCGGATGTTCAGTTGATTCAGTCTTTTCACATGCTGAATATGTGAAAAAGCCCAAAGCTGATGGAGGTTTAGGAGGATTGGACATTCTCCTTTTATCTGATTTGACCAAACAAATCTCTTCAGATTATGGAGTTCTTACAGATAGTGGACTTTCACTAAGAGGAACATTCTTAATTGATGGTAATTAAAATTTACGTCATGCTTCAATTAATGATGCCCCAGTCGGAAGGTATTAAAAATCTCTACCTCTAGAAATGTAGATGAATATCTAAGATTATTGTAAGCATTCTAATATGTCGAAAAACATGGTGAAGTATGTCCAGCTTCATGGAAACCAGGATAAGCCACCATTAAACCAGATATTGAAAAATCAAAAACCTATTGGTAAAATACACATGCCAAAAATTGAGATGAGTTCCTTTATATATAAAATATATATAAAATATATCTTACAGAATTATATTATTATTTTCTTATTACTGGTGTTTGTATTTTGTAAAATATTTAATGCTTTCTATATTTACAATTGTTATAAACCAGAGATCCAAATTTTTTCTTATAAAATTTATTATTTATGAAAGCAAGATATCAAAATAATATTGAAATAAAATCACTAACATAACTTCCTCTTTAAAATTTAATATATATAATTAATTGCCTTTATTTAGCTAACCAGCTATTTAGAAATATCATAAAAATAATCAATTCATTAGTGAACATGGAAATAGAAATAATTTTAATATTATTTTTATTGATGAACTTATAATTCAATAAGTAAATAATAATCTAATAATTTAAATCAGATTTTTCAGAAACAATATTTGCTGATCATTTTCAGTGTTTTTTCGATACAATCTTATAAAATCCGCAAGATAATCATATTTTCTTAGGTATTTTAGTCTAATTATTTATATATTAATTTATTTCAATTCATAATATTTATTTCTCCCTTAATAATGATAATATAAGTTGGAGAGTAAAAAATTAACACTTGATAAGTTTACTCTAAAAAATAAATCAAGATCAATACTCTAATCAGATCCCTTCATATTTATAAGGTATATTTTCATGATGGTTTTGAATAAGAAATAACATATATTGAAGGAATATCTTCTAACAATTATCATTACTTTTTATGTATGAGAAATAATCATATACTGAAATTTAATTAAATGACTGCTTGATTATTAATATTAAAATATATTTCATGAAAACTTTATATTTGAGTTTAAGTATTCAACTACAAAAATTTAGAGATATCTACCGATAGAATCGAAAGTAGTTGGAGTTCTAAATTTTCTATTTATTTTAATATCTGCATTTAATACGCTAATTGACGTAATATATTGAGAATTACTAACATAATAATATTAGATCTGATTTGATACCTTACATTCTTTCATATTTTATTGAAGTTAATTTTAGAGTGATGATTAAAATATGGAGATTTATTATAGAATAAGTTTTGAAATCATACTGAGGCTCTATGAAGAATGTACTATTAGTACTGATGAAAAGAGGTTTTTAAAAGACTATGTAATTAATTAAACCACAGTACTGAGTTTGAAAAGCAAAAGTGAGATTGAAGGCTTGATTCAGTTTAGATTAAAAATTTTTAGAAAAAAATGGACTTTTAAGTAACTTTCTTCAGATAGTCTTCATTCTATCAATGAAGAAACAGATAATAATGAAGAAGATTGATGTTATATTCTTGATCTTACTTAAACAATTTAATTATAAAATTAATTCAATTGGAAGTAAGAAGAAGAAAAATTAAAGTGTTAATATAATAAACTCAACATAAAGCCTACCAGGAACTCCTGCCAAAAAATTACACTATCAACTTTTAATAAAATGATTGCATTTAATTTATTTTTAATTTGTCTTTATAAAATAATTATTATTTTACGAATCAATATATAAAAACTAGTTTAACTTACTTTTGTTTTCACATAAGTTAAATGAAGATTTTCTCATATCTTTAAAATATTCAGATATTAGTTCATAATAATTAGGTACTAATAGAGCTAGGAACAATTTAAAGTGATTACACAAATAAGAAAATTTTCTCCTATTTTATTGATTCAAAAACTCTAGTTTAATTGTCATATCCTACTAAAGATATTAAGTTAGTAGGTTTATTGCATAAAATCTTTTTCCTATTTTATTTAACCTTAATTAATGAACTCGAATTAGAATGGCTTAGGATTAGGTTTTGATGTATTTGGGTTCTATTGTTATTCTAAATTTAATTCAAAAAAACTTTGAATTAATAGATTCTCATTTTCTTCTTAATTTATTGAATTGTTCAGATTTTCTAAGTATTTATAGTCAGTTTGACAATTACATTAATTAATTGAGTTGCTAATAATGTTTTGAAACTAGTAAGTTATCAATTCTAACTATTTTCAGATTAACAAGTATTCATTATTAAAACAATTAATGAGAATGAAATTTTATTTCATATTAAATTTATTGAGAAAATTAGGATACTTAAATATATACTATTAAATCAAACTCCATTACTCTTATGATACTCTGAAATGTATTTTTTTAAATAAAAAGGCCAGATTTCAGCTAAAAATTACAATAATGATGGTATTATTGGGATTGAGAATCAACTATTTCTAGAATTGACATCGAGCCATAAGATTGGTAGCTGATATTCAGATAGAATTTAATTTTAGTATAAAATCCTATTATTAATATTAATTAGAGATTCATTTTATTAGCTAATGGGGTGTTGCTGTCGTAGATAAAAAAATCCTACAAATATCTTGAGTAATTAAGTGCGAATAATCCCTTAATTAAAAAAACCTGAAGAATTACTAGCGTAACCTGTTGTTATTCCAGACTCGCCAAAGGGTTTGAAGTCTAAAAAAAAAGAATTAGATATTAGAACGATAGATTTACTAGAAATGTCACATGTAATGGATCATTTATCTTAAACTTCAATTAAATCTGATGAGTCAATTATAAACAAATTTTAGTAAAAAATTGAAGAACTTGAATAAGAATAGGAGTAGTTTAATAACAAAAAAACATCAATTGAAACATAATTAGTTAATTCCTTTGTTTCAGATTAAACCTAATCATAAAACTATTCAAATAATCCTGAACTTATTGGAGTTAAAATAAAAAATCGCAATATTTGCGATATCTAAAATAAATATGATTTCTCTGAAGTAAAAGATTTTACAGAATATCGAGGATAGATTTACATAGAGAGATTAATTTAAAAATAAAAATCTTCTATTTGCACATATATAGGTAAGATAGAACAAAAATATTGTTGTGTCAAATTAATACCTATGGCAAAACAAATACATATTGATAAATGGATAAAAAGTGTTTAAATTGCTCAGCAATAAATAAATAATTATTTTTTTCAGAAATACTGCTATTATAAAATTGAAAAAATAAAAGAATAGCCAGAATATTGCAATTGCTTTATTCTTTGCAATTTAGAGCAATTTAATGTTTATACTTTTAGGTATTATTGAATAATTATAATTAGCCATCATTAAGCTATAACCTTTAGAGAAAAAGTGTCAGTTGCTCCTGATATCATCTAAATTATCTGGTTTGCTTTATAGGAATATGATTAAAAACACTAATCTAATCCTGAAAAATTATCAGATTAGATATTTAAAACAATGTTTACAGTGAAGAGAAATAATATTTTGATATCCAGGTGCAAAATAGAAAAAAAATTAAAAGCAATCCTTTCTGATTGGCAATTATTACTCCCGGAATTTGAACAGATCATTCCTAACAAAATATTGTAAAATTAAGATAACCTTTTTGAGACACTTTAATAATAATAAATTAGTCAAATATTATACTAAAATAATAGAAATCTAGCATAGATAGCCCCAAATTCATAAAATCTTTAAGACCAAATTTAACTAGGAATTATGAACAGATAGTCGTAGTTAGTTGATAAGTTCTCAAAATACCTTATGAAACTATTATTTTTCAGATCTAATTTTGAGTATTTCTATTGTTAATATTTAGGTTACTAAATGATGTAAGCTTGGATGGATTTTTTAATCAAAATGAATTTTAAAATAAGTGCGAAATTTTAAGACCAATTGAGAACCAGGATTTATTATTATAAAAAGAAAATTGAAGGATGTAAATTAAAGAGAACGCAGCATCCATAATATAAATCAGATTAAATAGAATTTATGAATAAAAAGTCTTCAGAAATGTGCAATTTATTTTAATTAAAGCCAGAAGAAAATTTGAAATCTTATTATGAATTTTATTTGATAATCAATAAATTTGTATGTGAAGAAATGCGATCTCATTTTATTTAATATAATAAGACAAATGAAGCTACATTAATAACCAATCAATGAATTATAAAAAATGAAATATAATTAAAACCAATATTATAATTTAATTTTAGTTATTTTTAATAAAAATGGTATAAAATTCATACTTGTTTCATTTAAGAATTCAAAATCTTTAGTTCTGTTAGTTTACCTTTTTAGTATGTTAAAATTTAAATGTGTATTTTGATTGATCTCAATAAATAGTTAAAGATTTCAAGAAAATCTCTAAAATCGTCAAATTAATAGTTAAAATAAAACCAATCATTTTTTAGTCCACCAAGTCTTATTTTTTGATTTTTAATTATGATATTTATAAGAAAATTTCAGATATTTGGCTAATTAATTTTTTCAAGGAACATCCTTCTATTTTTATTAATTTCAATAGAAAATTCAATTCCTCCTCTTTTTTTTGATCTAGAACTGCTAATTGTCAATAATCTTCTTTTATGAGAATAAAACTTAAAAGTTTTATTAAGATACTTATTTTTTTTTTTATATTTATTGACAAGTGGTTTTACTTTTTTGAATCATCATGAGTTTCTTTTCAAAATTAATATTCTCTTTTTTCAATCAATCTTAACAATCCTTCTTAAATTGATTAATTAAACTTTTATGAATGTTCTCAATTCTTTTTAATTATAATTATCTAATTAGTTTATTGTAAAACAAAAGTTTTGGTATCATTATATTAAATATTGAGAAAAAAATATAATAATTTTATTTACATATTTCAAATATATTATGATAGTTTCTTATCTTATTCAACGAAAGTAAGGTTGAATATACATTCATACATAGAATGAATAAGTAAGATTCATCATTCCGAAAACAAGGATATATTGCAAAATTTAAGCCTTAGAAAATTAGGTTAGAAATTAGAGAAGACTAATTTCAATAAAGGGAAGCATTGTTGAATATGAAAGAATTTTTTCGTAAAGAATTAAACAAAGTATGCCACCATCTTCTGAAGCTAAACGAAACTACCTTTATATCGATATATTATAATAGAAGAAATTCTTCTAGAAAAAGCATAAAATCACTTAATAACAAATTATCATAATATTCGGTAATAAGGTTTGAGATTTCACTAAATTTACTGAACATTACATTTATTAGTAAGAATTATTGGCATTACAAATCAATGCTTTCTGGGTTGTTTGATAATTGATAAATTATCATATTTTTCATTAAACTAAATCTTACACATTTTTGAATAAGCATTCTATTTATTCTTAACTATCATATGATGATTATTTCATGTATTTATTTTTATCAATCATATTTCAAACCTGAACTCTAGCTCTTAAAATATTTTATAAAGCCATAGTACTAAGGATTTCAAAAAATAAAAATTGCCATAGAAATTATGGAAATGAAAATATAAAACAATAATAATTTTTAAAAGCTGGTTAACACCAGTTATACTCTAGAGTTGCTATAATATTATCATATTTCTCAGTTTATGTAATTGATTTCCTTAAGTTTTATCTTTCCAACCAAATCTATTTCTTCCCATTTACCAACTTTTTTATCATTTTTATATTGACCACTGTAAACGATTTACTACAAATAATGAAACCCACAACTTAACTCAATCCAACTCCCAATTTTTTTTGAATTTCCATCTTCATATGATCCACCACCGCTAAAAATTTAGTTTTTCTAATATCTACATTTTTTCTCGCTCTCCATTTAAGTTATCCTTATACCAAATATCCCATCTTCCAACTTTTTTACCATTTTTATATTGACCATGATATGTGATTTACTATTGTGCCTTGAAGCCATCACTCATCTCAATCCAATTTCCAATTTTAATAGATGATTCTCCATCATATTATCCACCTCCACTAATATGATAATTATATTTACATTATTTCAAACTTTTCTTAATTCCATGGTCTATACATTGTATCCCATCTACCAACTTTACTATTTTTTTGGTATTAACCATTATAAATGAGTTATTAGCCCAACCCAAAGCCATCTCTGATCTCAGTCCACCTTCCAATCTTAATTGAGCCTTCCTCGTCATACTACCCACCACCACTGAAATACTAGATTATCAAAATTACATCTGTTCAAATTTATCATCTTTTCTATACCAAGTAGTCCATTTACCAACTTTACTACCATTTTTATATTCTCCTTTAAAAATTAATTAAGAATAATCCCAAAATCCATCACTAAGTTCAATCCACTGGCCAATTTTGATTTTGCCTCCTTTATCGTATGATCCTCCTCCACTAAATTTATTGAATCAATTTAAATTTTACATCTATTCAAACATTTCCTTACCTTTCTCCCTATATAAAATATCCCATCTACCAACTCTGTTATTATTTTTATATTCACCATTATAAGTAACTTATGAACGCTACCAAAACTCATTACTTAATTCAATCCATGTACCATTCTTACCATTCCAGTTATATTCTCCTCCACCCCTAATTGTTTTATATAAATCCTTACACCTCTTCTTTTTCAGATATGTACTTCCAATTCCCTATCCTTTAACCATTATCATATATTCCTACTTCATATACCTACGCCTAGCTGATGCTTAATGATAATTAATGCGTACCTCCAATAATTCTTGATGATATCTATCCATTAGCCATCTTTTTTACCATTAATTGAGTATTATCCACCTACATCCTTTAATATCTATCCATTCCAAGTTGCTGTCCATTTTCCAAACTTTTTCTTATTCTTCCCGTAAATACCAACCCACTTTAAATTTTATATTTGTTCTAGATTATTGAATAAATCAGAGGACTAAATTTCTTTATTTTAATCACTATTTGAGTCTAATAAGAAAATAGAATTTTACACTCCAATAATTTTTCCATCCCTCAAATATTAAGTTTCTTATTCTTGAGTAAAGACTATTTGGATTCTTATTTTTCTGTATTAATATAAAGTATCAAAATAATCCCAATTGGTCATCATTTTCTCCTAAGTGCTTCCTTGCCAGGAATTTTGTTCATGTTATTCAATTCTATTAAGTTAACAAATTATCTCACTAATCAATTGAGGAAATATTCTTCATTTCAACTTGAAATCTTTATTCATACATATTCATTTCTTGAACTATCCAATTCAATGCTTTGGTAAATTTCATCTGATAAGATTTTTTTTGGGCATCCCAATTACTCAAAGTATTTCCTTCTAACATATCTACTAACTTATCCAAATCAGAGTTTTAGGATTCTATTGGATTGGCATTATTATATATAAGATGGATATACTATTAATCTTATTAGTCAATCTTATCAAGTGTGTAGTTAATATCATCAATCACTTGTTAGTGTAATTTCCGAATCCTCTCTTCTATATCCGATAGGGCAGATTTTAAAATTGTTTTGATAGTTAATTATTATTATTGGTCATCAAGTTTGTACTCATTAACCTTTTCAGTTAATCTATCTTAAAACAGTTCTATGGGGAGAGGTCTTTTGCTAGATTTATGCTCGTAAACACATATATGACATAGTTTTCGATTACATTGATGGGAATCAATACATATTGTAGTTACTTAACAGTTTGGGTGATGAGTGCATTAGTACATTTTAATATTAAAATTTCAGAGATTTGAATTATATTTCGTTAAACAAATAATTGAAACACGATTCAAATTATTGAGTCGTTTGATAATTTTTTGACAAGGATATGCGATATTCTTAATTCTATTTATTGGTAGAATAATTAAAGAATAGAATTTAGAATGATTTAGTACCATAGTTCTGTCATATAAATATTTGAACTGATTTAATAAATTGCTTAAGCATATTGAATTGTTATTATATTTTAAGAACTTTCTGTTGCTGCATGTGATGCTATTGAGAAAAAGAAATAAAGAAGAAAAAAAAAATGCCTTACGAATGTAAGTTATTAAATGACAAATAATGGTTTAGACTATATTTCTCTGCTACTTTAATTTCTAAACCCAAACAATCAATCAAATAAATCCAAATCTTCAAAAAATTCATATTTTTCAATCTAATCTAATAAAATTCAAATTAACATAATCAAAACCTAAAAATTATAATTCAAAATTTAATATGATAATCAAAATACAACTCAATAATTTTAAAATTTACTATATAAAAAAAAATAACTAATAAACCTTTTACTTTTTATAATATCTAATTTAAAATTAAAATATTATAATTATATTTAATAAATAAAAAATAAATTGATTTACAATAAAATGTTAAAAAAAAAGATAATTAATAGATATTTGTAAAAAAAATAATATTAAAAATAAAAACTATTGAATTTAATATTATATATTTTCTTTTACTAAATTGCTCCATTCCTACCACAATTAATTAAATTAAATTAATCTAATTTTAATCTTAACACTATATTTAAACATTTAAACTATTAATTTCCTAAATACTTTCAATTTCCTTTTAATAATGTTTAAATATA